TAATTTTTGCAATGGATTTATTTATTTCACAAGAATTTTAGAGGATTTCTAACCAGAGGTCCAATCACACGGAGAACTTGGCCCAAATTTCCTTACTCTTTCCTTGGAACCATCCAAACAACATATTACAATCATTTCTATGTTTTACGAACCTTAAGGAATCAATAGACCATGGCATTTTAATATTTCATCCTCTATATTCATGTGTTTTTACAATCATGCGTTTTAAAGGAGCCCTGGATGATCTATTTTTCTCATGTACTTTTCCTATGAAATCAATTGTGTATTTTCCTCTCTCTACTTTTCCTTTGGTATTTTATTTTATTCCAAATGTATGTACTCAATTTCTTTGGAATTAGAACTATCCGTTTTCCCTTTAAAAAAAACCCTCCAATCCAAGGGAGGCCTTAACTGTTATTGATAAGCATGTATATAATTAATTGTGGAAAAGACAGTAACCGAATGAAGAAAGAAAAAGAGGCGACCAAGAAAACATTTAAATTCTACAAATTGAGTGGCAAATCATAAAATGTCGATGTTTTTGGTCCTGTGCACTCGACTGTCACCTTAATGAAGAGCTCTCATTAGCTCAAGTATAAATGGAGTAGAATAAATCCTGAAAAACGAATCTGAAAGGGGTGCCGTACGTAGCATAGTGATTCGTACACAAGGTGCACTATTGACGACGACATATGTCAGGAGGCGTTCTTAAGTCGCTCATCTACTTTGCATGGTATGTATAAATCTTCTGCGGCTCTGAACGGTATAATAATTGATCCGAAGAAACTAAATTCCCCCTTTTTTTTCTTGCAAAATAATATGACTTTTTTCCTCACAAAATAAAAATACTAATCTTTTCAGCATTTTCTTTACCATAATATTATACATCAAGGGAAAAAAAACAACATTTGCACTATCTTAAAAGCTAAAAGAAGTCACTCTCCTTCCATCCTCTGTGAAAAGTAATCACCGTCCCTCCCTAATTATACGTGTCTAACCTGTTAACTTATGAACTCCTACCCTATTTCTAATTATATGGACCTGACTGATACAAAATATCATGTAACTAAGTATAGTAGTACTACATGAAAACAAAGGTGGCAATTTTAAGGTCTTTTTTTTTCTGTCAATGGGGGAATTTTCAGATACATCTGTTTCTGGTGCACGGAGCAGTATATGCACCGGGGTCCCACCAAAGGTAAGCGTCACATTCCATTTGCAGCAGCAAGGAGGTGAGCCGTGGGGCCGACACGTGGGGCCCACGGGAGATCTCGCCCCCACACAAAAATAGGGGAGGGAATCTCGCGACGGCGATGGATCACGACCGTCGGATCGCAGACGCCACGGTGATCCAATCCGCTCCATGCACCCCCGGTGTTGTACCCCCTGCTTTTTCAAGGCCAAGCAAGTCATTGCCACATGTGCCAAAACTTACATGTTCATTGATGAAAACTGAGAGGATACGGATATATAATGCTCCTATCATATCAGTTTTCATATCTTTTAAGTTAATACGTCAACGAATATGACTAGCTCAGATACGGAAAAATTACGAATTATATCGAATACAAATAATGATCGAAAATGATACGAAAATAAATATTTCTCTAAACATGAAAACCACATAAATTTATAATAGAGACAAATACCATCATACATAATTAGCTCGTTCTATGTAAAAAGTTTTATTGTGGACTAAACAATGCCAATCAAGATCAATACGTACAACGTTACCGGTATAAATGCATGTTTAAGTGATATTTTAACATATAATATTATTTGTAAAAATATTTAAAAGTTTAAATAATATTAATAGTATGAGCCAGTGTTGTGAGCTAGATATTGGCTACTATTAAAATCTAAAGATTAGATTGAAGGTTTAGAGTTAGGAAGAAATGGAATATGTTTCATACCTTCAACGGATATCCGAATAATAATGTTCATAGGATATCTGTTTTATTACATGTATCCGTCAAAAACTCCAATACCATATTCATATACGAAGAAAATACTCGTATTCATATCCATACCAGGATTATTATTATTTTTTTACAATTACACAGAAGACACATATGCGCGTGCACCACTGCATACACACATCATTCACATACACGTGCATACGCCCCTAACACAACTCAAAGAAGCAGATATAGGTAAAAATATATAGGCGGGTAAATTCCTAGCCTTACTAAAATCCTATTAAATACGCATAGATGTAATATTTACGGGCACTAGGATTTAAATCTTGACGGGTGAAGTCATGCACCCATGACTGTACAATATCATATGCATCATCGGTGCTTTATGGTCCACTACATATTAAGTGTTAATGTAGAGTCCAAATTTAAAATTTTATTATAGGCAGATAGAAGAAGACTTCCTTAGACCCAAGCACATGCTCCATTCTTTTGTCTCTGAACATGCCAGTTGACCTCTAATCGAGTATTGTAGAGTAAGTGCACGATTGCACGAATGATATCCAGACATGCTAATATTCTCGTAATCACAATTTTGAAACTTGAGTACAAGATCTTATAATTATATTCATGACCTCTTTTTTTTTCTTCCCCAACATTATTGCTTAGTCTAATTGTCACCATTAAATCTCAACCCAAAAATACTATCTATAAGTGGCATCATTCATTGCCAGAGAAAACTTGCCTATCATGAGTTTCATAACGGTTGTCATCACCATGAGCCAATACCATTACGAAGTTGTGCTCATACTCATAGAGTTTCTATAGAGATTTTGAAGCATTATAAGAACACAAAAAATTTCAACCTGCTGTGCTAGGACAATATAGTGCCTTGGCAAGGTTTGCCCGGCACGGGCAAAAGGTTAAAAAAGATAGGGAAATGTTTTATTAAGGTTATTAAAAAAGCTATATTTGTGCCAAATTCTCTTTAATATTCAGATTAGATAGTACATGCAAAGACTGAGTATATTTGTGCCGAATATCACTTTCATAATAATATGATTATATTCCTTATTTGGATATTTTTAAAGAATTTCAATCATATGGGAACTTTTTCGTATTTGTTCCTTTGGAACAAAGGGATGACCCCATAAAATCATATAAAATTAGTATAGATTGTCCCAATCTCTATCTCAACTATTATAAAATTGAATATGTTTTCGTCAAAATTTTGGTACGTCATCCGTATTTGAGTTGGTTCTATGTCACCCGTATCCAATTCAACGTGACTCCAAATTCCAAAATAACTAATACACCACCTTCCCTTCCCTACCCAACCCAACCCAACCCAACCGACCCACACCATCCTGTCACCCTGTTCCACACGCTTCCACTTGGCGCTGGCGCCCCTTCCCGATTGATGTCTTTTTTCTCTTTTTTTTTTCTTTTTTTCATTTTTGTTTTCTCCCAATCATATTGTCCTCTCCCTCTCCTTCCAATATCCTTTCTTTTCTCCTCCTTTTCTCTTTTATCCTCATTTTTTCTCTTCTAAACTTCTCTCCTTATAATATTTCCCATTTGAAGGTGTACATAATATTTTCCATTTGAAATTATTATTAAGGTGTATATGCTGTAAGTTTGTTACTTTGTAAATTTTTTCCACCTACAGGTAAAAAACTTTCACTAACTGAATAATCAAAAATTCAATATTTTATCGGTGACGTATAATAGAATAATAGACACGCGCCAACTTATGGAATAGCCACCTGGTCGATTTGTGAGGCGACGTGAAGGTGTACATAAGAGATTCTTCGTGTGATGACAAATGAAGCGAGTGCAAACCGGGTTCAATACTATATAATATCGGACTTTGTTTTGCTATTATTTTATTTGTCTTGTTACGGATAGTTGTCTGAATTGGTAGAGTTTTTATCAATCGTGAAAATTATCTTAGCATGTTAACATGCAATTTTGTTAGTCCATAATAATTTTGAAGAATTTCTATCCAACCTCGTAGGAATCTCTATGTATTTTGATGTGACGCCTTAGGCTTCATCAATCCATCGCACAGTTGAATTCTATATTTTCTCTATTCGCGTATTTTTAAAATCCCGTGTTATAAAAGAAAAGCCTATCTAGTTTTATAAGTAATTAATGGAAATTAATTAACAGTAGTAGTATCCAAGAGCAATCTTTCGTAACCACGTCGATGCCAATACAATAACCATCATCATCATCATCATTATCCGTGTGTACTACCTCACGACCCAATGGCTGCCAGCAGATATGTCAGCACCGATTGCATGAAATGATCATCATGATGATGATGCGTATCTTGAATTTCCCTCCCTTTTCTTTTCTGCCGCCAGAACAGCAAATAAATCACAACTTATTTTTAAAAAAGAAAAAAAATAAAGCAGAAAAGAAAAATAAAGCAATTGAGCTAGTAGCATGAACTTCCTCGGTCCCATAATAATTAGTTCTGGATTGTTTAGCCTATACTAAGGTTAAGGTTAAAAGAAATCACTACAATATTCTTTATTAAATAATATATAATTGGGCGTGTGATGGTGGGGGAGGGTAGAATGAATAAAAATTTAAAATAAAAATAGTTAATGTGATGAGTAGTAATTTAAAATAATTATGAGTTTTAGATAATTTTTATTATATATTAAAATAATAAGTATTATGTAACGCATGAAGTATATTATGAAATGGCACGTAGCATAGTGGTTGCAGTGATCTGAGTAGCACCTCAAGGTCTTGAGTTAAAATCTTCATAAGAGATTATTTTAAGTTGGGTTATTTGAGAGCTAAGTTTCCTAATTAATAAGCTAAGTTTATAATCTTTTTTTAAAATATATATATATATGGTTGGATATAGAGAACTGATAAAAAATACTCTTCAATATCAAAACAGGAAGTACAGTAGTCGGAGAGGGTAGAGGAGAGGAGGATTCCCAGCCCCGACAACCAAATCCAGAGGAAAGCATTTCCCCGGCCCCACCACACACCCGCGGGTCCCACCGCACGCGCGCGGGCCCCACCTACCCCTCGTCTCCCTCCTCCTCTTCTCTTTCTCTTCTTCTTCTCTCGTCGTCGCGTCGCGCGCGGGCGGCGAGGCGAGGGCGTCGCGATTCCTCCTCTTTCAAATACTCCCACGGCGAGGACCGCGGCGAGGGCGCGCGGGCCATTGCTGCTGCTTCTTCTGCTGCTGCGTGTGTGTGGGTGAGACCTGAGAGGATGGGAGCGGAGGCGGTGAGGGTGCTGGTGGTGGACGACTCGCCGGTGGACAGGCGGGTCGTGGAGCTGCTTCTCCGGGCGCACTGCGGCGGCGGCGGCGGCGCCGCCGCCGGCGAGGCGGCTCCGTTCCACGGTGAGCGCTACCGTCTCTTTTGGTTCTTTGCTCCTTTGCTCGCCTCGCCGCCGACGCATGATCGTTTGCTGGCTTTTCCTCGATCCTCCAGTCACCGCCGTGGACAGCGGCAAGAAGGCGATGGAGCTGCTCGGCCGGCGGCGGGGGGACCGGGACCACCTCACCCCATCCTCTCCGGCGGCGGCGGCGGCGGCCAACGTACGTCACCCATCACCATACACTGCATTGCAGATGAGCCATTTGATTTTTCATCACCTGATATAGGAGTGTTCATCAATTCTGAACGAACTCGGTCTCTCTCACCCCCTCCTCTGACACAAAGTCTAACTCGCTCTGTTCTTTCTCTGTTCCTCGGAGAGAAATTTAATCCCTTCACTAATCATCACTAGCAGAGCAACAGTGCGGTAGTTTGAATGTCTGATGAGTTCTTTGATGAAACTCATGTTGCCGTACAGTGCAAAATGCCTACGTAGTGCCACATCAAATTGGAGATGAATCTTTTGTCATTTCTTTTTTACCCTTTTCGATTTAGTCTGAAACTAGAGAGATGAAAATGAGAATGGACAAATCTTTGCAGGATCAAGCGATCGACATCGTGCTGACCGACTACTGCATGCCGGAGATGACAGGATACGATCTTCTCAAAGCCATCAAGGTTGAGCGATGAAGAGCATGTGAAACTTCTTCAAAGATTCTCTTTTCTGTTTCTGTTTTTGTCAGTTCAAATGTAAATTTGAGCATCTGAATTTCTGAATCTACTCAGGCGTTGGGGTCGCCGAATCCGATCCCGGTGGTGGTCATGTCGTCGGAGAATGAGCCCCAGAGGATCAGCAGGTGAAGTTCTTGGCACCCATTCTTTCTCCTCTTCTTTGCAAAACCATCATCAATCAACTCGTTTGCAAAGCTGAAGATACTGTTTTTGTTTTTGTATATTGATGAAAGTTGCTTTTGCAACTGTGGCTTCTCTCCGAAAGCCAAGATTTGCACAGCTTTTCAGATTCAAAAGTCGGATTTGTGTGTGTGTGCATCACCACTAACGCTAACATGTATGTCCTCTTTTGGTTAAAGCAGATGCTTGACAGCCGGTGCCGAGGATTTCATCCTTAAGCCTCTCAAGATGAACGATGTCCAGCGCCTCCGGAAATGCTCCGGCGCCACCAGGCCGAAGTCCGCCGTCGCCGGAGACGATGACCGGTGCTGCAACACGGCCAAGAAGGCGGCGGCGGCGGCCGCAGCCACACCGGAGCAGCAGCAGCAGCAGCAGAGATCGTCGCACCTGGCAGGACTAGCCATGGCATGATCCCTTTTCTTCTCAAATGCATATCAAATTAACCTTTTGATCAAACATGTCATACGACGATATACCTCATACTACCTCATACTACCTAGATACCAAGAGGTACCAAATTTATAATAGAAAAAGTGGTACATCATGATACCTCCTCAAGTAACGTAAAATTGCTCTAATTATATATGCTGCGGTGATCATTGGTTAATTTGTGGATTTTTGTTTTCTTGTTTTTTGGTTTTTGCAGGTGATGAATGCATCCAGCTTCGAGGTGTCGCACTACTTCCAGCTCATCTTCAAGCTCATCCTGCTCGCCTACGCCGTGCTGTGCCTCAGCCAGCTCCTGCACAGATGGTCCAATGGCAGCAGCCTCCTCTCCCTGTGGTGCGCATGAATTCAAGAAATTAAATCAAATCGACGATCCAGAAGGCTGGATTGATTAATTTCCCATTATCGATGAAAAAAATTGAAAAAAAAAGAGAGATGGATGAAGACTCAGTGGCATAGCGTGGATTTATCCGAAACTGAAACCTCTTCATCAAGCAAGAGTGCAGCTAAGGTGGACTAATTGGATGCATGATGATCTCCATCCCAGCTAAGCATGGGGGTTCTTAATTAATTCAGCTATAATATAATTTTCAACAGCCATGCATGCAGCAGCAGCTAAGATGTGATCTTTCTAGGGGTAGATTTGTTACTTATTTGTTCTTAAATTCTCAAGAGGATTCTAACCAGGTTATTAATTATTTTCAGAGGTTTTTAAGTGGTACTATACTACTACTGCTACTTAGATTATTTTGCTGAGAGAGAAAAGAGTAGCAGTACAGTAGCACCACAATTTGCTCATTTGTATAAAGGGGAACGCATGATTTGAGTGGGCATCTGGTGTCGTTTTTAATCCTGATCTCGATTTGATACGCTGATGCAACTGTCCGGAGAAGCTTCTGCTTCTCTCTCTCTCCCAAGATGTGTTTTTTTTTTCTTCTTTTTTTTCGCTCTCTTTCTCTCTGGGTGGGTGGACGTAGACGTCCACCTGCTCTGCACCTCACGCTGAATGAGTTGACCGGATCTCCCGTATTATATATCGTAATCTTGTTAAATGTTAAGGGAGAAAGGAGAACAGTGTATGGTGATCATCTTTGATTGCAAGTTGTTTTTGCCCATCAGTTGCTGTGTAGTTTACTGTGAAGCATTTTTTAGAACAATATGAAATGGTTCGATAAATATAGTTCACCCAGAATGGCCACCGGCTCGGGCCTGAAAAAGAATGAAAAAAAAGGAGAGATGATATTTGCACTCTCATCCTCCTAACTGCATAGGAAATATGGAAGGATAGGAACATAGAGCGTTTCGTCGTAGAGAGCTCTCAGCAGCAACCCCTTATCGAAAATCAAGAAGAGGCTATAACCTTGACCTTAACACGATCGGGCTGTGTTCTTTTTCCCATTTTCTCAACCCAACTCCCTTGTTTTTCACGCGTACACTTTTCAAACTGCTAAACGGTGTGATTTATGCAAAAACTTTCTATATGAAAGTTGTTTTAAAAAATCATATTAATCTATTTTTCAAATAAAAATTAGTTAATACTTAATTAATCATGTAATAATATGAGTTTCATTTTGCGTGCCGGGAGGAGGTCCCGAACACAGCCCTAAAGACTGTTAGAGTTGATACTTCAATTTTTTCCATGTTACAGTTCTTCCATGCCTGGACATCTCGATTTACTCATGCTTTATTCAATGAAATTGATACACTCTAAGTGTCGATTCGTTAGAAAAATAGTTCACCTAAAGCAACATGATGAATTGATCATCTTCTGTATGAGGAAATATATTAAGGTGTTTTCCTCTAAAAAAAGGAATACTTCCTTTGTTCCTAAATATATGCATTTCTAAAATTCAAATTTTGTATACAATATAAGTATTTCTGGGATACTAATTTCAAACCAATTTAAAATATAACCAATTAGATGATTGAAAGGGATTTTTCCTTTATCTTTAATATCTCTACCACACCTAAAAGAGGGAGTCGCCCTCCTCCCCCTCCCCCACTTCCTCTTAAAATCTCTTTCCTCCCGTAAAAACCATCCACCTTGAAAAACTGATTTCTAAAATAAAAAGTATAAAGAAGCAAGAGTAAATTGCATCCACAGTACAGCAATTTAGTAGGTGGGTGTAATATAGTATAAGAATTTAAGAATTGAAGTTCCAAGTACAACAACTTGACAAGTGAGTGCGTTCCAATATGAGAACTTGGTAATTTAGTATTTTGGTGCAATAACTTGGTTAAACATGTGTTGTTTTGGTTTAATGAGTGCTAGGTAAGTTTTTTTCAGGATGTTAATATGTCATCACATAGCAATCCTACATATATTACTTTAAAATATTTAGTTTAATCTTTAATAATTACATTGTGCATCCAATTTGCCCACCGGTATAGATTTTTTTTCTTCAACTTCTCAAATCTCAATCGAAATATAATATTTTTTCTACAAAGTAAAGTTAATTAACTTTTAGTTATTAGAATAAAAATTTAAATATACTTATACAAATCCACAGCCACGCTAGTATATTGTTAAAATAAAATGTTAATATGTATGACTAAAATTCTCGAAATAATTAAGTTATTGTATCACTTTCTTAACTTATTGTACCAAAATTGCACCAACTTACAAGTTCTTACACTCGTACACTCACTTATAAAATTCTTACATTAAATTGCACCCACTTACCATTGTTACACTAGCATGTTTATTTCTCATATTCTTACACTAAATTACACTCACCTACCAAGTTGATACACCGTGAATGCAATTTACTAAAAAAAAAAACAAATACCCACCCTATCCAAATCCTTCCACTGAACTAAATAAAAAAAATTGTTTCAACGCACGAGCCTATAACTATAACTAGTTTAATTTGTTTGATAACCTAGAAATCCCCGTATTTAGAAATTGAGAGTAGATTGGTATCAATGAAATTATTTTATCATAATTTACTCGTGGCATGTTTATATAATTTGCGTGATATCTTTACTAAACATTATATGATCAGACTGCGCACCCATTCTATCATGTTTTTACGACAGGAGCCAGAAAAAACAACACAACTGTAATTGGAGGTTGATACCAGAGTGACCACCACAATACAAATGTACAGAGACCTAGCCAGTGTACCTTGCAGTGATTTCTAACCTGCAAAAAAAGATGCCAAGCACCATGTGTGACACACAAGAGGTGGAGTCAATGAGAATGATACAGAGAGCCCTGCTGCTGTTGCTGATGCATACACAATGGAAGCCAGTGCAATTGCATGGGATGCCAAGTATATCCGGTATTCAGATAATTTCAGAGTACGTTTGCTTTCAAGTTTGAACAGAGCAAGTGATAGATTTTGCACAGGATGAACAATAAGAGAGGGATAACATGGGCAGCCTGGACAAAGTAGTACATTCGGAGTTAAAACAGCAAATCAAAGCAAGCAGGTCCGGCAGAGGCCCCTGCCTGCAAAGTCTGCAGCTGCAAGATCTTCATACTGCTATTTAAGCTCTCATTCGCGCCAGCCGGCCACACTGTTTTGCTTCAGTCTTTTACTACATCATCAGTTAGCCCAGGATTCCATGGTGGGGGTATAATTATTACTCGCTCCGTTCCGAAATAAGTTCACCTTCAATCTCTTTTGATTATCTCAAAATAAGTTTATTTTTCAAATAAATCATTGCAACGGAGTTTGAAAAAGTCTAGAACAAATATATTAAAAATAGATAAAGTGGAGAACAATTGTATGGTTTTTTTTTAACAATTGTATGGTTTTTTTTTTCGAGGAACTGTATTATATTAGGGGGTGTTTGGGAGAAAGTTAGTCCCTCTCTTCAAAAAATAAGTCTCTAAAATAAGTCTATCTCCCAAACACCCCTTTAGTATGTATCGAAGAGGTGAAAAATAAACTTATTTTAAGTTCGAGAGAGTAGATCGGAGTGGTACTGTGTGCATAACTGCAGACACTATGTGGTAGTAATTGTGGGAGCAGTGGTTAATTAGGTAAAAGCAAAACTGTAGTAGTGTGATCAGGATTCAGGCCGCAGCTAATTAAAGAGATGCTACAGTATTTATAAACACACGGTCCCTTTTCTTTGTAGGTGCCACTGTTTCAGAGCCGATCTTGTGATCGCTGACGTTGTCAGAGATTAGAATCGTCCTAGATTTTCTTTATTATTTTCTTTTTGAAAGAGATATAGAGATAACTGTTCTTGCTATTGTAGCTATCTTTTTCTCAGAGATAAGATTAGATTGCTGTACATGATTCGTCCCCGAACTAATGGCGAGAAAGAAAAAGAAAACATACTCCCTCCCTCCGTTTCATATTATAAGTCATTTGACTTTTTTTCTTATTCAAACTTTGTCTCCGTTTCATATTATAAGTCATTTGACTTTTTTTCTTATTCAAACTTTGTTAAGGCTGACCAAGCTAATAGAAAAAATAATAACATTAAAAATATTAAATTAGATTCATTCAATTTTGATAATATGTTTGTTTTCTTTTGAAAATATTACTATATTTTTCTATAAACATAGTCAAACTTAAAAAAGTTTAATTAGAAAGAAAATCAAACGACTTATAGTATGAATCAGAGGGGGTATTGGCAAAGATTGGGAGAAATAACGCGTGCCATCCATACTCATTCACAGTTTCATCATCATCATCAATATACGGTACAGAATCACTGTGAGATAGCGAACCAGCAGTACGCACAGCTACAGCCATTAGCGCACTGTCGATTCGATCTAACTACAACATAATGTTGCACAACAGTTCAAAGTTAAGGACTACAACTCAATACATCAGAGATTAGTTCGGCATATAGATTTGCTACAGCATCATACGGTGAGCGATGAGCCATTGTCGTCTAGGCCAAGGCTTAGTATCATCGTAGCTGCCTTGGGTGCCCTGAAAAAAAATAAAGAGAAGAAAGAGAAGGCATCATCTGGTTAATGGGATCAATGTCGCATATCCTGAAAGTTATTGCATACAAAAGCTAGTGTTGCCAACAACTTCACACTTATATTTCAAGCTGTCATGGATCATATGACAGTTATATTAGTGAGCCACAGCTATGGCACTTATTCAAGGTTCCCTGTTCATGTCGGTTGCATTAAGAAGCAATAAAAATGTATCAATGTAGCACTAAAGAAAAAGATCACATGTAAGACAGCTTTTAGATGTGGTCAACTGGATACTCTTCAAATTTCCTTGTCATGCAAATCTTCAATAATACCTGTGCCGTGTATAATACCTCAAATTTGGGACAATGTACAAGCAACGCCGCTAACCCTGAACAATCATATCCTCTGGAGGAGGAAGACAAGTCAAGAATACTCTAAACCAGTATATGAGTAATGGCTGTGGAAGGATAATATCTGTATGGTGTAGGAATATAGGATCATCTGGAAACATTTGCTATGCGCAGCCTGACAGGTCATTGAAAGCCACTTTCTTACACCTCATCATCTCACTACTCACTAGATGGGCTAAGCACAACCTCCTGTATACTTGTTATGCAATTCAGAACATCCAAGTGCACGGCATCTATTCACCAACTGTGGTTTGCACTGGATGTCCAGGTTTCTATTTTGGATTGAATGAGTGCAACATCAGGGTAAGTATAACTATTGGCTTTTCTATAAAAACAGTGTACCAAAAGAATATCTCATTTTGACTTACTGGTGTACATGGAACGACAGGACCAGAAGAATAGGCATATTTGAGATATCATTGAAATGGCCACAGAGTACAGACCGCATGATGGAGTTGTTGTATGGTGTAGTAATAGAAAGAATTTTCTCAGGAAGTTGATTCAATAGAAAGATTCATGCACCAGTGAACCATGCTAAAAGTATTAACACTGTATATAACATTCCCTGGTTTTCCTAGGGTCTCATATGGGCCATCACATGTCTACTGCTATATGGCTACATCTATTGTAAGTTTGTAACCACTTATTGTTTTTTCAGGTTTTATTCATTTCAAGCATGGTTGAGACTTGAGGGAAAGCGCAAAGCCAAACAGGTTTAGCAATTACCATTGTTCAGTTGATTGGTATAATGAGGCCGAGCTTCCGAAGCATGAATTAAGCATGTCAGTATTCACAACACCAGGGCTAAGGGCAATTGCTGCCAATCCAGGAGGCAGCTCCTTTGCTAAGGAGCGTGTTAAACCTTCAATTGCCCACTTTGAAGCACAATATGGGGCAACCTGAAACACCGATATGTAGTTCAGTATCCATGAAATTTTTCACATACAAAGAAAGAAACCAGCATTGACACAGTTCGCAGTGTCCTACCTCTGCAGCAGCAGACCTACCCCAACCAGAGGACAAATTGACTATAATCCCATGTTTCTTCTCTATCATAAGGGGTATGAAATGACGGAGTACATTTGCGGTTCCCTTAATATTTGTATCAACCACTGTATCAAACTCTTCCGCTGGAACGCTCCATGTCTTGTTATTCTTGTTTATTGTACCAGCGTTGTTTACTGCCACAAACCTCAACGGTTAAGACTTCTTGAAAGATTGCTTTAATGTATATTGTGAAATGGCGTACAAATATGTGATTCCACAATCTATTCCAATAAAGAGAACAGATTATGATCATCTACTACCAAATAGCCTGTATTTGCCTTCGAGCAGAAAATGTAACCAACCTATGATATCAGGAACTTGTTTCTTTTCCACAACTGCCTTTGCCAACTCGGCCATGTTGCTGTCAGACCTCTACAACAGAAGCACAAAACATTACTTGAGAACTCAAAACTGTTAAAAAGAGTAAGATAATAGAACATAGGCAACTTATATTAGGCGTTGTTCTGACAAACAAAGAATTAAAAGCACCATTGATAAGCTATTCTATTGGCATCCATACCATGTTGTATTGTTTCAACCCGATTCACTCAAGATCAATAAAACAATAAATCGTGAACAAATTTAGCATAGTCCAGTCAACTCATAGCACAATTCTCAATCAGGAAAGCAACAAATTCTCAATCAGCAGAGCCCCATCGGCTTCTAGTTCACGATTAAGCCGCTATATGACTGCTACTACGGTAGCGGAATTCGATATCTCCAGCGAGCAAAAAAAAAAAGGCCTAGGTCTACAGTTCACTCGCTATCCACGCACAGCCCGACTGCAAGCACCACGGCGAGAGCGTGGAGAGGGGTTGAGGGGGGTGAGGTGAGGTTACCACGTCGGCGACGGTGAGGAAGTGGCGGGCCGGGGTGGCGATCTCGGCCTCGAGGGAGCGGACGTGGTCGGCGGAGCGGCCGCAGCCGACGACGGCGTGGCCCCGCCGCGCGAGCTCCAGCGCGAGCGCGCGGCCCAGCCCCCTGCTGACCCCCGTGATGAGCACCGTCCTCGGCCCCGCCGCCGCCGCCCTCGCCGCTGCCACGCCGCCGCCGCCGCCCTTGGACCCCGCCGTCATCTCCTCCTCTCGTCTTGCGCGTGGAGGCGGAGGCTTCGGGTGTCCAGATATTTTTTCGCTTCTCTCGTGGGCCGGAATCCCAGCCCACGTAAGGCCCGGCTACGTACGGTCCGATCCGGCCCGGCCCATACACCCGCCGCCGCCGCTATCTCACACGTCTCGCCTCTCTCCGCTTCGGCGCTTGGTGGCGTGGTTTTGGGGTTCCAGAACCTTCTCGATCCCTCCTCCCCCTCTCCGCCTCCGCCTCCGCCCTCCTCCGCTCCGATCGCCGCCGGCTCGTCGCCGGTAACGTAAACGAGTCCTCATCCTCCCTCTCTTCTCTCTTCCTCTGTAGCTCTCTCGATTCGTTTGCCCTCTTTTTTTTTATTTTTGCCGTAGTAGGCGGTCTATTTCTTGTGTTGGTGAGATGCTGTGATTTCTTTGGGATGTTGTGCTAACTCGAGAAGAAGGAGACACAGTTTATTGTGGGTGGATTGGATTGGATTGCTGCTTTAGCAATTTTGATTTTGTTGGTGCTCCTAGACCTACTACTATCCAATCCAAGAACTAGATGTGCAAAGACGGGACGTAGTCGTTTTGCCGGCGGATTAGGATGAGAGCTATTAGTTTGTTTTAACTAGGTTAATTGTACTATCCCTAGGACGATATTGGATGGCTTTGAACTTTCAAAGTTATGACATAATCAATATTCTTGGTGATTTGTGTGATGTGGTTTTTGTTGCCATATTACCATGTAGTAGGAGTACAATAAGGTCCGCATATTTCTTCTCTTTTCTTTGCGGATAGTCGGCATTTTCTTCTTCCAATGTGCCTATATTAACTTAAACCCTACTGTTGCAGCTGGCTAATTTTCGTTGTTCCTCGGTTGCTTTATTTTTGCTCCTATTTTTTTTTGTTCATTTCTGCATTTAGATGACCTAGTCAATGTATGGTTCAGGTTTCATAAGCCATGTTCAAGAAGCATGTTGATGTAAAGGCTCTACAGCGTTTGTCGGGAGCTGACAAAAAGAAGCTCAGAAGAACTGCCAAGGAAAGGTTCCCACAAGCATCTGATGCTGACCTTGATGCCATCCTTCCTCCCAAGGTGGTTAACTTCTTTTAATCATATGAAATATGACATTGTAACACGGTATTATGTTTTGAAATTATACTGCATGGTTTGAGCTCCACAATTAGCACAAGGATTGCTACATGGTTAGAGCTCTGTCCTTGGTAGGGAATGTTGACATACTTCCCATGTGATTATGGTGAAGTTATATGTCATACATCCTTTTTAATATTCTTTCATTATTTTTATTGTGTGTCGACTGGATCCTTCTTGCCTAAATCTACTAGCATTAGTACAGAGAGCACTTGCAAGTATTTTACTCAAACCTACTGTCTCTTTCTAGCGCTTACCATGACTTCTTTTGGTGCACTGTATGTATAGGTTGAGGTAACAGTTGCTAAGTACCCAAATAGGGTTCTTGTATATGGCATAGAGGGAGAGTTCCCAATGCTTTTCGACATTGATGGAAGAGGCCATGAGCTGTTTCCAACAGGTATGTAGTTTTTGTTTCTAGATTACTACTTTTATTTCCATTGGGTTATCTCAATCTTGTTAATATCATTTTTGTTGTAGTTATTTTTGAAGCCGTGTTTTTATTGTGTATGCACATAACTCATTAAGAACAGAGAATCTAAAACACTCTTGTGCTTCCTGTAATGAGTGAAGTATCTTACTGTTATAATCATCGATTTCTTAAATACGAGTAGGATATCTCCTGATTAATGGAAATATTTTTCATGTAGATATCTTGTTGGTTAGTTGTTGAGGCTGACTGCTTATTCTAGGATGTTGGTAATTCTCACTGTCGTACTATATTTCCTATCGGTAGCTTGTATTACTGTTGTATTCTAAGCAAAAGGTGATATGGTGCTAAACATTCTTTAATATCCTTAACAAAGGATTTGTGGACATTTCTGTTACTCATTTCCAGTTATTATACGCTTTTTTGCGGGGGTGTTCATTAGTTTTTCCTGCATAACTGACGAGCTGTTTGGATATTAGATTTTAACAACATCAGATATCTTAAGATTCAGTTTTCAGTAAAATCATTTTGGATGTTGCTAGCTAAGTTTAACCAAAAGTAGTTATCTGGAGACCCAGTCCTCTTGTAATACTCTTCAAATATTTGAAGATTTGTTGCTTCCCAATAATGGTCTTTGAAAATTTGCTGTCCTAAGTCACGCTGACGTGTAACTAGTTGAATTTTTTTCTTTTTTCCTTTTTCTTTGCAAGAACAAGATTGTTATATCCTCATTCTTTGCGAGTCTGCAGATGCATAAAATTAGCAATTTGTAGAACAGCAAAATGCATTTGTTGCAAATGCACCCAAGCAAATTTGAATCCATATTCCCTACCATTATTTCCTCTTCTAACCATATGTTGATGATAAGTGACCAAGAGCCAATTCCTAGTTATAGCCGCCGCACCTCATTCTTATCCTGGATGAAAAAGGCTATCTCCTTGCTGCTGACCTTGAGGCAGTGTTCACAGAACCAGCCAAACTATACCAAGCACCCTTACCTGGTATCATGTTTTTTTAGTGACATTTAGCTTTGTGCCTAAGAGCTTGGCATCAACTTGTAACTCCTGTCATCATTGAGTATTGATGCTTGTTAGTAATGATCTCAACCAAACAGGCAAACGCCATGTTATGAACTCATTTAATGTGTTTTATCCAAACAAACAAGTATATAAACACAAAAACATGACAGCCTATGTTTTCAAAAACTGATACCGAACCGCCAAAAATGTTTCAAAGTATGAGTTGTTATACTCTAGCATGACATTGGCAAATTTAATGAAGTTATGGGTTGACCTGAAAAGTTAAATGCTTTGGGACAGTTCTAGTCTTATTATCTTACAATCAATAATGGTTGTGAATCTAATATTCTTCAGAACATAGTTTAACGGGTGAAAATATTGCAGTTTATGCACTCTGGAAGGTTCCCGATCTGTTGCCTGCTTTTACACTTAAGGGTGGTGAAGTCTCACGCTTCATACTGGGGGGTGCCGATCTGATGTTTCCTGGTATTAGCATACCCCCAGAAGGGCTTCCTTCCTTTCAACCTGGCCAGCCATGGTCAGTAAAGGTTCCTGGTAATCCTGCTCCAATTGCTGTAAGTTCCCCTTCTTTTCTTTTTTTGTTCCCTTTACATTTTGGTTGCCAAAAAGATTGTAGTTATGAAATTCTGTTAGTTATGTGCAAGTTTTTCATTGCCATACATGCTTAACGCAGGTTGGGGCCACAACTATGAGCAGTAATGAAGCCTTAAAGGCAGGGTTACGTGGCAAGGCTTTGCGGATTACTCACTACTTTAAGGATTCATTATGGCAAGTTCAACGGCTAGATCTGAATTCACTTGTGAGCTTAGCTTTTCTTAAGTTAACATTATTAGATTTTATTGCAGGGATTCTGCTGATGGTCGCTATGTTCCAAATGAAGGATTTTATGAGGACATTGTTGTTGAAGATCGTAATTATGCTTCACCGTCTCAACCTGCTGATTCTTCTGAAGATCATGTAGAAGGCATGCATGACAGTACCATTGAAGGTGAAGAAGCTGCAGTTGATGTTTCTGAGAGCCATACCACAGATCATGACATCCACGTTGAGGCCATAGAAGATTTAACTGCTGGTGTGAGTGAGGTGAAATTGCCTGAAGATAATGCTACTGAGGAACCAACTGAGGAAAGGGAACATCAGAATTTGTCTACGGAAGAAATTGACTCTCTTTTAGATAAATGTCTTCTGCAAGCTTTACACACGAGTGTAAAAGATAAAGACCTTCCTATTCCTGGAAGTACATTGTGGTATGTGTGTATACATAGTCATTCCAGTTTCTCATGATCCATTGTTCTATCCTTATATATCTAATACCCCTGCAGCGTAATGATATAATTATTATGGATTTGACTTCCTCTACAGCTTTTTAGTGATTCAATTTTTCTTCACATGAAATTATTTGCCAAGTCTTTTTAACATTGTAATACAATTGTATTTTACTTCAATTTTGGGTATCAGGACATTATGCAATTGTATTTTACTTTAGTTTTGGGTATCAGGACATTATGTTGGCAAATTATGCTCTGTGTTATCAGTGTTACTTTTTTTACATGGATGAAGGAAGCAAAGGTTTAATAATTAGCCATGTTGGCTTTAGCAAGAGTCAATATGTTCAACTATTCACTGAGCTGCATGTCCTAGCTTTCTTTCACTCAAATCTATTGTTATTTATCTTTTGCATTTTGCATTGTTCAGGTCAAATCACATACTCCCCTGCAGACCTACAGGTGTTACTCTGGATATTAAGAAGTCATCACACAAAAAGCTATCCAAGTGGTTGCAATCAAAATCTTCCGCTGGCCTTGTAAGATAGTGCATTGAACTTTTCTGGTTTCCTTTATGTCCATGATTTACAATAGATGCATTTAGTGGATTCACTGAATTGTTGCATGTGTGGCAAGTAAAATATAAGAAACATGGTGCTCCATAAGGATTCCTGTGTTTGACTTGTGAACTATTTGAATGTTTCTCATGGTTATGTAGAGCGATGCATGCTGTAATCGTAGATTTCTATTTCATAGTGGGAACTGTGCAAGTTTGAATGTGTTTGAAGTGGGTCATTTTTGGCAAACCTGTACGGATGTTATATGGTAGTTCTGACATATTTTAAAACTCTATTGACCTCCGTTTTTTTAATAGAGTTCGCAATTGAAGAACCAGTTGCATATTTATCAGAACGTATTTATTAAGCTTTGTTGCCATACTATTCATGATAACATGTAAGATTTAGAGAACTGGTGATGTATGTTGACTTCACCTGTGATACCATATCAGACATAGCAAGCATTTACCGATAACCAATAATATTACTATGTTCTGTTATTTTTTTTCACAGATTTCATCAAAAGAAGACAAGCATAAAAAGGAAGTCATGTTGCTTCGTATCAATCGTGGGCATCCAGATTACATGGCCTTTAAACCAGAAAAGAGGGTACAGGAGCCTGTTGTACAGCATGATAATGTTGTTGCTGAAGGTAGCAGCACGAAGCAACTGGAAGTAGCAGAAACTTATAAGCCAAGCTCTCATGTTAACCCCATATTTATGGCTGTTGGAGCGGACACGAGCAAGTACTATAGTGCATCAGAGGCATCTGACATAGTCTTCAGGTTTGTCTCCAGAACTATTTTCTCAGGAAAATGTAATTAATTACTGTGGAAGTAGGTGCATTGCTGGAGGCTCTATATTTGCAGAGTGTGTAGTTGTGAATTTTGCTTAACATTTTGACCAATTCATGTTCTGTTGTGAACCAAGGTACGTTGAAAAGGAAAATTTGGTTAAACAAACAGACAAGGCCAAAGTAGTTTTGGATGTTGCATTATGCGACGCTCTCTACAAAGGAGCCATCAAAAAGGGTTCAGCATACCCAACCGAGATCCACAAGAGGGACCTGGGGTCAACATTTTTAAACCGAATGCAGATTCACCATAGAGTAGCAAGAGGGAACGAGGTGGTCATTCGCAAGGGCGCCATACGAACCATTCAGATCATGACAGAGAGAAGGCAAGGAAACAAGAAGATGACCCGGCTATCTGGATTGGAATGCTTCTTAATGGATCCTGACTCGTTAGCTTCTGAGCTGCAGAAGAAGTTTGCTTGCAGCACCACCACAGCTGAGCTTCCAGGTTGTAACCTATCCCTGGTCTTTATTTCTTGATAATAAACAAAACAAGGGTAGAACTTTGTGGATGATAAAGAACATTTACAATCTGGCATATTTTTTCCAGGTAAGAAAGGGCAACACGAGGTCTTGGTTCAAGGTGGAGTCATCGATGACCTTGCAAAGCACCTTGTTGATCATTACGGTGTTCCGAAGAGGTTTATTGAGGTTCTTGACAAAACAAAGCGTTAGAGGACAGGACAGAAGCAGGCAGACTCTCAGTGCCGGAGGAGCCTGAAGTATCTTCAGGGACAGCGCAGGAAGAGAATGCAGACCAATGCTTAACGATATCAGGATTGTATTCTGTGACTGCCATCATCAGAAGAAATTATGAGAAGATACCTCTTCTCACCACCTCTGGTTTTTATGCTTGGAAAATACTTTTATCCTTTTTTGTGTTTACAGAAAAATGAGTAGGGCTGTTCTGACTTCTGTCTGAAATTTTGGTGTGTACCCGTTCCTTTTTTGTAACGTTCTTTTGGTGCCGTGTTCATTCTCCTGAAAAAGCACCTTTTTTGTGTGAGATACGTGTTACGTTTCGTTAGTGACAGACAGGGTTTGACGCTTTTTAACATGGCATAGTGCTATGGTTAATTCAATACATGCTTTCATATAGATATTACAGTTTTAAATGCTATTCTAACGCATCGAGGGAGCCATCTCAAAAAACCAAGAAACAAAAGGTACTTCTCATCAGCGAAGGGAAGAGAAAAATTACTCTTCTTAGGTAAAAGACGAACCAAAAATATATTTGGCCTTGCAACATGCTATTACATAAGCTAGCTAAATAATCCACAAACCAAAGTTGGCAACTGTAGTGTTCAGATGATGAGAAGCTTCGAAGAAATCGTGCCAATGGCATCAGGAATCATGACTACTGCGACTTCTTTTTCTCCTTGACCTGTGCGTTGAGAGATTCTCGTCACTGCTTCTCGATCGGCTCCTCCATGCATCAGAGCTCATATCTCTGGTGTCTGAATCTGAAGTAACCTCTAAAGTGTCGCTGCGCTCACCGTTTCCACTCTGACGCTTCCTTTCCCTACGGCTCTTGGTTGTTCCACTTCTTGACCTTCCGTACCCAGTTTCTGAATCTGATCGAGCATGATATTTCATTCCCAGCTTGCTGCCTTCACTACTTGACCTCTGGTATTGAGTCTCCAAGTCTGAATCAACATCACTGTTTGTTGCTACCCATCTATCATCCGATGTATCATGGTGATCCTTGCGTTTTACAGCTACAGACTGTCCTCTTCCATCATCTTCCATGTCCCGATGCCTTGAGCTCCTTCTGGTGCTGTGCTCTTCTAAGGATTGCCTCCTGGTCTTCTTGTGATGCCTGCCAGTGGACTTGCTGCCTGAAGGACTCTCGGTGGTGTCTTGATCGATGAAGTCCGAAGACCGGCCAGAAGATCCAGGCTCCAAACTTTCTTGGCGTTCAGATCTGTTCTTCCTCGACCTAACTTTACCATGGTCTCCTTTACCTCCATTTCCATGGTCAATCCTATGTTTTTCTTCACGCATGTACTTGTGGGACTCTCTTTCACTTTCCATGTTAGAGGAGTATTTGCTGGTCTTATCTTTAATCTCTCGATGTCGGTGCTTATCTGATGCAGATGATTCTTTTCTGTCTCGTCTGTGCTCAGTATGGCTGCTGCGTTCATGCTTCGAATGTGAATAATCTCTGGACGAGTGCTGTTTATGTGCATCTTCATCCCTTGTTCTGCTTGGTGTGTACCTATTGAATTAAAAATATGCTATTAGCATATCTCGGTCTAGACATTCATATTAAAACTCTACAAAGAAAATGATTAACAGATAAGTAGCATGTACCTAGGATCAGAACTTCTCGGTCTCCTCCTGTCTGAACTCTGTGAGCGCTCTAAATGTGGGGTGTCGCTTGGCTTGCCATAGATAGAATCATCCGAGGGACCAAAAAGAGCAGCCATCTTCCTAATCCAGTATCTAGGAGGAGGATTATCCCAATCAGCCCACTCATAATCTCCTCCAGGGTTGCGAAAGCAATGAATAAAATTACAAGCGATTCCACGTGAACATGTCTGTTAAACAGGAGAGGAGAAAATGAAAAACACACAGATGATATCACATTCTAAGCTAAAATCTCGAGAGAGAGTTCCTCTGGCAAATATCAATACTGTGGACATGCTTCCTACATATGATAAATAAAACCAAGAGCAACTGAGTAAAGGAGACAGCTGTAGTTTCAGCCTTTAGGGTACCTTGAATCTTGACCTCATGTATTCACCACATATGGCAACCTTCCATCTTGTCACAGCAACAAATTCACATGTTATCTGTACGAGGAAAAAAATTCCAATTTCAGACCATGAAAGAGAAGCAAATGGAAACAAACCTATTTGACAGCACAATATGATAGTGTAGGATTATCTGAGACATAGAGGATTAACAACAATGCTTCTCAATGTACCAACTGTGCTCAAAACTGACAGTCCTTTGAGGAATGAATTAAAACAATTACCTGCTTCCCAGCAAAATACCGTCCATTCATGCTGCTGTAGGCAATAAGAGCTGAATCCAATGATTTATAATGCACATAAACATTTCCTCGAAGATGGAGTGATCCATTTCGACACACCTAAAAGTAATATTTGGAAACATTTTTATGAGACTAGTGTGGTGCCGAGTATTGTGACAGATCTAAAATAAATGTGCCGCAAGTTTAAATCTTTAAAAAGATACTAAATAATTATGATTGAAATTAAAGTTTGTACATATAATTCACAATCGATCAACCAACACCTACATATACACATCCACAGATAAAGTGGGCATGTGTGATTGTGTGTAAAGCATACCATCATTCAAATGGATATCCTTCAATCATTTGAAGAATAACTAATAAAGATATCCATAATTTAGGGAGCACTTCAGCTGCAAATTAACGTTTAGGTCAAACTGCACTTGTTCACAAAACTTTAGTGTGCAGTGAGGTTTCAACTGACCATAGACCGGAGGGAGTACTAACAGAAGGGACCTTCGACTTTGAGTGATCATATAAGTGAGCTGCATATGCTCAGGTTTGCAGAACTTTGGGAAACTTCTAGTGTATAACACTATAACAAAGAGGAGTGAGAACAAACTACTTTAATGAACCGGTCTTTTGGTACTTCCTGGACAAAAATGATGCCTTATGTTGAACAATAGAGAAATGGCTTGCTAATGTAATATATCTTCTCATCTAGAAACTAAGAAAACCATAAGGTAATTCTTAACATTGCCATAGTATCCCCTTTCATTAAAACCCTAAGTAGTACTACGAATATGATCTGTATATAACAATTACTATGCAAGGAAGAAATACCGTAATGCTTCCGACAAATAAAAACATTGGCAGAGAGGAAATCTAGTAGTATCAGAAAAAAAAAAGGTAAGGAAAAAATAACCTTAAAGTTCACAAGTTCACCAAATTTCAGAAATTCTGTGTGCACATCTTCATAAAATTCTTCATAGCTCTGTTCAATCTCTTCATCTGTACACTGGAGAATGTTAAAGAAAAAAATATTAATCCACCATATAAATAACAGATTGTGAATTAAAACTAACAAAATGCACAAGGGTAAAGGTGAAAATTAATATTAGATATCTCCATAAGAATTAGTTCACCACCACTAATTCATATGCATCCAAAAAGGTTAAAAACAGATTCACCTTCCACCCTAATGTTCATCAAATACCTCCAATAAAAGAACAACTCCTTAATAGTTCAGCGTGTTTAAAATGTCGAAATACTACTGACTTGTCAAGGAGATGTTTCATGAATAATTCCCAAGACATATTCAGAACTTGAAAGATACGTAGATATTTTCAAAAGATCAAAACACATAAAAACCTTAGCACCAACAACACAGGCATGTTAATATAGGATACAGGAGCAGATCAAAGTTCAGGACATCCTCAATCAAGTGGAACCAACTGATTTGGTCACTGTTTGCCTTGAGACGGAGTTCTGAAGAGTGATACATCAAAGAACTTGCAGTCTGTCATAGGTCTGAGAATAGTCAACAAGTCAAGAAAATACTCCTGAAGGGCAAGAAACATCTTCATCTCACCAAAGAATGAAATGCAAATGATTAAAGTAGTCAGTATTTCTATCATGGTTATTTAGAGAGATACACTTTACAATTTGAATGAGTGTTTTTCTACAGTCAAAGTATTAAAAAATATAATCATAAAAACCAGTAGTAGGTGGAGCAGAAATTCTTTAGCGCATAAAAAGAGCAGTCCATTAAAGAGAAGCTGAAGAAGCGTGAAATGCTTTGTCAAAACAAACAATTGTCAGGATACCAATCGCAAGAGATTGTCCTCTAACAAACCTCAAGCCCTTCATCTTGCTCCAAAGCAAGGCCTGGACCACTATACATGTTTCTCATGAGCAGAGTGCATGATTTATCAGGATAAAAATGAACTCTGCTGCAACGCACTCCAAAGCGGCAAGCCCCTGTCTTGAGGTGAAATGGGCAATGTGCCTTATCCTACACAGGAATAAGCAGTAATTTTACACTAGAGCAAAGGAAGGCCTGAGTATAATGTGAAGTGTATTTTCTCTCTAATGCGGCAATAGAAGTACAACTTTCCCTGTCCAACTTGAAAGAGAATCATGGAACTTGCCTGTTCTGTTCCAAAATTTGGAGTCTCTTGAGCAACTTTCTCAAGTACTTCTTGAGCTGACAAGGAAGGTTCCATCCTCTGCGAAGCAAAAGCTACAGACTGCGGTGGGAGTGGATTTGATGTAGGTCTATCTTCCTGCAAGATATTTAGCATGCCCTTTTCAGATTAAATTTTTTTCGATGTTAGGGCAAGGGGAAAAAATAAAGATGAGTTTATCCTTCATAGAAGTTGGACCTGTTGAATTGGCTGGTTTTCCTTGGCTTTCTTTGGTACTTTGACCATTTTCTTCTTCACAGTGATTTCATTTCCTTCCCATATGATCTCTGCTGGTCCATCTTCAACATATTCCCATTCGTCATCCTCCTCGGTTCCATTTCCATGGTCATCTTTATACTGCAATAGTTAACATAACATTATAATCAGAACCACATATTACATGTTCATCCAAGTTTAATTAGAGTACGGAAATGCACCCAAAAAATGTGAATAAACAGATGGAATGGCTAAACGGAACCCACAAACTTACGCAGCAATTATTACACTCCCAAAAAAAGTAACAACTATAAACATTGTATGGATGATGTTATTGCTAGTCCATTTGCTCCTCACGACGAAAGCTTCATCGCATTGCATCGTCCCATGAATTTCTACTAGAAATTATAGACGTACGAGGTCATCATGGAAGTACAAGCCAAGCACATTGATCGGTAAACATTGCGAAGGAATTAGGGCAATAATTGAGTAAACGGCCCGCTAAAAATACATTTACTCTGTGGATAAAGCTAAGGAATAAGAGGTTTACGAATCGGGAAAAAAAAAGAGCAGCATATCACCTCGCGGGAGGAATCCTCCGGAGCCGTCGACTCCTCTCTCGCAGCCGCGGCCTTCTCCGCGGCGCGCGCGGCGGCGGCCTCCAGCCACCGGCGCTCCGCGTCCTCGAAGGCTCGCCGCGCGCGCTCGGACGCGTCGGCCTCGGCCTCCTCGAGCTCCCGGAGGCGGCGCTCCTCCTCCGGGTCGGCCGCGAGCGCCTCAGCCGCCTTCCGAGCGGCCTCCGCGGCCTCCCTCCGCGCCCGGCGCCGCCGCTCCTTCTTCCGCTCCCTCCGCCTCTCCTTCCTCGTGACCGCCGCATCCGCCGCCGCGGCGGGATCAGCGGCCGCCGTCGACATGGCCGCCGCCGGGAAAGGCTTCGCCGATTCAATCACTCTCGCCTCCTCTCTCTCTCTCTCTCTCTCTCTCTCTCGTCGGGGGGCCCGCATGGAAGGCGGAGATGGGTTGCAGTTGGGCTCAGGCTTACAGGTGCAATGGGCCTTCTCGATGGTACCGTCCAATGGGCCAGCCCATACACGAGAACTTGATCATAATTCTGAATTTTTGAAAAAGAATACTCCCTTCGTTCTATGTAAATGTAGATGTGAGTTTTCATATCCAACGTTTGATTGTCCACCTTATTTGAAAATTTATAAAAAAAATTAAAAAATTAAGTCATGCATAAAGTACTATTTATGTTTTATTATATAATAACAATTATAAAAGAATTTTAAATAAGATGGACGATTAAACGTTGGATATGAAAATTTACATCTATATTTAAAATGAGACGGAGAGAGTACATGGATTTAGTGGAAAAGGAGGAATTCATACACGTTGCTTGATTTTGAGGAGTAGTGTTTTTCTTTTAAAGGAAAATGCATGGTACAAAACTGGACGGTGTCGGCTGCCTTCGTTGGAGCGTTTTTCCTTGATTCTAACAGCCACACATAAAACGAGTTGAATCATTATCTTATAATTAATTAAATATTAACTATTATAAATCTAAATATAACTTTTAAAAGAGACTTATATATATAAATATTTTACACAAATCGTATCATTTAACTGTTTGAAAAATATTCTCATGATTAGATAGTACTAACCAGTGGCTGAAAAGAAAAGAACTGAGCCTAAAAAGGATGAAGTGAGCTTAGTTACACATTTTAAATCTCTATTGCGTAGTTGGAGAGTAGATTACATGAGGGCAAGTACTATGGGCATCCAAACACAAGTCTCAGGATACTATGTAGGACTAAATTATGATGTGGAAGAGAGAAGAAAGATGAGAGAGAAATAGCCACCTCTCATGTAAGGGCAAGTTTAATAGCTCATATTCATCTATAGTCAATGTAATAGACAATTCATACAATAGATGCTTATTATACTATTAATATATGGTCCCACCTGTTATACCCACATCGTATCTTGGAGTCCATTTTGCAGCTGGCTACAGATCTGTAGCCCGCTGCTCTTCTCTCTCATCTTTTATCTCATTAAAATATGTTTATAGCTGGCTAATAGTTTGCTATTGTACATGCTCTTAGAGATATTGGAGATTGTGGGGTAGAGGCAACCTATTATACATGTTACCTCTTAATTTAATGATGTATATCATGTACTACCTCCATATTTTAATGTATGACACCGTTGACTTTTAATCAAACGTTTGACCATTCATCTTAATTATCATTTATTTTATTATGACTTGATTCGTCATCAAATGTCTTTTAAGCATGACATAAATATTTTCATATGTGCACAAAATTTTTGAATAAAACGAATGGTTAAACGTTGATAAAAAAAAGTCAACGGCGTCATACATTAAAATACAAAATACGGAGGGAGTATAAAATTAGATGTGCCTCTACCATGAAACTTGCCCTAAGAGCAAGTTTAATAGTATAGACAACTACTAGCTCCATTTCATCTATAGCCAATCTAATAGCTCAGTCATACAATAGTTACATACTATACTATTAATACCTTGTCCCACCTGTCATACTCACACTGCGTCTTGGAGTTCATGCTACAGCTGGCTACAAATCTATAGCCCGCTGTTCTTCTCTCTTTTTATTTATCTTCTTAAAATATGTTTGTAACTGGCTTATAGCCTACTATTGTACCCGCTCTAAGATGCCCTCTAGGTGACCGTTGGTGTGAAGTATTAATCGATGGTTGACTTGTGATTCCACTCAAGGTGCGGTGACGTGTCTTTGTCCTAAGATTACCTCTCTACCACGCTTGAAAACTCTTTACGCTTCAACTAATATAAGTACGCCATGCGTCTTGCGCAATTGCTAAAAAAGCAACTCTTTACTTTAAAACGAATGACTAAAAGTAATGGCTATGTTCGTTTCTAATGACCGAAATGAATGTGCACGTTTATTGAGCTCGTATTTTTAACAAAAATGAATGATATATAATCTTAAAATATTTTAAAAAATCATTTTTAAAATTTTATAATAGTTAATTCATTTATTTTTATCCTCAAATAATTATTATAAATCATTTTGGCTAGCTGACCATTCAGCACAAATATCCTCCAGCTGAATTTAAATTAATAAAAAACAACCATACGAATTATCATGGTAACCGCGCTCACAAGAGCTCATACCTCTCTCTGATTGACGAATATTCTCATCAGACATCATATGTACATATGCTAAAAAATATTGTGTATCGCGTAGAATATAAGCGCTCATCGAGATAAGTTGTGTTCGTAGAAATGAGTGAGCAAGTGTTGTTCCTTAATAAAAGAAATATTTATATGGTTTACTCTCATTATAAATTTTAAGAAATAGTAGGAACGTTAGTTAATTATTAATCCTATGGATGTTTAGTAAAGTTATACAACTTCTAAATTTAGCTTTAGAAATTGGTGAAGTTGAAAATTGTTTAGTTGAATTCTAGGTCTAGAAGTAATTGCACATGCTCCATGCTCTCCTCGCATCATCTCCTCCTCTCTAGTTTGCGTCTTCTCGCTCCCACACGGAAGACGAAAAAGGTGATCCATCCGGGCAGCCACGCACGCGTGTGAAAGCCGCTTCTTTTTTTCCCATCATTTGCTGCTGCTGCTGCACACTCCTCGGCGCGAGCCCAACTCCGTCCCTACCGCCCGCCCCGATCCGGCCGCCGCCGCCGCGCATTCCCAAAACCCCCTCCTCTCTGCTCTTGCCCTGACCCCCGCCACGGAACTCCTCTCCGCCGGCGTGGTGGTAGCCCCCCCCCCCCCCCCCCGGCGCTCCGGCCGGCGGCCTCCGGATCGCGCGATCTGACTTTGTGCTGGAATCCCCGTCGCGTGTGATATTATAGCTGTTGCCCTTACCTCGCTGTTTCGGTTGCGGTGCGGGGGGTTAGGGTTCTTGCACACCGCTGTGGAATTGTGGATCCTAGCGGCTGGGATCTCTCTCCCTCGGTCCACCCACACATGATCTTCGCGGGGAATTTGGTGTGGTTTTACCACCATTACGTGTAGGGAGACTAGGGCTCGTGTTGTCGTGTGTTTGTTGTTGTTGTTGTTGTACTAGCTTGGAGGAGGCTGCTGCTGCTTGCTGCTTATTCTCGCGTGGTTGACCATGAAATCCTGAATCCCCGTTTTGCTTTCGATTGGCGCTATTGAATTGAGTTTTAGTTTTCAGCTATCTTTGACTTAGGGAAACCAAACCCAAACAAAGAAGCTGCACTTTCCCCCTACTCTACCTCCCATAGCAGTTTGCTCATTTTTTGTTTGGTGGCGTGCACATCACTATCAAAGTAGTAGTAGTATCTAAGGTCCATCTCTTCGCAAGCGGTCATCAATCACTTAATTCTTGCAATGCATTTTGTAATTCAATCATAGGGAATCAAGGTGCGGTGGTTAAGCCCATGCAATTTGGTAATAAGCACTATAGCTCATCAGTGTTATAGATAAGAGATCTTGTGAGTGTTTAGGGTTTTCGATAATTCGGTCGACCATTCGTTGGTTCTTGGTGGAAGGGAGGGAGGTTCTTGTTTGGTGATGTCTTGTACCTCCCCAGACCCGCCCGATTACTGCTCGGCCGCATCGCCTGAGCTTAAGCTATACCAAGCCTTCATCTTCTCCGTGCCGGTTTTCTTCACGTTCGTCTTGCTTCTCTTCTTCTACTTGTTCTACTTGCGACGGCGCAGAGCAAACTGGCAGTCCTTGCGCATGAGGACTAATAACTTGATACGGGGAGATAACCCCAGAGTAAGCTAGCCTCCGCGCCCTTCTGTTGAGTAACTTGGCTTTTCAGGATATGTTAGTGTATGGGGATTTTGTTGTTTGATCTGTATTGTCTTGAATATATGCGTAGTTGGAGTGCGGCATAAAGAAGGAGATGCGGGAAATGTTGCCTGTTGTGGTCTTCAAGGAGAGCTTCTTGATCAGGGAAACACAGTCAGTGATCTACTCCTAATCTCTCTTCAATGCAGTTCATATACTGTTGTGCTAGACCATAAATCTTTCTCAATTGATAACCACTTCCATTAATATGTGTTGCACCTTTTATTGCTCCAAAATCATGAAAGCACTTCGATGTAGGTTTTCCGTTGGGTCTGGACCACCAATATCTCAATAATTAGTTCAGTAATGAATGGAAGTGCTTCTAAATTAGAGCCTTGAGCTACATTTAGAGAATGTTTCCGAAGGGCAATAGCAAGCATATCAATGCCCTGAGGCCCTGAACCATATATGCAGTTAGTTAATTGCTAACGTTATAGTGGATGTGTGCCACTTGCGCAGTTAGAAAATATATTGGACAAAACAAAGTTATTCAAATACTCCAATATTTGGAAATTCTTCAAAATTGGTGCAAGGTCGGTAAGCTTAATTGATGGGTGTATTGCTTCCAGCTTTCCATAACAATGTGTAAAATCCTAGTAATGTGTAAAATTAGGCTTGAATAAAGTTCTGATGGACTTTCTTTAGAAGAGATGCCATAGAGTATTCGTGAGCTTAGGTGAAATTCTTTTGCATATTATCATTTGCCGAATTATTGCCAAGGATTTTATTTTGTCAATAGTTATGTGGTTATATGGTCATATCATAATGGATATGCATAAACAGTGCACTGGTTGGACACGGTAACATATGTATTGCAACTTATTGAATGTACATCAAAATCGCCTGTTGATTCAGACTTTCAGAGGTTCACATGGGCTAATATGCACTCAAAAAAAAAAACTGAAAGAACATACATTAGTAAGGTTTCCAATATTACCCCCAACCCTCATCCCCAAAATACCAAAGAATTGTACATGAATTACAGGAAGGCAAGATCCAGCCCAAGTGCTAATATTTTTTAACAATCACGGTTTTCAAATTTGGTAAATAACTAGAATTAGTCTGGAGGAAAGGACAGAAAGAAGAAAGCACTTGAATACAGAAAATCACATGCGAGTCATCCTACGGATCTTATGCATATGGAGCAACCTGTAGGTCACTCAGAGTTAGTCTGTTCCAGAATAATGTTGAATTTTGTACAGATAATTTACTCAAATGTTTGACCCTTATTGTGGTATTTGATCAGTGTGTAGAATTGTTTTCTCTGTTGCTCAGAGAAACTATGGATCAGTAGCAAACCACTACAATTGGCATGGTACCTTTAACACGGTAGATAGTATATTATTTGCAATTACCATATGGCTTAAAGGCTTTCGTTGAGACTTTCTTATTTCACATTTGTCAACTGGAATATATGTCCATAGCATAGCTGAGTTAAGATTGTGTGTTGGTTAAACTAGAATAGTTGTTTTCTGTCTTCTGAGTACTGGCATTTTACCCTGAATTGGTTCTTTTGTTCTGAACATACAATCATTCTTGACAGATGCTCTGTCTGCTTAGCAGACTATCAACCGGATGAGCGGCTCCAGAGAATACCTCCTTGTGGCCATACCTTCCACATCGATTGCATCGACCACTGGCTCTCGACAAACACCACTTGCCCTCTTTGTCGAGTATCCCTCCTTCCATCCCCCAAAACCGCCAGCATTGATCCAGTGGATTTGGAAGCACAGACCGTTGAAGAGAACAGCTCTTTGGATGTACAGTATCAGGAGGGCCGCATTGACGAGAACACGCGACAGGAGGATCAGACATTGCAACAAGGTAGTGAGGGTCCAACGCATCAAGCTGAAGAAAACGAAGAGACATCAGTCAGAGTAACCACTGAGCCCCAAGTAGAGGCCGAGGGGTCTCCAAGCACAACCTGCCGGCCTTGTAAAACGAAGAAATAAGGCTTCTGCTGATGTACCATGTCGTGGCGATCTGTATTTTAGATGCTCATTAAGAGCGTATAAAGATGTCAGGTTATAGATGGGTAAATGGTCTAATCTCTGTATTCAGACAGAAATAATGGTGATGGTTCATACAAAATTTCAGATCCCATCCTAACTTGTGTGTTGTTAGGAAATTGATTTAGCAGAAGCTCTGATCGTTTTTCGTTTGGGCAATTGATCAATTTGGCACTTCCAACTTTCATAAACAAGTAACCTGTTCAGTGAAAGTCTGCATGTACGAAAGAGCACATGGCCAAATCCCCCCGTTTACGTGCAACTGACAGTCGACTGTTTTGCCTATGGGCTTCAGTGTCTTCTGAAAGTATGCCATTTCTTTAGCTCTTTTCATTCCCCTTCGAAAGTGTTTTGTCAATATGTTAGTACAAGCTATCTGTTCTGTCCTAAAATAAAACAACCTAATTTCGACAAAGAGATTATATGTGACATCCTATCTTAAGTTGAGATATTCTGGGACAGAGGCAAGCCCAAAGATCTGAACACACAAGAATCCGCACCTCGAAACGGAATGATCTAAGCAAACACGTTTGGGATTTCAAAAGCGAAAGGTCACGCACGATCCATAGCAAACACGTTTGGAGGTCACGGCATTGGCACGCAGAACAATCATTCCGACAGGCAGAGCAAGCCTTGCCTTATGTCAGGAGATGAGCACATCATCACAGATTAGCCATAAAGACATATTCTCCACTAGTACAAAACAAAGGGAAACAAAAAGGCCTTGGCACGCAGATTACCCCCATCACGCCACAGCAGAAAAAGAACTCCACTATCACAGAAAAAGAACAGCATCACAATGATGAGAAGCGGCATATCAGGTTCAGTTCAGTCCAGTTCCATTTCCATTCCTATGTACATGCAGGTAAGTGAGTACAGAAAATTGTCATAGATTTGGATGGCTTCCACGAGGAGGAAAAGCACAGGTACATTCAGCAGGAGGAAAGCACAGCGTAGGAAAAAAAAACTTAGCAAATGCTCCGACTTCCGAAAGCAAAAACACCACCCGGTAAAAAAAAAGAAAAGAAGGAATGCCGGTGGGTTAAAACGAACAGCTCCAGTGGCGGCACCGGAACTGCGAACAGGATGCAAGGGGGGGGGGGGGGGGGGAGAAGAACTGATGCTTAGCTACGGATGATGATACCCCATGCATTGCAGGAAGAAAGGAACATGAATGCTTGACACTCTATTTACTGGTGCAGCGAGAGATGGCGAGGCCCGGGCCCCGTTCTTGCAGGTCTACCACCAGTCACCACTTTACCAAAACTGAGCACTGGACAAAGGATGCCATGGCTCCTACTACCCCCACACAGCAGAATTAAACACGGATGGGCCAATCACGCAGGGAATGCCAGGTGATGGAAATGCTGCCTCCCCAGCCATCCTTCCTGGCATGGGATCCACACTGGTCCAGGGGCAGCTATGCATGATGCATGAACCATGGTAGATGCAGACGGTGTCCTTCGGGCCCACGAACCAACCAGCGGATAACTCTTAGAAGTCCCAAGGATCATGGGCATTGGCCCCCATGCTCAACATCCCAAGATGGAAAAAAAAAACTGAAGGGAAATATGGCCAGGTAGCATTCAGCAATCCTTATCGGTGACGGGGGCGGTGCTGTCCAGGTCACTGTGAGGCATGTCAGACTCGGGCGATTGTTTGTTTGGGTTTGGCTTGATGGCGTCGCCAATGATCGGCAGCTTCGACTTGGGAGTAAGTTGCTTGGCTTCCTCGTAGGTGTAGATGTATATCCTTTTCACCATGCTGCAAAATTCACTGCAGTGGCAACAATCGAAATGTAATTAGTTAAGGCTCAAGGAATTCAAAAAATGAAGTAATTAATTGAACAGGGATAAGGGTACATACGGCCAAGGGTCATCCCCAACCAGCATCATATCATCCTCATCATCTGTGTAAACAACCTTCCATTTCTTTAGGCTAGCAGAGAGCTCTCCTTGGATATCAAACATCTCTTCTAACTTGCAGCGAAGATCATCATATCCATGGAGCCTTGTCAGGTCCACTGCCCTTCCAACTGCCATTCCTTGCATGATGACCTGCAAGAAGACCAATTATTAATTACTCCGCTGTCCACAAGAGGATATTGAGTATTGCAAGCAAAAATAACCCTCATTACCTTGGTGCAGCTCCTCACTTGCCGACTCTGAGTCTCATGAGGAGATGGCTCACTGCTTGCCGCTGGAGCATCAGATTTGTTGGCATGTGATGGTTGTGAGAGCTGATCAGACTCAGCATCTACTGAGGCAGCTGGTTGGTCTTGACCAACACCAGAAACAGCAGCCAGTGGAGATGTAGCTTCCACAGCAGAGCTTATCTCGATTCCAAACAATCTGCAGCCAGCCGAACTAGGCTCTTGCTTCTTTTCAGATGGAACTTTGCTGATGCTAGCAGAGTAAGAGTTGGCTCTTGTCTCTCTCATTGGCCAGTAAAAATGCTTGTTGCTTAGAGCAGATGGCTCATTCTTTGTACTGAATCCAACATTTAATGATGTTGAGAAGATCGGATTGGGGCTTGAAGGATATAGTTCCTGTGTTCGCTGTAGTCCCGAAAATGAGAAGCCTTGTGTGGACTCAGCTGAAGATTTCCACAAACCTAAGTTAGGAACAGAAGAGGTTAGACATGCAAAGCAGACAGCAATTGAAGAGACAGACAAGCAGTACACTGCAAGGTTTCTATTGCTAAAACAGTACTAGCTATCACCTTAAAGCAGAAGCACAATCTGTAGCAATATCTTAGTAAAAACATACCGAAGACCGGAGGTAGTTCTGGAGCAATTGAATTCGAAGCAGGAGGCCGAGCCCGCTTATTTCTTGCCGGTGGCTGAGGTGATGGCTGTGAATTACTCACAGCAAGTGGCTCTAGTTCCCATGGTGAAACTCTATCTGGACGAGGAACCACAGAAGGCTCATCCCATTGGACCTATCAGTGGTGAACACATGGGTTGTGATTCTGGAAGATATACAAGAGAAAACATGACAACACAACTGCAGGCATTTTCTAAGAAACATATGTCCTCAAATGTTCCAGAAAGCAGATGCAGAGGAAGAAGGGCATCCTGCCCACAAATTTGAAAATCTTAATTACCTTCAAAGATCTCCAGTCAGAATTTGCCCATGGAGACGTTGACATGCTCCCAACACCAATAATTGTTCCACTAAACCTATAAACCATGAAGAAATATTTATGAGATGTGCCCACACAATTTTTGAACCAATGAAAAACCAGTGGATGGAAAATAGACGTTAAATTACCTTCTTTCAGGAGCTTCATCGCCCTCGAATCTCATCTTAAACCTCATTCCAACAGATATCTTGCTGTTTTTAGCTTCAAGGTACTTGTTAGCACTCACAACAAACTCAGACTGACTTGTTCTGAAACCCAAATTAGATGAACAAACACTGACTTATTAGAATGTAATGGTACAACATATGTTTAGCACAAGAAAATAAATAAGACCTATCAAACAAACTCACACAAAAATATATTCCTAAAATGGAATGTAATTCTGTGAGGAAAAGTTACATATAATTCTATAAGCACTCAACAGAGCAATATCATAAGTGAAAATTTAAATGGGCATCCAGGGAATCATCTCAGGATATCAGATAACATCATGCATATTTTATTACGAAGTACATTGCATCTGTACATAAGAAAATGCTAGAGGTACATAAAGCATTGGTGAAGAACTTAGGTACAATGATAAGATTAGAAGAATCAAACCTTGGTTTGTAGAAAACAGAAAAGAGAGTTCCGGTGGATATAGCATGTGATGCAGTTGCTAGGACTCCAAGATGCATACTATGACTTGATATTACTGATGATGGCATGTTATTTAGTTGCCTCATGAGCCTCCTGACACCAACTCGTAGCTCTCCATTCTCACCTCTGTTATATGAACACCGTATTTACAACAGCAATAGTGATATAGAATATTCATCCTGAACTCCGCAGACCCAGGAAACAAACGCAAATAAGCAAAATGTGTTAAATGGCTTCAAGCCTTCCAAATGTTCCCCTGCATACCTCAGAAAGATGAATGCGTCACCGGCAACTAATCTTTTTGAGCTAACAAAAACACTCCAGCCAGTTGTAAGCAGATGCCTCCTAGGTTGTCCTAAAATAAGGGAGTGGTGGGGGGACCCTTTGTGAGACATAGTAACAAAATCACCATGGAAAGCATTACTAATATGCCACCAATTTCTTTTGGGGAAGCCCTTTCATTATGGAAGCTCAGAAGGAACTACATTCACTATTACTATGTTCTTCCTATAACTTACCTCGAAAGATGTGACGGAAATGCCACTCGTTTCCATGGAGATCTCTAGCCACAAGCTCTTGCCATGGTGGATTCTGAGTCATGTCCTAAAGATAAACCATACCACATACAGAAGATGTTACAGATAGCAAATATCCAATGTGATTATCCGCATATGAAGGGAGTTAAAAATATTTTTGGTCCTAACCAGGGGAGGAAGACATTCTTCTGCATGCCTCCTAAGAACTGAAAATCCACCATGGGTGCTTGTATCTGAAGCAGTCAAAGTCTTGCAGAAGGAATGGACATTGCATTTTTCAGGTTCATGTGGCTCAGGTTTTGGGCTGGTGAGTTCATTTTGCTAACAACAGAATAAAGGAAAATGAATAAGTACATACCCATATAAAATTCCAAGGCAATAGAATTTATGTGAGAATATGAGAGAAGACGATCAGAAGAAAGAAAGGACTATGACATGAGCAAGATCACTACATTACAGCTTGATAAAAAGCTCAAATGAGCTGAAAAGGACAACTATTATTTAGAAGAAAAATATATAAGAAAAGCATACTCACATCTGCTTCTGGTTGCAGCATAATTTGAGCATAAACCTCATCTGAATCGGTTTCAGCCTGCATACCAGAGGAAAAAAGGTGAGTAAACTACAGGATGAAAGGTACACAAGTAATACTCTTGCTAGAAAATCCAGAGGAACTTTCATATAGCGTGAAACTACTGCAGACCAGAAAAGGAAAATGCTTACCCTAAGTTCTACATTGACCACTTTGCAGAGGATCTTAGATGGCAGGTTAAACAAAGGCAGATGCTGGTCAAGCTGTTGGTCTGTAGATGCCTCAAGCTATAGAAAAAGCATGAAAAGATCAGTTCAAAGGAAAGACATAAGATTAGTTCAAAGGAAAGACGTACTAAAATAACTACATTGCCGAAGAAACAAAACCATACTGCTGTGTGTCAACACAAGGAACAAGTGACATTCTTATGGCACAAATTAGTAGCAAACTCCTTAATTTTAGGACATGATAGAGAGCAAGCAAGCATTGATATATTATAGTGAGATTTACCTGTTCCATATGGCCCTGGGGGAAGTAGTAAACCAATTCGCCTTGGCGAGGCACTGTGACCAACGGCCCAGCGCAAGCATGCCATAGCTCCCTGTACAACGCATCGCAAGAGCTCCCTGCACAGAGGAATTTTTACTCTCTTTTTTTAGGAAAATAAAAACATCACCATACAAAATCAAGCGAAATTTCCCCTCATGTCATGGTGGCAACCAAAAAGGTCTAATTAACCGTTGATCATGAGTTAACTACACCATAATTGCTCCAGAATTGTAAATCTAAACAAGCAGCACACACATAGATCCAACATTTTTCTCATTTGCGTCTCTGTGGTAGAACCAATTGCCAACCTAACCATTTTTTTTTCAAAAAAAAAAGAGAGAGAAACAAAGACGCTGTCACTACAAAACAGGTTCTCAGATCCGTAATTGCACATGTGTTTCCCCCATTTCACAGATCGGAATTCGCTTGCATCCGAAGAGAATTACTAGAGCAGTGGCCATACTAGCGGAATTACGAGTTTTCGCACGAATCAGCACAACAGGAACAAATCTCCGACCTAAAAAGGAAAACAAGACGACAAAATTGGACAAGAAATGGAAGAGAAAAGGCGCTTTTTATGGTAAACAATGCCGAGTCGCCTCGAATTCCAACCAATTCCACACCACACAACAACCCCTCTCTCTCTCCCCCCTAGACGAACAAGTCAACTGCCCCCCAAGTCCACGTCTCTCTCTCTCTTGCTAGCTCACCAAGCACTCGACTCACCAGCTAACTTCACAACCCCAATTCAGACCAAACACACACACACACACACACACACACACACACACACACACACACACACAACCAGCCGAGGCGAAAAACGCGAAGAGAAAGCGCGGGACACGAACCTGTGCCACCGCCGGCGGCGGCAGCAGCAGCAACGACGGAGCCAGCCATCCCGACGAGAGGAATTCAGGAGGAGGAGGAGGAGGAGAGCGAGGTGCGCGTCCCGATCTGGTCACCCCATGCCCCTCCCCGCAGATCCGGCCTCCCCGCCGCGGAATTCAGAGGGAAAACGAAAAAAAAAACTCGGAGATCCCACACCGGAGAGCGCGCGCCACTGCGGCCGCTGCCCGAGGTGAGCGCGCGGTGGCCGGAGGAGGAGGCCGCGGTGGCGTGAGGAGGAGGTGGTGGTGGTGGCTTGCCGCCTTCGCTGGCTGTGGCTTTGGCTTGCGCGGGGAGAAGAGGAAGAGAGAGAGGGGGTGTGTTGCTGCTGCTGTTTTATTTTTATTATTTATTTATTTATTTTATTTTATTTTTGGCTCGTGTTTTTTTTTCCTAGTACTCCACTAGTTGGCGCGAGGCGAGGGGAGGGGAGCAGCGGGTGGGTGGGTTTGTTGCTGGGCGCAGCTGCCTTTACGTTTTTTTCTCCTTTTTTTTTGTGCGTTTTTTTTTAATGGATGTGTGCGCGAGTTTTCGGGGGAGGCAGGAAAGGCGTGAGCGGATGGAAACGGTAACGGCTGCCGGCCGTTAGCCGTTACTGTGCTGCGGGTGGTCCATCTGCCGTGAGGACTGAGGAGTGGGCTAATGGAAACGGCTACGGCTACGCGGTGAGTGTACCCCGTGGTGTTGGGTTTCTCGAAAAAAAAACGCAAATATCATGGAATGATCTAATATTAAGGAGTGAGGCTTCAAACCTATGTCGTCTAACCCTCTACCTTGTGAAGCTAGCAGAAAGACCCCTAGGTGTTTCTCGTTGGGTTTCTTGCGACGATTGTCTTGGCTTGGCTTTACCGTTCATGCAGGTGTGTTTAAGGGGAAGTACGTTGTTTGGATAGTGGATGTGGGAGTTTTAGGGTGTGTTTAGTTCACGCTAAAATTGAAAGTTTGGTTGAAATTGGAATGATGTGATGAAAAAGCTAGAAGTTTATGTGTGTAGGAAAGTTTTGATATGATGGAAAAATTGAAAGTTTGAAGAACAAGTTTGGAACTAAACTCGGCCTTAGAAGGGATTAGAAAGAGGAGATTACGAACTTTTGCCTTTTTAATACTCCCTCCGGGCTGATAATACTTGTCGTTTTGGACAAGAGTGAAGTCAAACTTTAGAATCTTTGATTATGAATCATTTTTAAAATATTTATCTTTCAAATATGGTGACTACATGTATAGATTAGTCTTAAGAAGTACTTTAATAAGATCATATATTTGTTAACAATTTTATACATATTATAATGAAAAATAATGGTCAAAGTTGTCCAAAACGACAAGTATTATCAACCCGAAGGAAGTATCTTGGTAGGGGTAGGTAACTGGGAAAGTTTTGAAATTCCTTTTAGAAATACGAAGAGATAAATCTAGGTTGTATATCAGTCACTTAAAATTCGATTCTCACCTAAACTTCCCATGATTATCATCTCTACAACTAAACAAGGACGGTGATTAAAAATAAAAATCTCATGAACACCTCCACCATCTCCCTCTATAAGCTCAGCTCCTGTTCTTCTTCCCCGTAAGTTGTCAAACACGTCGTAAGGCCTAAGGGCATGTAGTGTTAAACTGTTTTATATATGGTGCATGCAAATGCCACACCACACATTTCATGCACGCATTCTTCTTCGGTTCTTCTTTTTCCAGTTATTCTGGTCGCTTGTTTGGAACCGTTGCACATAGCCAGCGAAAACGTTGCAGCACATATTTTCGCTACTTCTTAACTTGTCGTTTGTGCATGCAGTTTTGCAATACTACCCCGTCCAAAAAAAAAGACAAACCCTAACTTTCCGTATCCAACGTTTAACTGTTCGTCTTATATGAAATTTTTTTATAATTAGTATTTTCATTGTTGTTAGATGATAAAACATGATTAATAATTTATGCGTGATGTCTTTTTATTTTTTTCATAATTTTTTTAAATAAGACGGACGGTTAAAGTTAGACACGGAAATTCAGGGTTTGTTTTTTTTTTGACAGAAGGAGTACGTGTGCCAGTGCCATTGCATGCGTGACGTTAGCTACTCCAGTTAATTTTCGAAGCTGATCGAAACGTACGGCTACCGATGGATTTTCCACGTCACGACGACCCGCTGGATCGCCATTGATGAGCCCATAACTGCGGTCATTTAAAGGCTCACGGGTCGGGTCGGGTTCGCGCCTAGTACTAGCTATGCTTCTCCGATCCTCTGTCGGGTGGGGCCGGACAGTAAAAACAGTAGGAGTAGACAGGACGGTGGTGGGGTCCAGCGCCACACGTACTTATACGAAAAAGAGAGACCCGGATCCGATAGATCCGCACACGGGCGCGGGTCGCGGGTCGTCGTACTTTGGCACCCATAAGTGCACCGGTTTATGTATGGCCGGCTGGCTCTCGCGTACCGTACGGTCGTGCTGCAATGCTCCGGTCGGCCGGCCCAGCGAGCTGCTTCTTTTTGGTAGGTAGAGCACGTCTTTGCATATACTCTCGCCGTCCTATAATAAGCGCTGTTATAGGTTTCAGTATCCAATTTTGACCATCCATCTTATTTAAAATATTTTTATGACTAGAAAAAATGCTCGTGCGTTGTAACAGCTAGAAACATTTTTCAGTGGTACAACCGCTATTAGGAACTAAGCGATGAATTGAAACATTAGAATGATTATATGTACATTATAATTGAAAAGGTTAATAAAAAATGTTCATGGGTTTGGCCCGAAAGATCCATTCTTTTTCAGTCATAACCTAGTCCACTACCTCCCTCACCTGACTCTCTCCGATCTAACCCATGAGTGGAGCTACAGGTCCAGCTCGCACAGTCAATTGCCCTGACTCTCTCCGATCCAGCCGACGGCCTTGACTCTCTCCGATCCAAGCCCACAAGTGGAGCTATAGGCCCAGCTCGCACATTCAACTGTCGTCTTCAACCTCAAGATAGTCTTGTGCCAATATGCCGGAGCCGATCCTCCCCATTAAATCCTCTGGGCGAATTTTTTTTATATATAAATTGGTTGAGGGTTTTTGATCCACTCGATCTCCTCTTTCCGTTTTCCCGAAATCAGAACGAATCCGCAAAATTCGAGATAAAAGGGGTGGTTGGCTATCATTGGCGACTAAGACTAAATCTAGTGAATTAAAGCTGAATTGAAAGAAAAATTGTGAGAAAAAATGATGAGGATAAGTGGGGAATCCATTTTTGCAGTCAATTGGAGCAGAAAATGCATGGGAATACATATGGAAGTGGCGACGGTGCTAGGGTTTGGTCAAGCGGCGGCGGCGTGCAACGGATCGGATGAGATAAAATAACCGGCTAAAAAATAGGATGGAAAAAACAACTAAAAAAGAGAAAAGAAACCGGATGAAAAAAGCAAAAAAAGGGGGGGGGAAACGAATCGGAACAAAAAAAAAGAAACGAAAAAAAAATAAACGGACAAAAAAAGATATAAAGATAAAATTAGAAACCAACTCAAACACGGATGACGTATCAAAATCCCGGCAAAAACATCTTCAATTTTTATAATAGTAGAGATAGAGATTGGTATTGTTATTGTTATTAGATGATAAAATATAAATAGTACTTTATGCGTGACTTAACTTGTAAAAATTTTTCATAAATTTTTCAAATATGACATATGGTCAAACGTTGAACACGGAAATTTATGGTTGTACTTATGATAGAACGGAGGGAGTATATATCTGTTAGACGTAACTAATTGAGAAGAGAGATGAGAACATCTAAAATATATGTAAAACGAGTGAGTTATTAGTGTATGATGAGTTAGAGATTAATTATTTTAAACTTAAAAATATATTAATATGATTTTTAAAAAACAACTTTTGTATAGATTTTTTAAAAAAATTTACACCATGTAATAGTTCGGAAAGTGTGTGCGTGAAGAATAAGATAAATCTCCTCTGTCTATGGCTCAAACGTAGAAACTATCAAAGCTTTAAGATTTAAGTAGGGTTTAACTTAGTAGGTAAAGATTCCCTAAAAAATTACATGATGATTTTTTTAGGGTAAATTACATGATGATTTAATTAGGATTTCAACAAGTTATACTCCTCGGTGACCAGTCTTAAAAAAACATGATTATATAAGCAGGCTTCGAGCTCAAGCCTAAGCTACCTTAGGTTTGCCTCCGCCTCTATAATACCGCCATAGCGGTCATGTGGATGTTTTTGTTGAAGAAGTAGTTGTGACTAAGGTTTACAATCCTGGTGGAATCCAATCTAGATTTCATGAAATCTGGAGATCTTAAAGTGGATCGTTATTTAGTTTCAACAGGAAATTTGAATGATTAGAAAAAAGAGAGAGAGTAAATTTTCCATGTTAGAAAAAAGAGAGTATATTTTCCATGATAAACGACTTAGTTAGATTTGTTTGGGCTTAAAAAAAATAGCTCTGTCACGACGAGAAAAGGAGATTTAGAAAAAGTACTCTCATCTTTTTTTAAAAAAAAATATAGATAGTGTCATTAACTGTTGGACAAATATTTAACCAATCTTCTTATTTAAAAGAAATTGTAAAAATGCATATTATATAAATCATGTATTAATTAAAGTACTTAAATGATAAAACAACTCATAATAAAATAATAATTTATAAAAAGTAGTAGCATCATCTATTTAAAAAAACGAAAACAGCATCACAACTATGGATATGAAGGCACGGGCACACGGCCCTTATCCATAAACACCCTCATAAACTACCACATGAATTTTTCATGTCCTACACTCACCCGCACCTGGACGCTGTACTGTACTGGAATATACGGAGTATATACTTACTCGTACATTTTTCCAGGTTTTAATTTTCCTCTTTGCAACAAGGTTTACAGTTTGACCGGGGGTGAGTGGTGACGGCGTCAGCTCCGTGACCGCCACAAAGGCACAGGCGCCGTAGCCAAACGCCGTCAAAACTTACGGCGTCTGAGGTGGGCCAGTGCCTGGGGCCCACGCGTCAGCGGCGTGGGGGCGGTAGTTTAATGCATGTCCCTTGCCGGCCCGGCACCCCACCGCGCGCGGTGCCATTCCAAGTAAAGCACCCGATATAAAAATGCCCCCGGGCCTTTTGCTACCCGCGCCGCGTCTTACCCGCCGGTGCGGGCCCCACCTGTCATCGACCTCCTCTTTCGTCGGGAGAAGTGTAGGTGTAGCTCGCCGAGGGATGATATGGGCCGACCGCGGCTTGACAAAACCGTTTCGCAGCGAAGATGCCGTGGGTGTGCTTCCATTTCTAGAATTTTTTGTCTATCAAAATATGGTTAGACGTATTGTTTTACGAGCGATTTAAAAACCAAAGCTAGAAAATAAAAAAGCGATAAGAACATTTAGGCTGAGTTTGATTGCAGCAGATAGATAGAGAGAATAAATATCTCGTTCTCCGCACACGCGTTTTACGAACGGCTAGACGGTACGTTTTTTTTAAATAAATTCTTTAGGAAATTCATTTTTAAAAATCGTATTAATCTATTTCGAAGTTTAATATAATTAATATTCAATTATCAATTACCGTTCATCTTGTTTTGTGTATCTCTTCATTCCCTTCCTCTTAAATACAACTTTAGATTGGTTAGCGCCTTAGCGGTGCATAGGCTGATGATAACGATACTTTGTAAGAATAAAAGACTCATACACACATCACGGTTAGTCAAAATAAATCAATGATTAAAGATTATTAGCAGGTAAAAAAAAATCCTCCACTATTCATTAGGATTGGCATCAACGTTGGCTTAAGCTTTTTTGCCGTTTGGCCCAACGTCACAGCATAAAATGGGAGCCGTGGAGTTGGGGTGAGTGACAGAGGGAATAATGGAGGACGATGCAACAGGAAAGAATCGGTGGCCGGGCGGCCGGTCCTTTTCCCATGTACCACGTTGGAGTACAGTACATGCCACCCCCCTCCCCCTCTCAGGGCTAGGATTCGGTGACATTCCCCCGTGACATTCTTGGTGACATTGAATCACTTGAATTCGGTAACATTCCCCCGTGACATTCTCGGTGACATTGAGTCACTGACATGTGCCTGAACCAACATGTCAGTGACTCAATGTTACCGAGAATGTCACGGGGGAATGTCACCGAATCCCAATCCCTCCTCTCTCTCCTGTTTTAGTTTCCAATTTTTTTCCCCAAAAAGTCACATTGAATATTTGTACACATGTATGGAGCATTAAATATCGATAAAATGAACACTAATTGCACAGTTCGCATAGAAATAGCGAGACGAATCTTTTAAGCCTAATTAGTCCATCATTAGCCATGAGTGCTACAGTAATCTACATATGCTAATGAAGGATTAATTAGGCTTAATAAATTCGTCTTGCGGTTTCCAGACGAGTTATGAAATTAGTTTTCTCATTCGTATCCAAAAATCCCTTCCGATATCCGGTCAAACGTCCGATGTGACACTAAAAAATTTTCTTTTCGCGAACTAAACAATGCCTTATTTGGAGAAACTTCTGATAGTTACAACTGGTTGTAAAATTCTAAACTTAGCTTTTTTTTTTATTCAGATTCTGTGAAAACTCTGATTATATAATCCTGAAAATAAAATAGAAGTGAGAAGCTATAGGTCTTTCGACTTTCTCAAATTATCAGAAGAAGCTGATTAACAATCGGTTGTTTTCTTATAATCTTTTTAGCTACCTAAAACAGGGGCAAGACCGTGTTGAGAGCGACCGAGGTTGTGGTGCTGCTGCTTTGGTTGTCTGTCTCCCTACCCGGGCATGCCCTCGATCGGTCGGTCGATGGCCTTTCCTTTTCAGCGAGGCCCCTGCCTGGCTTTTTCTCGCATCTTGCCTGCTCTGATGCCTCCCCCAAATTAAGTAGTGCTACTTAGTTTTACTACTTAAACAAGCAAAGCTCCAAGGAAATCAAGGCAGAGTCTTTAATTAGTATTTCCTTTTTTCTCGAAATATAAGAGATTTTAAACGTACGAGACACCTAATAGAACTTTGTCCAGATACATGCTAGAAAGTATCTCATCCATCAATTTTTTTTTATATTTTAGAACGGAGAATGTATTAATATTTTGAGAGTGTTTAGATTTGAGTTGCATGAAATTTTCAAAAGTTACTCTCACTTCTCTAGTCCGATAATCCAATGGTTCTTATAATGCACTCTCTGTTATTAAATAAAGTCGTTTTTTCTTATATGAAAGGTTAAACAGCAAACAATTCTAAGAAAACATGAATTTTTTTTACAATCCATAAGAATTTAAAAAATCGCATACAAAAATATTCAAACTTGGGTAAAATAATGTGACAAAAACAGATGCCATGCCGATAAAATGGATTAAATTGCATTGAATAGCACCGTAATTTTAGACTTAGAAATGTGTAATTTTAGGTGACCGAAAATTTACAAAGTTTAGCAGATACCTACTACTACTAGTAGTAGCGACAATAATCAGGCTATTAGTTGTAGTGCAAGAGATCTCTAATTCTCTCTGTATCCACAGCAGCATCAGTGTAGCGTTGTCTGTTGAACCGTACACCTTAAAGGATTGGGGTATAGACTGTGTTTAGTTCCTTCCAAATTTGGAAGTTTAGGTTGAAATTAGTACGATGTGACTGAAAAGTTGCGTGCGTATGACATGTTGATGTGATGGAAAAAGTTGAAAGTTTAGATCCAAAGTTTGGATCTAAACACAGCCATAATGGATCATAAACTTGGCGAGATCTCACTGTCTCCAACGGATCTTCCTGAGATTGTCTTTCTTAGAAGCAGAAATTTCAAGGAGGAAGGATTTTGTAAAAAAAAAAAGTTGTTCAAATATTGCTTCAAATTCAATTGACATTTTGCTCGAGACAGCGAGATCTTTGCACAGGATTCAACTACTGTATGGAGACATCTTGGAGGTGCAGAAATCAAGCAACCTTGTTAATTGATTAAAACGACAACATGGCTGTACTGTATCTGTGGAGACAAAGTGATGGTTTCTTGTACTCATTTGTTTTAAGTATTTAGGTAGTAACATGCTTTGCGTGATAGCACACCTAATCCACAAAACCCTCGCAAAAAAAAAAGTGCTAATAATTGAAACTGTACCCGAACTCGCTCAAAAACTATCAGAATTCATTTGGAGGTAGATTGTGTTTATATATATATATATATATATATATATATATATATATATATACATTAATTTGTTTTCATTTAATTTCGACAAATACAAAGTGTGACTTGTTTTACAATTATTGTCAATCTACACCATTATAATTTGTTTATAGTTAGAAAAATATTTATATTTTAAAACAGAGAAAGTACCTATCATGATCACAGGAACAAGCTTTTCAATTTTTTTCCCTCCGACTAACGTCATAATTTCTAGGCAAAATATAATGGCACCATTCAGCCTTTTCTTTACAACAATATATTATTGTGCACTAAAATAAGAACAGGCAAGGAGAGGGAGACAAAGACGACACATGCTGTGTGACTAGGAGTACACCATTAGTTTAATGCCTTTGCCACTTTGTTGTGACGTGATTAGATTAATCACTAATCACCAAGCTACCTAGTGGATATATATTGGCACTACTACTACCACCACTATTATTACTATTATACTAGTTCGATCGTACGACATGTTAATATAGTTTATTGAACATCCTAATTTATCAATAACGAGGTTCTGGTAGATGATTAATTATTGGATGATCCATCATCATCCATGCATGTTGTTGGTGTGGGGAATCGAGGGGCAGTGCCAACCAAGAGGAGGCAGCCAGCGAGCGATTGAATATTTGCATGGACTAACCACAATTTTTTTTCTCATTTTCGTGTACTGATAAACACAATATTTGGTCTTAGTTTTGGATGGTTCGGCAATAATTTCTTTGTTGATCTAGCGGCGGCTGGTCCGTTACTAACCTTCTCCCGGATTATTTATAGCCGTTGTCTTTGATAGATCTAGCGGTGGCTGGTCCGGTACTAACTCTTTATAGACGCTGTCGGTGCGTGGTGTGTGGTGGTGGTGATTTTTTTTCTCTTCTAATTATTGCCTTCCAGGGTATCAGTATTGTAGTTTTTTCCTCCTCTATTCAATAAATCATTGTGGTATATGTTGGTCGTTAAAAATAAGATAAACACAATATTTATGTGGCCGATTGATAGATAGATGCGACCGTGGGCCGTAACTAAATTCATGGGCCAAAGTGGCGCGGCCTTTGGAGACCCAAGAGGCTCCTAAATTTGCATTTTTTTTCCCTTGAAATATGCATGTATTTTAGACAGATGAAGTTCTCGAATAATGGCACTGTGGCATCATTTGAGCTTAAACTTTGACCGCTAACTTATATTTTTCAGAAATTTATAATACTTAAAAGGGTAATTTTACTATTTTTGAGAAGATAATTAGAGGTACCATATTTTTTTATGTAAAATTTGGTACCTCTATATACTAAGGGTGTGTTTGAGGAGAAGGGGATTAGAGAGATTGGGAAGATACGCAAAACGAGGTGGGCCATTAGCATATGATTAATTGAGTATTAACTATTTTAAATTGCAAAAATGGATTAATATGATTTTTTAAAGCAACTTTTCTATAGAATTTTTTTGCAAAAAACGCGCCGTTTAGTAGTTTGGGAAGCGTGCGCGCGGAAAACGAGGAGCTTTCTCACCCAATGTCACTGGAATGAACATAGCCTAAGTATCTCAAGGTGTTACTAGGTACTTTCTCAATGACTATAATTCCTCTACTTAAAACATGTCATATTATCAAAATAATTTATATCTCACAAATATAACTTTCGTTCGTCTTAATATAACTAAACAAAGTCACCTGCCTTTAAAGGCAGATGCTAAGATTACAGTGACCCAAACTCACCCAATTTACAACATGTAGAAATTTAGATGCAGAGCTTACGTAGTGCTTGTATGGCAGTTGCAGGGATGTAATTCAGATGTGATACTCTCCAGTGCTATTTTAAACTTTAGCTTACAAAAATCTGTGATATTGGCAGAATGGCAATTTAACAATGAAAACAAACCGGACAAAAATACACAAATAATCGCATGTATAAGCCTGTTCTAGCATGGTCCTGGTATACCATCCACCATTCAGTTCATCACTTGTCAGTTATCACCATGAAAGTATAAGTCACAGGCAGATAAGGAGGTGATCATTGATCCCTTGCCTGCAACACTTGTGGAAACGATCATTTTCAGAAGAAGACGATCACCAAAATTCACTTTTCACAAGGATGAACTAGCAGGGATGATAGTCAAAATCCTTGGACATTAAAAATCCAAATACCTGTATATTTACAGATATGAGATAGCCCAGTAGCAAAAGTTTTATGTCAACCACATAGCCTAGAGCACTGTTCTGAACTCTATTAACAATGCACGGAGCATTCAACCATGGCAGCAGCTTGATCCTAGGAGAAAGCTACTCATAGAATAGAACACTTGTGTTGAGAAGCCATCTTTCGGAATTCCTCATTTTCTTGTTGGGCCTTCTCGAGGCGCTTTTTGAGCTTGCGGATCTCCTCATCTGATCGGAGCCTAGCTTCAGCTGCCAACCTCTCTGCTTCTAGCCTTGCATTCTGTTCTTCCATGAGTTGCTGTTGCAGCTTGTCAACAGTGATATTCAGCTTTTCCTCCACCTATGAACATGTGAAGTCAATGAAATTTTGATGGAATTCTAATATATAGAAGAAATGTTTCTGAATAACAGATTTAAATAGCTATTTAAAACCATCTTTGTACACTTCAGAATTCCCTTTTGCATGTTTTAAAACAAGTTGTAATACTATAATCTTGATGCAATCATGTTTTGCAACCTCTAAGGCAGTGTTTGGCAAATGTCTAAGGGAAATGATTTCCCACCCTTCTTTAAATCTTAATCATTCATTCTCCCTCATCCATTTAATCCTAACCCTTTATTCATTTCCCAATCCCAATCCCACCCCTCATTTCCCATTATCCAAACACACCCTAAATGGCTGGAAGCAGAGATAATGCATTTCAAAACTGAAGATAACAAGCTATTTTGCATGAGTTTTAGATTATTTTTTTCTCCAAAGAAACAAATCTCTATTGGCCCTGTTTGGATCCAAGGGATATTTTTTAGCCCTCTCTCAAATAGCCTAAATAGCTCAAAAAGATCCAAAAAGGTGAGCTATTTGAGGGCTATTTGGAAATAACCCACCCAAAAAAAAACTATCACACTCAAGGGGTGCTAATTGGGGCTATTTCATGTGGGGCCCACTGAAAAAGTGTCTTTTCTCTCTATCTCTCTCCATGGGAAGGTACATTAAAGGCCAAATAGCTCTCAAAATAACCCTTGGATCCAAACAACTTAGGGCTATTTTATTGGAGGGATATTTCCTTGTGCTAAAAAATAGCTCTCAAAATAACTCTTGGCTAGTTCTCCAAATAGGGCCATTGTAAACAAATAAAATTGATAAGTTTAATATCCTGTAACTGACCTAAAAATAAAAGAAAGATGTGTTACATCCTAAGCTTTCTTTAGAATGCTATGATATGTTTAATAAAGGTGCTGCAAGAAATAATGCCATTGTAAACAATTGTTGATAAGTTTATACAACACAAGAAAGACTATTTAAATGTATATATTTAATACAAACTACTGCTTGAGTAAATGATATAAGCACACATATGCTCTTCTTCAACAGTTCAACTACATGGAGTTGCACTTACCATGTTGGTAATGTTTGCAAGCTGTTCATCCCGAGTTCTCTGGATCTCCTTTTTCAATTCAGATATTTGCTCTTCTGTATATCCAATAGCATCATGCACCTCCTGTTCTCTGGCATGTGCTTCCTGTATATGGAAGATAAAAATAAAGATTGAAACTTGACTTAAAAGTAACAGCAAAACAGAAGTACTATTACCTTAATGCAAGCGAGCATTTGATCTGAAAATGGCTTTCCTCCATTATTTGTATTCACAGAGTCAACAACATCAAGCAAATTTTCAAGTTGCTTCTCTTGGAGCCATCGGTCCTTGGTCATATTATCAAAGAGAACAACTCTGTTTTTGCATAGCTCAACAGTTTTCTGTAAATAAAACACATATATGTAATTACATAAAGTATATGAACCATGCTCATGAGGAAAATTTTCTTTCATCAAATGCACTTTATATTCTACGCGGAAAAAATTGAAATCCCGCCTGCAGATTCCATCGGGATATTATTATTTAGCATGTGCATAGAAGTTTCAACAAAAAAAAAATGTTACCTGCAGATACTCTGGGGCATTATTCAGCATGCTCTTCAATTTATTTTCACCAACTAAATCTCCATAAGTAAATACTAGTATCATGTGATCAACAATCTTCTCTCCGAAAAACTCTTTAATTGTCTCAATGGTACTGGAATCTTCTCGAGTAAAACGAGATGTGGCAGAAAAAACCATCAGCACTGCATGTATCCCATCCTTGGCCATACTCATACACTTAACAATTTCTTTACCGGCATCCTCAGATGTAATGGTCATTTCAAATAATCCTATTAGAGATATTAAAATGGATAATTAGCCAAAAAAATACCAATATGAAAATGGAAAAGGTCAATATATTTGCCTGTTGTCAAAAAAAAAAGGGGGAAAGGTCAATGATCATCTGACTTGGATTGGGTGATTAGCCAAAACACAAAATAAAACATCAATCGAGATCGTCTCTCATGCAGCAGGACAATACTTAACAGTATACACTGTTATGATTTGTTTTTTTTCTTGCAACTAAGACGCTTTTTTTTGGCCTTTGGGCATGAAATATGGAATGACAAAGGATAACAAATAGAGGAAGTTGGGTACTCCTAATTATTTATGGTATTATCTATAGTAGTATTCAGAGCATTATCTCAAGTACTATTAGGAGGACTTGAATCATGAAGCAATGAATATGTGTTGCAGTGCATGCTTATCTGCTTCTCCATACAACTGGTAAATTGGTGAATCAATAAGGCTCATAAAACATCACTGTCACATTTCTTCAGATCTATTAGCAGATATCAACACAAAACATCACCAAAAAAAAAAAATCCTTACTGCAATGGAGAAGGGGCGGACCCGGGGGTTCCCGGTATGCACCGGCATACCCAAAAAATGCCATTTTTTCCTACCATGTACTAGTATGCATTGCTGAAATATTCGATGTGTGCTTCCACAAACCAAAGCACAAGAGCCTCTCTCCCTTGTAGGCCCGCACAGGCGCTGCACAGCTCACAGAGCAAAGACATGTGGATGGTGTGGTGCGTTCCTCCTGGCTCTTCACTTGGTAGTCGGCACTCACGATAGGGTTTGTGAATTGGCGTTTCTGTTCGTTGTTGGTGGCGCTGCAGTGGCAGCCTTGCAGCGAGGAGAGCATGATGGATTGACGGTTGATGGTTGGGACACCGCTGCGGCTGCGCAGGGATGCCGAACAGGGGTCCAGCTCCAGGCGCCGCCCCCTAGTTTGTACAAGTTCAGCCTAGCTGCACTCCCTCCACTGATTCTAGTTTATGTCTCTCTGAATTTTCAGTTATCAGATAATCGGGGATAGATTGAGAAGTTGAAAACTGAAACGAGTGAAACCAGTGGGAGTTCAAAAATTCAAGGAAGGATCAAGTTGTATCAATCAAATTGAGAACATTAAAGAATCTCCTGGAAGCTGTCTATTAAGCTTGTTCAAACAAAGAAACATGAAATTTACAAGTTGGTCATTTGCTTCTCGAATTGGTAATCGAACATTTCTATGCTACTAAAAAGTGCCCAACTAAGACTAGTATATGTTATATATTGTGCATAAGTCTGGCTAACCATGAGGCACACCAAGGATAGAAATCCTGAATCCACCATTGCAATGGAGTATAGGACTTTGTGAAGTATGATGGCAAGAAAAGGGCATCCATCAAAGAAGTCTGAGCAGCATTAGAAGTTCAGGTAGGCAGAAAGCCCATGTCAAACATCTTAACATGTATTTTCGACATGACTATATTTTATCATCATAATAACATAGCAAGAAAATAGATGATAAATGTGGCACAAGATCAAATATAGATAACGCAAATTCAAAACATCCACAAGATTAACAAGTATGAATATGTAGTAACAACAATGAATAGTCATCACAGAAAACAAAAGGTCAGAACAGAATAAATTGATGCATGCTTACCTGGCGTATCAATAACATTGAGGGTACGGCCATCCTTTAGCGCGGTGCTGGCCAATTGACAAGTACTGGTCACACTAGCATGGGAGTACTCTGATACAAATGCTTCTCTTCCAACGATGCTATTGCCAGTTGCGCTCTTGCCACAGCCAAGTTTGCCGCAAAGAACTACAGTGATGTCAGCGCTAGGCAACTCCCAGTCATCATCGTATTCGCTTCCTCCCATTGCAAACTCTCAAAAAACCTGTTTAGAAGATTAATGCATACATGTGAAAAGCTTTATAAATAATAAATATTTACTAATTTACTAAAATATTTTCTTTCTTTAATATAGGTTGAATTTAATTGTTTAGAATACTTACTATGGTGAGTGAATGCTCCACACAAAAGACTCAAACATATAATATAAGATGCATAATGTCCCAACTTGTTTGTTATTTTTATTCCCGTTCTTCTATCCGCTAGTGCGGCTAAAACATTCCATCACAGATCTTACATATGTGAAGGGACTCGTTGTAAGCCACAATCACAACTCACAAGCTCAAGAAAACCAGACCAGCATATTGCATAATACACAAAAGGTAAAACCTTGATACATCCAATCATAGACAGTCCACAAGTACATCGATGAGAAATTATTTAGAGGATTAAACCGTAACTCCTACCAAGGCTAGGGTACAAGCTACCAGTCTGTAACCTTGCACTAAATTGTCTAGGAAACACAATAAACTTTTTTTTAAAAAAACCAAATTAAGCACCTCTCCCTATATTGAACAACTCAAACCCCAAGAAAATCACAACATGGATATAAAGCTAGATTTTTTTTTCACAGTAGATTGAATAGGCAATAGGTAAAACAAACCTCTAAAAAGTCAACCGCTTTGCGCCACAAAGCACAGTAAAATTTCAAACCATCAAGTAAAGCAAGCATTGAAGATTGAATCTTTTAGATTAGGTGGAGTCGCAATTAAAGAAAAACAAGGAGGAAAGACTCGACGTCTTCAAGCCATGAGCATGCAATTCATGAGAACAATTAAAAAAACTTGGTAGTTGAATTGGAATGAAGTGAAGATTTTAGGGGTGGAAATATCATTAGCATGCAATTATCCTACAGACTGCAAGGGGGCCAATCTCATCCTACAAACGCAGGAAAACCAATCAGCAGTACCGCATAGTGATGCTACCCCTAAACGCAGGAAACTACTCATGATTCATGAATCACGACATCAGCCTAATATCAAACAAATCTCTGAAGCCTAAACGCCTAAATACTGCTCTCCATATAACCTAAACCAGGAAACCAAGAAAAAAAGAATAGACTTTACTAGAGTCAATCGAACGAGACCCAAACCAGGAACAAATAAATCGATCGGATCGAACGAACGAACGAAAGCAGCAGACCGGAGCAGCGCCGACGAAATCCCTACCCACCGGCGATAGGACGACGACGAATCTTGCGGACTTTTAGACGAACCCGCGACGGCGGCGAAGGAAGCGAAGAAGAAAAAAAAACTAAAAAACAAAAAAAAATACGGCAGAGAGGAAGAGGAGGAGGAGGAAAGAGAATTACTTGCTCGCGAAGGAGAAGACGCTGGTAGCGGGTGGGTTTGGTTGGATCGAATCTCTCGCGGGGGAATCGAAACGAGAGAGAGGAGAGGAAGACGAGAAGTCGATGAGCCTGCGAATACGGGGGGGTTTATCTCTCCTCGTCTCCTATTAATTGACGCGTGTACCGTATAAGTAGGTTCGTATATACGGTATACGTGTACGTATCGTGCCGTATTTTTTATCTGGACTAGGCAGCCCAGGGCAAGGGCCGTGTGGCACCCGCATGCGCGATCTCCGTCGTCAGCTTCCCGTTCAGATTCGTGCTAGGGTCGCGTTTCGTCCAGCTTCCCATCCCAAAATATAATGGATTTTTAGGTGGATATGACTAGGATTAACAATTCCAACGAAAATCGATCGAATTCCGTTAAATTTTAAGGTTTCGACGAGCCTCGAAAGTAGAAACCATCTGAGATTTTGATTAGTTTCATCTAAATTCAAATTTAAATTGATAATAAGGAAGAAAATCAAATAAAATCTTACAAATAGTATGATATTCATAGTACATATTAGGATATAAATTTTGAAAAAGTTGATGTATTCCGTGTACTAACTGAACTTTATAGTAGGAAAGAAAATAATAGCGAATGAAAAAAAAGAAAACACTTTCAATTTACCTCTTTTCCTAGTTACCGGTTGAAATTTCAATGTTTTCGCTTGGAATTTCTCCAAAGCCGACTAGTTTTCGCGAGCTTATTGGTAAACTCAGAGAATTTGTATTTAAATTTTGGTTTATAAAATTTGTTCGGGATCTACCGGATTTCGCGAAAACCGTTATTCTGCCAGAGCCCGAAACGGAAGGGCATCTCGGAGTTGTAAACGCTGGATATGACACATCTTAATACTTATGAATCTGGACATCTTCCTGTTATAATTGAAGGGCATCTTCCTGTTATAGGATCAAGGAGGCCGACTAGAGGGGGTGAATACGCGGTTTTAAAACTTTTGGCTAAAACCGAAATTTGTATGCGGAAGCATAAATCAAAACGGTTTTACACAATTCAAAACCTAAATCAACTAGTCTCAAGTAAGTGCATAAAGAAGCTAGCCTATGTTAAGGTTTGCAAGCCTAGGGTGATAATAGACTTGCTCAAATGTTAAGTGCACAAATAAGCTAGTATGTAAACTTGCTCAAATGTAAATGCAACAAATAAATGAGACAAGAGACAAGGGATTTTTCACCGAGGTTCGGAAACTCGCCGGTTTCCTAATCCCTGTTGAGGCGAGCACAACTCCACCGCTCAATCATGAAGCCACCGCACGCCCCCTTCGTCAAGGGGTGGGCAAGGTGGGAGCCGGCCCACGGAAAGGACTACCCAAGCCTCGATCACTAGGGTAGTTTTTCCTTCACTCCGAAGGTGGTGAACTCCAAACCACTCACAATCAGCGTCAGGCCTCCTCCACAATCTCCTCGGAGAGGTCACCGGGCAACACCTCCACAAGCCGTTTAGGAGGCGGCAACCTCCAAGAGTAACAAGTCTAGGATGCTTGCCGAGGATGATCAAGTGCCACGCTAGCTCTAACAATGAAGCAATGCACTTGGATTGGCTTAACTCACTCTCCAACACCTCACTAAATAAACTAAGTGCACAAGAGTGTGAGAGCTCTTGCAAGGGTTCAAGATAATGCAATGGAGTGCCAAAACCTTACCCTTGCTGCTGGGGAGTGGGTATATATACCCCCAACCATCAAAACTAGCCGTTGGAGTCGAAATCCCCAACTATGTGCTCTACCAGTCAGACCGCAATAGAGTGGCCGGTCAAACCGGACTACTTTGTAACGACTAGAAAACTAGCCGTTACAGGGCAATCATTGAGCCCACTCAACCTAGCCGGTCTGACCGCAGTGTAGTAGCCGGTCAGACCGTCCATGGCTCGGTCAGACCGCCGTCGGCTCGGTCTGACCGGTTGCGGCTCTGGCGGCTCTGTATCGCCACCAAAAATCATACCAGTGCAACAGACCAGTGGGGCCGGTCAGACCGGCCTTACCACGCCGGTCAGACCGGCTAATAGATCCGGTCAGACCGTCCTAAGGCCTACGGTCAGACTGCAGGTCACTTTTCAGCACAACCAACCGTTAGTAAAACGGCGATATCTCTTGACTCGGATCTCAGAATTTGACGTTCTTGGACTCTATGGAAAGCTTATTCAAAGGGCCATCCAACCCATGAAAAATCCATCCAAGAAACACAACTTTTCTCAGGGAGAAAGGGCTCACACCCCAAAGGATACTCCACCGGACATAACCACATGAGGCTACCCAAACCTATAGGATTTGCCTACTTCTCTCTTTGTTTAGGACTTGAGAAAACTCAACACACTTGGCTAGACAAGCCCACCAAATACACCTACATGCATATGAACTAATATGGCGCAAGATCATCCACATGCTCGCTTCATAGACTCTTCTTGATAGTACGGCGTCTATCTAGCAAATCCGGTCTACACCAAACACCAAGACCGGGAAAAGACTAAGAAAATATTCTTAGCTCTATTATACCTTTGCCTTGCGCCATCCAACTTGGGGTCAATGCTTGAGCCAAGATCAACACTTGTGACCATCCGATTGAACCATGTTTATGCCGAGGTCTTTACCATCCTTTGTCAAGACTTTATTCTCATCACAAGCTTGACTTCATTCTTGCCAACATGACGATGTCATTGGCTTGGTTACCATTAATCCATGGTGTCATTCATTAGCCTCATCGTAGTGGGACCTATTCCTTTTCACATCTAAAAGGAGAACATTAGTCTCAACAAATCGATTATCATCCTTCACTTGATGACCAACCGGTTGCATATAAAAGATATGGATATGTTTGTTGAGAATTCATTAACATCACAAGTGTCATATACTCGTATGCAAGCTCAAGTGCAAAGATCCGATATAAATAATAGGTGAACAACATGGATCTAAAACATGCACAATAAATGTATAAGATTTGCTCCCCCTAAATATATGCATACAAATAAATATACAAGAGATGCAAGTGTATGCATAATTAGAGAATGACCAATGGGGGTTTATCCTATACACATAGAGAAGGCATATGTAGTAATGATGTAGACCAACATAAAACATATACCTTCATGATCTCTATGTTCTCAATGTAAATGAGACTAAATAAGATAAGGCTCGAGTAAACATTAGTCTCACACTTATATATCAATAACATGGAAATCATATATATGAACCTATCAAAAAGTAGGAGATAAGAAGTGGTACATATCGTTTTATCTCCATGCATTTCATCCTTGTCATGATTAAGGTCCATCACAATAGAATGCATGTCTTCCACATCTCATTATCGGGAAATAACCTAGTAGACAACTTATGCAAAAGAGAGGTTAATCCCATAAACATTGGTTTATCATCTATCACGAAAGTAACAATTACACAAATTGTTTAATCCAAGATCTTTCAATCTTTTCTCTCTTGGGTGATGGATAATAACCCGATATAAACAATATAGAGAGATGGGATGAAAGATGATTTCAAATCAAGATAGAAATCTTATAATAAATAAAATATAGAATAAGCTCCCCCTCAAGATGTGCATACATATGGATATAAAGGAACACATATGCACATAATCAATCAAGATTAATGAGGGAGCTCACACTATATTTTGGATCCACAAGAGAGACCAAGTTAGAATATGTGAAGTTTAATACATACATCTCATCATTTTTATTTTCATATCCAAATGAGACTAGTCAAAGAAAGGCTCATAAAAACGTTAGTCTCATATAATTAGATTTATCATTAATCACCAATACTAAATTAAGGTACTTGAACTTACACCTGTCCATATTCGTAGTAGTACGATGTGTCATATCCACCCAAGAGTAATTAAGTATATTTGTGCCAAGGTCGCGTCCAGTCCGCAGTCGTTCTAAAAGAATTAGATATTGTAGTACTTAATGGAAGGCTGCTAACGGAACTCTAGTGGTGATAGTATTTCGGACAGAGCTATTGTACGATGCTATTTTATAAAAACATGTATTTATCAATGGTATTTCTAAAATTTGGATATTTGTTAATGATATTTCTTGGATTTTCTCTTAATTTAAATTTTTTATAGGAATCTTGTAAAGTTACCTAAATTCTAAACTCAACGTATAAAGATGTCACATTATTGTCCACTAATAATTATTATATCTTAAACACTATACAAGCATACTATATTATCAATAATTTATTAAATATTAGAGCTATGAAATGCAAATATGTTAAATTATCATCTCACATAATTCATATATTTAAACATATCTCTCCATCATTTTTTATAATATCCTATATATCCTCACTTGGTTAATGTTATTTCTCTCTTTTCTTATTAAACCGTAGCACATCAATTGTTTCTAGCCTTTAGATGATTAATCTATGGTCTAAATTATCTTCCTTATTTTTTTTTCTCTCATTAAGCCATGTCATCTCTTTTTTTTAAACCCTCAGATGATTAATCTATAGCCCAAATTACATCTCTCCTTTTCTTCTCTCATAAAGCCTGAAAGCCATATCACCTTATTATCATTCTATATACTATTTAAATTATCATAAACCATATTAATTTATGTAAGCTTATGTCGTCTAGTTATTTTACACATTATTTATACTTATTGCTATGATACTAAACTCTCGCAGCATCGCGTGGGGTTTCATCATATTTTTCCTATAGGATAATCCTTCGAATTTCCTATATATTTCAAACATATTAAAGAGACCCTATAAGTCGATTTCCATGGGGCTTTTGGAGGGATACTTATCAGTGGGAGTTTTCCTTAACACGCCTTTCGGATGGAAGAAATTGGTTGTAGGAAAAAATCAAGGGAAAGTTTCCTTCCATGCTGATTTCACATGAAAACCACAGGAAAAATTCCATCCACCCCAAGCTATTTTTTTTTCATTTGCTTTGTATAAGACCGTGGAAATCACGCAATCACATAGTTGGTAATCCATTATCAGAGCAAAAACCATCTCTTAAGAAAAACAAATCAGCACAAGACCAGAGAAACACCCATGGTCCTATGGTCGGTGGGAGTTTTTAACAAGGATTCAGAATTTAGAGGAGTGGGGCTATTAATATTTTGTTTGGTTGGGAGATACTCCCTCCATTCCCCCCCAAAAAAAAAGAGGTCCAATTCTAGGTATGAATATGAATATTAGATTCATCTCTAGAATTGGATTTTTTTTTTATAGAGGGAGTAGAATTGGATCTTTTTTTTTGACAGAGGGAGTATGAGAGTTTCTTTTTTGTGAAATATAGATAAAAAAAATTGAGGGAGAAACTCTCTCCTTTTCAATGCGCGGGTAGAGTGGTAATGCAACGGAATAACTCTATACTTTGCCTAAATAAATTTTAGCCAACCCTTTTCATTTAAAGATCCAAATTCGAACTAAACTTCTTATCAGTTACTACCATCTATACCAACAAATTAGACCTTAAAAAATTAAATTTCCATATTAATCATTAATTTTCTCGTCTAAACTTCCAATCATTTTCTCTCGAGTTATCTATCATCATCAGCTACTACAGCTCACAGGCTGAGCTGGTCACAAGCTCGAGTTTGTGTTAGCCGGCAGCCTTGCCCACGGGCTGCTCCACTGTTCACGCCGCCGGAGTTCGCCACAGCCCATCGCCACGCTGCCGCTTCCCCGAGCGCTGGAGCTCATGTAGGGATGTAAGTGGGACGGGTAAGCGGATTTTTTAGTCCGCTTATCTCACTTCTAGTTAATTTTTTTCTTATATACTACTATGTAAAAAATAAACAAACAAACGGATTTTTATACGGGTAGCAGGATATCCCTAACCTCATGCCGTCCGGTTCGTGTTGGATTTGGGGGAGATGAAGGTGGTACTATTAGTTTGAGTGGATAGCAACGATGGGGAAGAAATCAATTACTGTGCATTTCCTTTGAGACTTTTTCCTGTGCTCTGATTGTTCTTATCCTTTATATTCCTCTAGTTTGTATTTATTTGTTTTTCATTGGATTTTCTTTCATATTCTTACTTTTTCCTATCTTATGTTCCGAATGAGCCCTCAGTTGTTTAGGAGAAAAGACATTAAAGAAAAGGAAGATAACTCTGGAATCAATACATTTTGGAGGATTGGCACAAGATTCCTATGGAATTTTTTTCCTTTGAATCCTATGAAACGAATACACGAATAGTGTTTATTCCAGAGGAATTAAGAATTTTGGTGCATATCCTCCAAACCTAAACGTGCATCAGATCAAAGCAATCGAATGGTGAAATAAATTGCCACAAGTGTCATCGCTGTGAATCAAAGCATTTCCAACAACCATACTCGTCAAACCATGCAGAGATATGATTAAATCGCCCCCATATCCTCCTGAGAAGTTTATTTGACTAATAACTACTACTAGCATGTTAACTCTCCAGAATCAGTGTAATGATAGAGAGTAGCAAGAGCTCATGACAAACCACATGTCTGCAAACATATTTAGACCAGTTCAGCACAGCTGCAAGATGCAAATGCTTGGTTCATGAAGCAAGTAAACATGTTTACAGCAAGAAATTGTATAGCATCTTTTTTTTTCTGAATCATCTACTGCCAAATGCTCTTTCAGAAGATCATTCAAACAAATGGCATACATGGGTTAAAAAAAAAAGAACAGATGCTTAATTAATACCTTGTGAGGCATAATATAACCCTTTCTGGCATGCCTTGACAAACTCCTGTATCCACAGAATCACTCCCATCCTATATTTTACAAGTCACTGGTATTTATAGACCTTAAGGTGCTTACAACCATGATGCACATTATGTAATTTGCAGTCCAACCATCACTCTTTTGGTATTCTCTAGGTTACAAGACCAGATAAATTAGCAGAACTTGGTCCTGTTTTGGTGAGATTAATCAGAATATGAAAATGCCAAGGCCAAATCAGACATGTTCTTGTACCATGTAATATCATGGTGGCATGTCTTTACAATGCACTCAGCACTTGCTCACTTCCTTCTTTTAAGATCTTCATAACAGAGCTTCATGAGAATGCACACACTTATAATACAAATTTAAAAAGCATTATATTGTCTAAGCCCATACTAAACTATAAAACTAAAAGATAGCCACTCTCTGTCTCTCTGAATCCACTGTATAGTTGAATATAACAACTCAAACTTCACGAATTCATTTACATTCCAATATATATCTAACAACTGTACGAAAAAGTTTTCTTAAAGATGAAAAATGACAGAAGTAACAAGCATGGATTTACATATCAAAACTGGATTTGCTAGTTGATAATTTTCCAAGATTGATTCCAAGAGGAGAATATTATTTATTTTCTTTCATCCTGAAATTTCCAACATTACAGGAACCAAAATTACCTTAGTGCAATAAAAAACTGTTCTGGAACAAAAAGAACCACAGCACATTGTACCTCACGCCCTCACGGCATATGCTTGGCGTAGAATCCCAACGTCAAGCATATGCCTCTTGCTCATCAAAGCGTATGGCGTTTGCTCTTGATGGTAAGGCCAGCAAAAATACAGATGAACTCATGAGCTACCGCTTTGTTTAAACACTAAATCATTTCACACTTCTAATCCTTAATGCATCAATATGTAGGTACAATGAAAGCTATAAACTCATAATAAACCAAAACTTAATCCAAGTAAACATCAAGAAGAATTAACCAATCCAGAACAATAATCCATAATAAGAGCCGAAAGCAAACCATCCCAAGCATCTTAATTATCATACTCTCGTTCCTGAACATCTGAAATGTCAATGGTCTGCAACCGCTCTTCCTCCGGAACCAAACACCAATTTGGCGACTGCACTGCCCTGAGCCACTTAAAGTCATCAACATTCGCCCAATTACCGGTCTCCTCCTCGAGCCCCGCATCCCTCAAATCCTCCCCAATCCCTTCATACTTGAGAGCATGCGGCGCGAACCTCACGCCGCAGCAATCCTCAATGATCGGCCTGCTCCTCACCCTCAGGTAGAAATCCGTCGCTGTCGCCTCGTGGATCCTGATCTGGTGCGCCGCCATCACGAATGCGCAGCGCTCGACGTCCTCTATGAGCACCGAGCCGAACACGGCGCCCACGAACACGCGGCAATCCTTCAGCTTGTGAACGTGCAGCGCCCGGCATTTGCCCTTGAGGTAAACCTGACAGGAGACGAGATCAGCGAGGGTGAAATCCCCATCCTTCTCGTCGGAGACCCTCAGATCCTTCACCAATGTGGCGTCCCTCCGGCCCCGGAACCCGAGTCCTGGCAGGATCGCCTCGACGCTGGGGTTTGGCTGGTCTGGAGGCGGCGGCAAGGTGGGAGGAGGATCTTGCGGTGGGTTCTTGGGGGCTTTGCTCTTGTTCCTGAAGGAGAAGGACTTCTTGGGGCGGAGATCGGAGGCGGCGAGCCTGTGGGCGGCGCGGAGGTCGGAGGCGGCGGCGAGGGCGGAGCGGAGCTCGTAGGGTGGGAGGGAGTGGGAGGCCTCGGCGACGAGGCGGTCGAGGTCGTCGATGGCCGCGGCGGCGGCGGAGAGCGAGGGCTGCGCGTCGTCGGGGGAGGAGCGGCAGGCGGAGAGGGCGGACTCGGCGGCGAGCTTGGCGGCGGCGAAGCGGGAGAGGAAGGCCGCGACGGGGGAGTCCTGGGACGGGGCGGGGGCGGCAGCGCGCTTGGAGAGGCGCTCCAGCATGGCCAGGTGCTTGCGGTGGCCGGCGGCGGCGGCGGAGGTGGAGGGTTTGGTGTGGTCGGGCTCCGGCTCCATCTCGGCGGCGGCGGCGGCGGCGGTGGATGGCATCGGGGGAGAGCAAACAGAAGTGGTTTCGCTACTGAGAAAATGGTCTGACTTAATTTAGTAGCAGGTTTAATAAATTTCGTTGAATTCCAAATTGGAACTTTGACGAATTTCGTGAAATTTGAGCGGTTTAGAGGGAGAATTTTCAGAATATACCACCCAATACGCACTGCTTCCAGAATTTATCACCCAATTCACATTACTTTCGGAATATACATCACTAGAGTGTGAATTTTCTTCGTTCTGTACCACTCCGTCCCCTGGCGTCAGTCGTGTCGTCGTCCTCCGTCCTCCCGGCGCCACCGTCGTCAGTCCGCCGCCGCTCGCGCCCGCATCAGCTGCGCCGTCGCTTATCCATTGCCGCTGGCGTCAGCCCCACCATCGCCCGTCCGTCGCTGCCCGCGTTAGCCGCGCCGTCGACCATTCGTCGCCACCATCGGCGCACGCGGTGAAGGGCCGGAGGAGAGGGGAGCAGCGGGGGAGGGCGGAGGGCGTCGAGCTCTGGCGGCTCGAGGCTGCGGTGCCGGAGGTTGGACTGGCGATGGCTCGGGGCGCCATGGCGGCAGCCGGAGCGGCGACGGCTGAGCTCGGGGACGACACGAGCGAGCTCGCCAGATGCGTGCGGGCAAACGGCGCGTGGGGGAGGAGGAGCTCGCCGGCGTGGGGGAGGATGAGCTTGCTAGCGGCCAGATTGAAAGCAGTGCATATTGGGTGGTATATTATGAAAATTCTCGTTCAGAGGAGCTACAAAATCCCGAATATTAGGGGACGAAATTGTGGACCCTACCTCGGACTCGTGTAGTCTGTTTAGCGGGGCACCCGAAATTTTGGCTGTAAATTAATAACGTGAATAAATCAAAATTAAACTATAATACCATCATTTGGAATTATCGACGGGTTATATCCGCAGACGGTATTTGTATAGTATAAGAATGGTTGAAACCAGGGTATAAGCAGAGGTAACCGAGATGGGAGACATAGATTTTTATATAAGTTTGGTTTCCTTAACTGACAGGTAATAACCCTACTCATTTTGGCCAAAATCGGTGTCTTTTATATATCGGTATCACACGAGTAGATGTTTGAAATGACCTAATCTGGACTTTGTTGACTTGGCGTCATAGAGGTCTCACACCTAGTCGACAGCTAGTGTACTCTTATTCCTCGAACATGAACTCGGTGAGATTGAAGGTAGTTATAGATCCCTCATGTCTAGCTATGTGGCTGCTACATTGGGTTTGTCTAGATAGGTATTTGCCTCTGTTGGCGTGTCCCCTCTTTTTTTTAGGAGGTCTTGTATTTATAGTGAAGATTATCTTCCTCTCCCAGTAGAACTCGGAGAAATATAACAAGATACGAACTAAGAAAACTTTATCTTTCCCGATTAGGACTCTAACACCTTATATTCCGAGAAGATAATTTCCTTTTTTATCCGTGTATACTATTAGGTATGTTATTTTCATATACCGTGAACCCACATATATAGAGGAGGTATGCTTTATCCTTACACTGACATGAATATACTACCTCCCTAGTCCCTATATAAATATTTGTGATTTGTAACAGAACTGAATAATAATATTAAAGTTTTTAACATTGATGTTTATATACCATTTTTTACACGTTACAAATACGACAAAATGTGAGCTAACCATATAGGGTGAGAAACATATCTAATCCACAGTTAGAAGATAAAATTGATGGCTTGCCACTTGAGTCTTTTTTTTAAACCTAAGGCGGAAGTTTGTTCCACTTTTATATTTAGAAGAAGAGAATTGACCTAGTTTATAAGGAAAACCGGGCCCAAAAACCATACCATTGCACGGTTTATTACAGGAAAAACGGCTGAAAACCACCGCTACACAACTAACAACTACGGCAGAGCCCAAACGCAGGATGTCGCCGCCAAGCTAAACACAGATCCTCTGCATGTCGCTTGCCACTTGAGTCGTTAGTTTATGATGAATGTCGAACACGGATCCTCTGCATTAGTGTTAGTGTTATGACCGCAGAGGGGCAACTTTTGGGGATTATGATGTATCCGAGACATCCATTGAAAAACAAGCGCTCATGATTACTTTGAGATTTTTTCCAATAAAAAACAAAAAAGAAACTTTTCATCTCTTCTTGCTCTCTCGGCACGGTCGTCATGCTCTAGTCATATTTGATAGTCGAGACAACGACGCCGAGGCAGTGCCACAGGGAAGCCAAAGTCGGGTTGTTAAGAGTGTAGTGACGGCGTCACGAGATCTAGCCAGCATTCGTCGAGGTAAGGCATGCGACAACACCAAAGTCGAAGCGCTGAATGGATGGCCCTGCCAGCGGCGGGGCATCGAGGGTAGAGAGACACCAATCAAACATGGAGCGAGACAGATGAGTGTCATCCATTCAGCTACCGGTCGAAGAGCATTTCAAGATGATGCCCATAAACATGAGGAGCAGCAAGATGATGAGGAATAAGAAATCACATCCATTCCTTTCAGATAAACAACTCAGATTAGCGTAATGCACAGCGTTGTTCCTATGTAATCGCAGACGCTAATGCGAAGGATATGCATCCATAAATGTCACTCTGTATCTTGTTATAGATATAATACTACCTATTTTGTCGCGCACATTGATGCTTTTTTTTCATTTTAACTGCTTTACACTGATTAGCCACCTATTTTGTCATTCGCCGAGGAAAAAACAGTGGGCTAACATCGTGTGCAGGGCTTACCCTCTCTTTGTTCCCTCCATCCCCAGCTCTACCTCTTTAGGGCATCTACATAAAAAAAAAGTAGAAGGAGAAGCTACGACGGTAATTGCTACGTCACACACTGCCAACTGCCCCCAATATATCCTTCCGTATGCACACCGTCTTCAATAACCGACACCTTTGGATGATGCATGCCTTTCTGGATGTTGATAAGTGTTGCTACAAGAAGTGCTAGCTTTAACATGGTGCCCTCCGGCTTTGTCTATGGCGCACAATGACAAATGTTCAGCCATCACTGTCGTTCTTCGTGAAAAAGTAGTTATATAAATATTCTGGTTACAGTGCTGCGGAAGTTTTGTTTTGGGAGCTTAAGATTTTTGATTATATGAGAAGTTGCAGCTACAGAAACTTCCCAAATAGACCCGAAGAAGGGCGGTGATGTTGCAGCTACAGAAACCCCTTCTAGAGCCGACGAGCAACGAACCGAGGGAGTGTATAGAGATCCATGAGCAAAACTAAAATAGTCATTTCACGTGACTATGGGCATCCTCAATGTTTATGGTGCAGTGTAATCTTAAGGTGGGCCCTATGAATAGTGGACCATTGTTAAAGCCATGCCCACAATGTTATGGTTAGGGCAACCACAATGTTGAACAAAAGCAGGTACTCCCTCCATTCCAAATTGATCTACATATTTCATAGGTACACCAAGACCAAGAAAAGCTAATAACTCTCTCATGCTATATTTACTCTAGCAACAAACTCGATGCATGCATCATCCCCACTGTTTCCTAGCCAATAGCAAATCAAGATATTGTATGTGGGTTATAAATACTTGTGTGCATGGATGCATGCATCAATGTCCATTTACTCCAATGCACAAATAACAAATAGAACTAATAAATGAATACAAATATGTAGATCATTTAGTAATAACCTAAAAAAAACTATATGTAGATCAACTTGGAATGGAGGGAGTAACAAGCAATTAATATAAGCTTATAGCCAGGTAAGAAGCATTGTGGATAGAGACAATAACTACTACCGGGCCATTGTGCTACTGCCGGTAACAAGACAATAAAGAATAATATTTTCTGTAGATATGAGAATCTTTTCGTACGAGCATGGCTATAGGAGATGGTTTTACAATGATTATTTTTAAGGTGGACCCCACCTTAATTTGCAGAATAGGCATAGCACATTGTGAGCTTTGTAATAACTGTTACCACCTGAACCCCGGGCCCACGTTATTATCCACTTTGGTAGTATACATTGCGGTTGCTCTTAGAATTTAGCCATAAGATAAGTCCACATACAATGGAAAAAGAATTGTTTCATCTCTTATTCATAAAGTGAATTAGAGAGAAAAAAATATTTCTTTTTGCTTATGGTAGATCTTAAGCATGAGGTACACCCTAAACTAATGCTATTTTCCACAATGTATATGGCCCACTTTACAAGTGCAAACATCGTCTTAAGGTCACATTTTTTATACATTGTGGTTGCTCTAGGGGTGTGCAAAATAGTTTAAGATGACAAATTGTCACGGTAATAATAAAATGACTAGTATTTTATACCAATCAAAATATATGGGTTGCCATTTTAAAATGGAACCCGAGACTTCTGAAAATTGAAACCTAATCGCATATTTGCATTGCATTTTTTCTGAGATAAAGAAAAAGCATTGCATTTGCATACAAGCCGGTGACTGACTGACTGGACCAGGTCACCCGCGAGGCCGCGACGTGGGTGTCGCACGACCACGAACGTACAGGTGAGTGCCCCACGTGTCACGTTTCTTGCCACGTGGAGAGACCGGCACACCAAGGAAAGCACAAAAGTAGGAGTTCGTGCTACGCAAAAAAAAAATCAATTCTTCTTTTTTGTGTTTTTCCCTTTCCCTTTTTTTGGTTTTTGAAAAGATTTCGAATTTTCATTACCTACAAAATATATTATTTACAATTTGCACCGGTCGAATATTCGAATATCATGTGACCGTCAACATCACTGCTGGTAAAGCCAAAAATGTTTGACGGCAAACAAAATAGTACTACTCCCATGGTAATTTTTTTTTTAAAAAAGGGTATGGTTTGATCCATCGAACCTTTGAAAGTTCAAACCAAACATGAATTTCCATCAAAACAAAGGCGCGAAAAGAGAACAAATCGACGCACCGCCGTAAAAATTTCCCTCCATTTTTTTTTTCTTATTTCGCGCTCTCTCTCCAATCTTCTCCTCGCCTCCCCTTCCTCAAAAACCAACTCGAAAGCGAGAGCGCCAAACAAATCGAACGCCCATTTCCCCAACGCCTCGCGCCACCCGCGCCGATCCGTTCGCCTCCGCCGCCGCCGCGGCCGCCTCGCGGGCTCCCCGGCGACCCCCCCGCTCGTTCCCGTGCCGTGCCGTGCCGTGTCGGCGTGTGCCCCCGCCCTGCCTGACCTGTCGTCGGTGAGATCCGGGAGCCCTAGTTCTTCCTGTTGTTTTGGTTTCCTCGTACGAGCTGTGGTTGGGGGGGTTCGTGGTTGGTTGCGACGCGGGGTGAGGTGGTCGGGTTCACGCCACCCTCGAGCGATGCCAGGACGGGCGCGGGAGGTTTCGCCGTGGTGGGCGGCGGCGAGGGGATTGTTGTCTGGATTCTGAAGGCGGCTTGGGTGAGGGGATTTCTTGTGGTGGGGGGGGGGGGTGAGAGAATGGGGGGATTTTGAGCGATGCGAGGATTTCCGAATGCTGGATTCTGGAGCACGGGGGTCCATTTTCGTGAGCTGAGTGGTCAGGAATGCTTTGCGTTGCACATTTTGGGGGCAAATGCGTGAGAGAAAGAGCAGCCTGAGCTTGTGCGACTCATCATGTATTTAAGTGAAATGCTATGGTTGCTGATTCGCACATCGGAAATTGGCCGGTTGGATTCGAATGGGCTAATCTGTTGTTCTGGGTTCTGAATTTCCTGCTTGGATGATTGGTACATCACATTTTGCATATCTGCGCGGCTTGAGACTGGTCTTTTCCCCTCTCTGCCTCGCAAAATGTGGCGTGATCATCTAAATATTCATGCACTGTTGCCTAATTGTTCTTGGCAGTATTATAGATTCTTTATCCAGTTCACATGGTTAACTCTTTAACTATTTAAATGTAAACCGTGTGCGTTGCTATTATGTAGGTTGGATCGGAGGTCCAATGCCTCTTTTCAAGAGGAAACCTTTCTCCTTACTTGAGCCCCCCAAGGACTTGGATTCTAAGGAGAAGGTTTTCCAAATTCGGTTCACAAGGGAGATATTCCGAGATTACCAGTATCCTCTTTCATGACGCCAATGCAGCTGAATTGTGGCATTGCAGGAATTCATGCCTTTTGCATTTGCAGTGCAGTATGTGCACTAATATTTCTCCAATGCTTGTGTCCTTAACAACTCAATTAGAGACTACATAAACAGGTTGAATCTTTATCGGCAAAGGGTTTGGTCATGTAAGATATCCGGAAAATCAAACTTGACTTTTGAAGAAGCTTTGGTCTCCGAGCATCATGCAGTGTCAAAGGCTCAGAAATTACCCACAGAACTGATGGCTCCTGTTCTTCGGATGATTCAATACAGTATGTAATATTTATGAAATTCCGTTGTGCTCCTGGATCTTGATAGTATATTGGTTACAGTTGTTTTCTTCTTTGTTATTCTAACATTTCTCAGTTCTTACATTTTTTCCCTGTAGACAAAGCTACTAGACATACTAATACTCAATTTGCTTTTTTTAAAAAAAGGGCATGTGAAACTGTTGGTCTTTTAATTGTTTGAACTTTTGTATATCCTTTACCGTTCTTTTCTACTTATTAGTTTCAGCGACATAATTTCCACTATCATAACTTATCTAATTATATGTTAGTAAAACTTGTAATGATCAGTAATTATTTCTAGTGTGACAATCTTACCTTCTTTATCAATATTCCAATAGTTTTATTGCATGTGTTCTAAAACAATATCTAGAAGAGAGTACAGTATACCAACCTCTTTCTAATCTAAGTATCTTTTGCATTAGTGATCTGGTTTTGATGTTTACTGATATTAAGGTATAGCTCTGAATTCTCTGCTTGGACTGCTAAGCTGCTGACATGACAACCTGTAATAAATAGGCATGCATGCTTACTGTTATGCTTTGCAATTCTAAAGTATCCATGTACCTTTTTCCTACTATATGCGCTTCATTCAAGAAGCATCATAGATTGCTTCTCATTTGTACGTTTCACTTAATTAGATTGGAAATAATACTTCATTTTACCTTTTGTTTCAGGCACTCTTGGATTATATGAGCTTGTTGAGAAGATATATGCTAGCCTGCAGGAAGCTGTATTTGAAGGATTAGAATTATATGCTAAACAGGATGGTTTAGAGGCTGCTTGCAGGATTTTGAAGATTTTAGGGTCTGATGGCACCAAGATGTATGAAGTTGGTTGGCTTCTTAGGGACAAGACTATCATCAGTACGTCAGTGATCAAAGGTGAAGACTTGATTCACCGGAGGCCACCTGTTAGTAGGAATACGCTGAAGATTTTTATTAGAGATGCAACTTCTCAAAATGCCCCATGGGTTATACATGAAAATCTTGCCAAAAGATATGGCATACCCATTGAGCCCCCGAATGACATGATGGTGAGTTGGTTATGTGCCCCTTTCATCTGTCCTTTATTTCCTTGGGTATGTTACAATACTAACACTTGCTTTCTTTGTCTAGTTTGGTGAAGGTTTGCAAAAGAAAGGGAGGAAAAGACGTGAGGATGGACCTATGGGAGATCCCAAAAAAAAGATGAAGAACGGTGATTCATCTGAATCTGGCACCTTTGTTGCAATTGTTCTGTTAGCAGCCTTTTGGCTATGGCATTCTTCCAAGATACTTATCGATTTTTTTTTGGTATGATTTGCAGATGAGGAACACATAAATGTTCCAATTAAGTACCCAATAGATGATCTCTTAGTACAACCTTCTGCAGATGATCATGCTTTATTGAAGAGACCTCCTCTGGCTACAGATTTTAGAGTACCAAAATATTCTGTGGGCGATCTCCTTATGGTATGGGACTTCTGCTTGTCCTTCGGGAGGGTTCTGAATCTATCCCCATTTTCACTGGTAGATTTGGAGAATGCAATTTGCCACAAAGAAAGCAATGCACTTCTTGTGGAAATACATACAGCTATATTCCACTTGCTTATTAAGGATGAAGGTGACTATTTCACTATTCTGCGGACCAAGAAACGGAAGCTAAAGGTTTTCTCATGCCCATTTCTCGATCTCCCTCTTTCTCCATTGATGAAACCGTTTCTTAATCCCTTTTTTATTTCCTTATCAGGTGACTTTAGTAACATGGGCTGAATATCTCTGTGATTTCTTGGAAATGACAAAAACTGAAGAACTCACCAGAAACATTGCAACAGTAAGAAAGGGTTATTATAGTCTTATTGATACTGATATCAAACTTAAGATTCTCCGGGAACTAGTAGAAGAAGCTATTACAACTTCTCCTGTAAGAGAGAAACTAAGTGAACGGGTGGACCAGCGGCAAGCGCTCGCTGCGACTAAAAGAGAGAGTACTAGAAAGGCAAAGGATGAGCAGAACTCAAGCATTGATGGATTGCAAGATGACAATGAGAGTGTTGATGAGCAGGGTAAGGGGAAAGAAGAAAAGGATAAGAACAATATCTCTCGAAGCAAGACAGAAGGGAAACGCCATGGGGTGAGCATCTGTTCTCAATCCATGTACTTGCATGTGATGGACCTTTCTCTGTATTTAACCCATGTTCTGTTATTGTTTACCACAATTGGTAGTGAGCCTGATTATTATGCTTACTCCCTACTTTTTGTAGGTACAGCACCTCGAAACAGAGATTGAAAAATTATCCATCCGTTCCAGCCCCCTTGGAAAAGACAGACACTATAACAGGTATTGGTTTTTCAGGCGTGAAGGAAGGCTTTTTGTTGAAAGTGCAGATTCAAAAGAATGGGGATACTACAGCACTAAGGAAGAGGTGACTGTTTTGCTCTAGTTGATTTCTTTTTGTTATTTATTGTTGCTACAGTCGTGATCATATTTTGATATTTTGGAATGACAGCTCGATGTGTTAATGAGCTCACTGAACGTAAAAGGTTTAAGGGAGAGAGCTCTCAAACGGCAGCTGGACAAGTTGTACAGTAAGATAAGGTACATAGATCTTTCTGAACCTTACAATTGGTCAACTTAGAACTTTTGGTTCTGTTGATTGTAGAAAGGGGCTAACGTTACACTTGTTCTTAACGTGAAAAATAATATTTTTGTTTGTAGCTTCACATACTATTTTTCTGCAAAATGAATACTGTGTATACTGGTTTTGCTGTCCTCTTACTCAATAATTACTGCATCTCATCGATGATACTTGAAGAGTTCTCTTATAAATTACCTGCTAGTTGATTCTGGAAGAAGACTACCATCGAAACTTTTATTTGTTTCTGCTATCATGTATAATTCTATGATGTTTACCATTGCTATATTTTATTATTCGTATCATAAGTAGTTAGAAATATATTGGTTGATTCCTACTACACCAATCAATTTTCAACTAATCATTTCCTGTTCTGTAACACAGTAATGCTCTGGAGAAACGATCAAAAGAAATCACACACAAATTGTTGCTTGAAGAGGCTGTATTGCGCCGTTCCACACGTGTCCGGGCTCAACCAAGGGATAACCCATCCATGTCATTCCTGAAGTATGTCAACAAATGGAAGGATAACTAAGTAGCCAAGAGGACAGCTTGTCCGCAGGTGGGGGAACTGAGCTAGCTACTCGATGACAGGGTTTTGTTTTCAGAGGAACATATATGAAGGTCTGATGAGGTGGTATGTTATTTGTTAGCCAATCCTCATGGCTGTTCTTTGAGCAATCATCACTAGGTAGCAAAACCAATTAACCTGTTGGTTTACAGCCTTACACTGGACTGATAGAGCGCTACCAGAGCTAGTTTTTGGAGCTATATACCCAGTGTAACTTATCTTACATGTAAACATGGTATTAGCCTCAGGAACCATGAGTTGCTAAACTGATATGCTGCTGATGTTATGCCGGTTTTGGATTTATCAGTCGCAGGGGATACATTTCTCTATCATTATATTGTTTTCACTTGAGATGTGCCTTGTTAGATGTAGAACTGCTGAATGGTGTTTGAGGCCATGCACTGATGCATGTGGTTGTAAGTTTGTTGCAGCACATAGCACCATTACCATTAGCCCCAGTTACGTGAACTATGGAAATTGCCAAATTGGCAATGTGACATGTTACGTTGAGGTTTACATTTTACTTTCAGAAAAAGTGGCAAGGACAAATCCAATTTGGTACTAGTTGGTAGCTGCACAACGCAAGACGAGTAAAATGTTGTATATGTGTGCCATTCTGGTTAGCAATTGTTATGTAATCCATGGTCAACAGTAGACACTGGTGAAACAAGCGTGCCGTACAATGTTGGTACATACCCCATATATCCTAAAATAACTCTTAACTTTAACCTTGGGTGTACAAAATAACGTGGAGAGAGAGGGAATAAAGTGCATCTTGTTAACAGAAAAAGACCAAAGTATATGGGTGGGTAGTTAAGGAGTATTGAAGTAATGAAATTCATTGATTTATGGACCAAAGATAGAAATTAACTTGTTTTTGAACAAATGACAAGAGGATAAAAATAAACCCACTTATTTTAGAATGGAGTTAGAATGGAGAAAGCATATCATTCAACTGGCGATGGCATGAGGACATTTTTCATTAGCTTACATGCATTTCAACGAGAAGAAGAAAGGGCGAGGAAGTTGAGGTAAGATAGTGTGATTGATAGATGGCCGAGTGAAATGAGAGAGGTGATAATGGTCGCTCAAAGTGGAAAGCTAAGCTTAGCTGGAGAGAGTGAGAGGGGAGGAGAGTTTTGAGATGGAAAGAGGTAGGTGGATTAGAAGGGAAGTGTGAGATATGTTATAGAATCCCAAGTCATGTGCTTACGAGAAGAATCAAGCAACTTAAAAGAGTAAATTGCATATAGGGCCACTTCTTTTTACCCATGTGGCAAGTTGGAATAGGAGCAGCACAACATTTTTAGTTTGAACCGGGAAAGATTACATATAGTTTCACTTTGGGACACTTTGCTTCTTCTCCATCTTTCCCTCTCTTCCCTTGCGCTCTCTCTCTCCTTGAGCTCGCTAGGCTGATGTGAAAGCTCAAACATGCAATAACTAACAGAGCACTTTGAAGTGCCACCCTCCGTCGCATTGTTCGCATCTCGTCAAATTGCTCCTGCACCACATAGCCCCTAAGCTTGAGCGGATCTGCGCTTGCGTCGATTTGAGGCGGCCATCTCGACGGTTTATGGTTGACGATGAGCAAGCCTAGCTCCATCCTTCCTTCGTGCAACCATGTTTCAGTTTGAGGACATGGAGAAGAGCTCATCAAGTGGCTCATGCATCAATCAGGTCCAAATTGCAACAATTTGTAAGTCCATCTGGTTTAAAGTGAAAATATGAGATGAGACCTAGTCCATTATGCAACTTTGATAAAGAAATCCAGTCCAAACCGCAATTAACTCAACATTAAATTTCAAGTTTTGACCAATAAGACAATGAAGGATAAAAAGTTTCTTTTATTCTAAACAACCTAAAAATATTTATATTTAGAAACAAAGGGACATATGCGAAATATTAACATAAGAAACCTTCGCCTTGCCTTGTACCGGTGAACGAAGGAAAGAAAGTAAAAAAACAAGTCCTGTATAGGGTGCTTTTGATTCCGAGGGAAGCTCTTGTAGACAATTCTACTTTTTTATCTAGATTGTGAGAAGTTATAGTTGTATAATCGAGAAAAACAAGAAGTTTATTCTTCAGATTCTCTCCGGTCAAATTTCCACCCACAATTTCTCATGATCTAAAAGCTATCCAAATATACCTCCTAAGGTCGGAACCAAAGAAGTCAGTAAGGAACATCAAGCAAGAAAACACTGATGGTGTGTTTGGAAAATAAAAACGAATGGAGGTATAGGATAAAACGGGGTGAGAAGAATGGATGAAGATTCAAACATGCCCTTTGAGGGGTGGGAAATCATATCCAAACCCATTTTCTAAACATGGCATGATAGTACGAGCATCATAATTTTCTAATAAAAGTGTTTTACAAAAATACAGGTGCACTTTAGCTAGTACGGAGTGTTGGACACGAGTATAATAAAAAGGTTGGTAGAATTAAATGGAGGAATGCTGTTATTGGTTAAGAAAAGGATGCATGTAAAAAACTTTAAATTGTAAAATGTTACAATTGATTAAAACTAAAATATAGGCGAAAAATTATTATCTCTTACGATAAATTTTAGTGGCTAAAAGGATTATATTTGGACGCCTCCCCGGTGAGAGACGGCCGGGGAAGCTGCAAGCACACGAACAGTGGCGGGCAGCCTCCAGGCATTGGCGCGCACAGAGGCAGACACGTTGGGGTCTCTGTCTTGAGTATTGACGGCTTCACCGGTTGCCGGTTGGCCGTTGATACAGTACACACAGACCAAGCTGAGGCGACGTGGAGGATCCACCCACCACACCCCCGCCCCGCTCCACCCACGTAATCCCATCCTCTCCCTCGCACAGCCAGACAGATCTTTCTCCTCCTCCTCCTCCTCCTCGCCGCGCACGCGACGCGACACGACGGCATAAAAGGCTCCCTCGTCTCCCTCCTCCGCTAGCTGCGGCCGCTCACTCCACCATTCCACCAACTAGCTAGCTAGCTAGCCACGCCATCCCTTTCTCCTCCTCCTTCTTCTTCTTCTTCTTCTTCTTCTTGGTCCGGAGAGAGTAGAGAGGAGGGCGCGCAGCGAGATGGCTTGCCCGGCGCAGTCGATGCTGTCGGCGAGCACCACCAGCTGCTGCGCGTTCCTGAGGAGCAGCGCCGCCGCCAAGCCACAGGCCGCGGCGTCGGCGGCGGCGAGCCTCGCGCGAGGGGGGAGGCTGTTCCTGCTGTCCTGCAACGCCTCGTCGTCGTCGTCGTCGCCGTCGCCTTCTTCACCTCCGCCGCCGGCGCCGGCGGCGGAGGACTGCAACGAGGAGGAGTGCGCGCCGGAGAAGGAGGTGGGGAGCCTGAGCGCGGAGTGGCTGGCGGAGGAGCGGACCAAGGTGGTCGGCACCTTCCCTCCCAAGAAGAAGGGATGGACCGGCTACGTCGAGAAGGACACCGCCGGCCAAACCAACATCTACTCCGTCGAGGTATTTTCCTTTTTCTTTCTTTCTTTTTTTTTGTATTTTTCCTATGTCCCATAAAAAAACGTACTCACATACATAGTACTCCACATCGTAACATCACGAATCTGAACATGTTCCTCTGTTCAAATTCATTCTAGTTAAGGTGTGTCTAGTATCAGGTTTGTTTTTGAAAGTTCAATTCAGTTTCATCTCGTTTTGTTCAAAATTTCGGATTGATTAAACTATCGGTCTGTTCGTGCCGGGCAGCCCGGGCAGCCGACAGGCCCATAAATTTCGCGAGCGTATTAAATGCGGTATAGAATTTTTTTAAAAAAAATCGGATTAATTCAAATTTTTCGGATTTTTCCTGCGTATTAAATGTGGTCAAGAAATATCTTCTTTTTATTTTTCTTCTGACCTGAATTGGTTGTGGGCGAAGCCGACGGTGTACGTGGCGGAGAGCGCCATCAGCTCGGGGGCGGCGGGCGCGGCGGCGGACGGGTCGGAGAACACGGCGGCGATCGCCGGCGGCCTCGCCCTCGTCTTCGTCGCCGGCGTGTCGTCCATCCTCATCCAGGTCGGCAAGAACCAGCCGCCGCCGCAGGCCACCGTCTACTCCGGCCCGCCGCTCAGCTACTACGTCGCCAAGTTCCAGCCGTCCCTCGCCGCGGTCGCGCTCCAGCAGCAGCCCGCCGTCGACGCGCCCGCCACAGAGGACGCCTCGTCGCCGGCGCCGGCGTCCCCCGCCGCCGCCGCCGCAGAGGACCAGCTCTCCTCCTGAACTGCTGCTGCTGCAGATAGAGAAGAAGAAGAGAAGATCAGAAATGTCTGTGACTTCAGACATGATGCTTGTATACGTATCATCACAGTTCACAAAGATTCAAATGTACTGATGAAGGATATGCACGTATACACTACATGGTAGATTGATGAAACCATTTTTAAGTTTCGTATATATACAAGCATAGATTTGATCACACGTATGAACACCACCACACACGCACACATTGTTCAGGATTTCAGATACAAGCATAGTACAGTACCATCTCTTTTATTTATTCACACAAAGCAGCAGGGCATTGCTCACGTACCAATCTACCATCTGCCTTGCCACTACTAACAAGTAAACAAGACGAGATCTTCGGTTCTTCACACGAACGCTTAGCGGTTCAGATTGCTCAAACGACGCCGTTTTCACTAGCTTTTCCACCATGAATCACACCAAGTGATTGTACCAAGGGCCGTGGACCTGCTGTGAAATGGACGCGGCCCTGATGAGGATTTCGGCCGATCTCACCACCCGGTCGGTGAGCTTCGTCGCGCCGATGCGCCTCAGGGCGGCGTCGGCGAGCTTCCGTCCCCTGGCACCGCTGCCACCGAGGGTGATCGCGCGGAACGCACAGTAGACGGACCGGGAGACCTTCTTGAAGACGGGGTCATCGGTCTGGAGGCTCTTGAGGAAGACCCTGGCCAGTATCTGCTTCCTGCTCTCGGTTCTTTCATCTGATGGAGAGCCGGTTGTCGAGCCTGATGACGACGACGACGACGAACGGAGCATCACCTCCATGATCTTGGCGGTGCTAACGTCGGGGAAGTTGTCCAGTAGCTCTGCGAGAGTGTTGAACAGTTGTGATGTCGCGCTTTCCAGCTCTGTGGGAGTGATGTTTGGGTCGTCGGTCGCCAAAACTTGACGCTGCACAAGCATGCTGCGAGGAAAAAAAAGAGGCGTAATTGGGTTTGGTTATACCATTCTAGCTAACTGCTGATACTCAGAGCAGTGAAGTGAATAAAGTGAAAAAATTGAGTAATGTTTCACCTTGTTGCAATTACAATCACTTGCTGGAATTGACTCTGTACAGACCTCAGCCTCAACCAATTGAGCTTGAAGGTCTCAGTTACTGACTGCATTTGCACACCCTCTATGCCACTGATGAGCTGTAACAACCCAATCCTTATTAGCTGGTCAAGCCTTTGCCCCGTGCACTCTGGTAGCCCCGTATCATCTGCTTATCATGACACTAAATGATTAAGGAGTTCAGAACAATGGCCATACAAGGGGAAAAAAGAATAAATACCTGACACAGGTATTGTAGACTGTCGCTGATCTGGAACTCCATGACCTGATCGGAGGGTGGCAACAAATGGCTGAGCCTGTTACGAGGGATGTGTAAGTAAAATCAACAGCAGGTGAAAATAATAGATACTTGAACTACTATTGCTACAAACAGCGGTTGTGTACTGCTGTGACTACTGCATAAAATTAATTCATAGACTTAACATGATCGGTTTCTGGCAGAGCTGAAAAAGAGCTGACATGCTCATTCCATTCTACTTCCACGGTATCTTTTGATGTGGAAATCCACTGAGCAGTTGAACGGAGAGCAACTGATGCATTGGACGGGAATCCATAGCGATCAGCAAAAGCCTTCTGCAGGTATTCCACTCCACCTGAGCCCTTTATAATTGGTTCTAATAGTTGGATACGTGCTCTACTGACTTCTGTCTTCAGAGCCTGTTTATTTTACAAAAAAAATAAAAAAAATGGAGGCTGTTATAGGTTCACAATGTATATTCCATGAAGTTTATTTAAGAACTCAAGGAGTTCACAAACCTTTAGTTCTTCCATGGTGAAGCGCAAACCTTTGATAACAGCAATTACAAATGAATTTGAACCACTGTTATTACACTCAGAGTGTTCAGTTAATTCACCCAATAATTTGTCATGGCTTCTCTTCATTTCGTCTTCCTTTGCAGGAGAGGATAGTTTTCGCAGCATACCCAGAGAGTACTGCAAAATCTGTCCCAAATATTGCATGTCCTGGGTGCCCGATTCAAGTACCTTTCAACCAAAAAACAACAAAACTGGTATCAGATATATTCTGTAGATTCATGATAAAATCACTCAAGCTCTTCTTACCTGCAACAAAATTTCAAGGTCAATATTGTTGATTATTTCTTCTTTCCAACCTTTAGGAACCATCTCATACAATGTATCCCTGACTTCCTTTACCAGCTGAACCAGATAGCTGTAGTCTGGCATGTCTCCTCTAAGTGAATCCACAACCACATCCCAGAAAGCTTTCTCCATTGTTTCCCTTACTTTTTCCTGAGAAAAAAAAGAGTGACTGGATGCAAAAAAGTTCATATTTAAGCTGATAGACGTACCACATTAATAGAATCTAGACCCTAAATCACAGCATGTGAGCCCCTCTAAAAGCTTCCCAAATTCTTTCTCATGTTATACATTTTTGGTTATTATTGTCTGCACCCCAGCAATATGAAAACTTACAATATAATCCTAGTATAAATGTAACATAGGATCTAACCTTGAAACCACCCTCAACAGTCCCAATATTACTAGAGCTGTCAGCTAGAAAACCATGAAGAATCTCATTGACCATCTGCTCGTTCTCTGTTGGCCGTTTTTCTGACAGAGTGCTGCTCACTGTCATTGGATTACTCATGGTGATGCCTGCTGTGTTACTTTCAGATGGTGAAGAGGGAACTCTGAACATAGATTGGACAGCCTGACTTGGCCTTTTATCATTAATGTTGGAATTCTCCTTCATGTCAGAAATAGGAGATTCTCCAGAAGAACATGTAGCTGCTACATTTTTTATAGTTGTTGCCAAGGGGCTCCTGTTTCCCTTTGCTTCAAAAAACTTTGTCCTTGCTTCTGATAAAGCAACTTCCATCCGCTCAATACCAGCTTCACCACCCAAGTGCCGAACCTTCTCCCTTAGAAGTGTCTGGTCTACCATAACCTGGGTGATGAACAGAAACAATTTCAACAGATAGTAAAGTTTTGACTAGACAAAAGAAAACTATAATCAAAATAAATAAACTAAGTGCAAAGTTGTAGGAATGGACTGCTTCCTGCAATAGCTGAATAGCGGGATTTTATGCACTTAAAATACTTCTCAATTACTAATGTCAGGGAAATAGGTAAAAGAAAAAAACAAAGGAAAAGGCACCAGGTATATAACCATACCTCTTTCTGGATGGCCTTTAAATTATCATTAAGGTTCTCTGGTTGGCCTTCAGCGGTAAATTTACATGTTTGCATCATTGATAGCTCAAGTTTGCATGCAGCTCTGACAAGATCTTCCTCTAGTGACTTTGCATCTTTTGCTTTCCACACCACGAAGTGGTAAAGATAGGCACACCAAGCTTTGTCAAAAGAAGCCAACTGAGATCTGAATTTCTTCCGATCAGCAACAACGGCAGAAGATTCCTGATAATTAGAAGATCCAGGAGACAGATCATCTAGTATTGGCTGTTTCAGTATGCATGCACCACTTGACCCATCAAGTATTGTCTTAATCAGCAGTTCGAATTCCTTCACAAAGTTTTCTGCTGACTCCACAAGTAGTTTCTCTCGCTCACCTCGTTCATTAAAAACAACACTTGGGTGACCTAGTATCATGTAAGCACAAAGAACTATCCTCGGTGAATATCTAGGTAACTTGCTAACATCTGAATTTCTAGCTGCCTTTGTTGGTGTCACTCTAGTTCTTCCCCCACTTTTTGATAGAGTCCTCTTTGGTGATCCCAGATGCTTGAGCAGATGATCAATATTTTCTGGTGATGATGGACTTGATGACTGAGATAAAGTAAAACGACTCTCCAAGCGATCAAGAAATGCCCTTGTGGTCTGAAGAACTGTGGGAGATTCAATGCAAAGAGCTAGTTTTTCAAATGGCATAGGCTTAACAGATTCCTCATTTATTCTTAGCATGTCAAAGGCCCTAGCCAACACCACTGTTGTCTTCCTAGATGTTATGAATCTTCTCCAGCATCTGAAGCATCAAATCGAATAGAATAATCAATAAAATTTAAAGTATACACACAAGCCAAACAATTGCGAGAAAGTTGACTGTATAAGTCTACCATACCTTGCCAGATTTCTTGAAAGAAAATCACCGTGTTTAACTGAAGCGGTGTATGTAAAGCTGTGAGTACTTCCTCGCTGCTTCAAATACTCAGCTCTCTGCCGCTTTGCCTGTTTTGCATAAATAGTTTGCAATGTAAGTCAAAGAGCTACTAAAACAATTATACCAACTCTGCAGCATAAAAAGGAATACCCTCTGAAGTTTGTCTTCTAGTTGTTCTTTTAACTTGCTCCTGTCAGCTTCTCTCTGGCAAGATAAAGTCCTGGCAGCAAGTTGGACCTGTGAAAACCTACCCTGGGCTCTCCTTTTCTCACCTTCCAATAGCCCCGTCCTTCTCTTCTCAGCTGCAGTGCGCTTCTGCAGGATCGCTGAATGTACACGCTCCCTGTACTTGTTTTCCCACGCCACTCTCTGCACAAGGTACTTTGTTGTTCTTTCCTCCAGTGCAGCCCTCCTCTGCGAACGAGCATGCATGAGTTGTGTACGTTTCTCCTCCGCTTGCCGAACTCTAGATTCAACTTTCATGCCAAGTTCCTCCCTCTCCTTCTTGAACCTCAACTCCGCATCATTCTTAGCAGCCTGACGCAGCTCGTCCAACTTAGCAAGCCGACTTTGTTCCTTAGCCAGGAGGCTTAACCTGCAATCAGAAATCACTTCTCACTGTTCCCTATCTTAATATCCGATCAGATAAATATGCTCTGCTAGGTGACTAGGTCCCTCTTTCTGTTACCTTTTCTGCTCGGCAGCCACAAGCTTTGCTTCAAGGCGCTTCTTAGGATCCTCCTCCTGAGATGGACACGAAGGGTATCTGACTGTGCACCTCGCTTTGCACGATAACGCTTCATGAAATTGCTGGAGGAATAGAATACACATGAGTTAACAAGCCACAGTGATCGTACTTTTTTCTGCCAGTCCTTCAAATGAACTTGGCAACAACACCAATTTTAATTGTTGTTTGTAGAACCCATTTTACAGGCTGACAGCAAAATTGGAAGCCTTCAAATATCAATCATCCTAAAATGAATCTGGGCTCCCATTTTGACATGGTTGAGATAAACCCCAAGTTATATTGTGGCTCCCGGGTTTGATCAAGAACAGCGTTACCTTGATAATCAACTCCCAGCAAATCATGTGATGGCCAATTGCTTCTAACACAAACCATTCAGTAATCCAGCTACGTGACTAAAATCTGCACTCCGGAATGCTACTCCCAATTCACTAACTACCAACCTGATGAAACGTATATTGACATGAATTGCACAGATGCCCCTAATCCACCGACCAAAACCACAACCAAATCACCCAGAAACACGAAAAAAAAAACCATAAAACTAAATCTCGAAAGCGCCGCGCCGGGTGCGCCGAGAGATCACAGCGACCCACCTGCCTCCGGAGGTCCGCATCGCGGAGCTTGGCCTCGATCTCCTCCGCGGTGGCCGGCGCTCCCCCGCGGTGCCGGAGGAGGAGCCGCCTCCTGATCCGCGGCGGCACCCTGGCCACCACCGGAGGCGAAGGCGACCCCTCCTCCTCCTCAACCTCCTCCTCGGCCTCCGCCGCCGCAGGTATCTCCAGCGCCACCGCCTCCGGCACCCCCATTCCGCCGCTAGCCGCCAGCCCAACCCACCGCCGGCGATCGCCGCTCGTCGGCGGCGGCTCGGCTGCTGCTTCTGGAGACGGGGAGAGTGGGTGGGAAGTCGGGCTTCTTCGCCCGACGAGACGAGATGAATGTTTCGAGGCGCGGATCTGGGGAGAGAGAGAGAGAGGAGGCGTGGGGCCCACGTGTCAGTGAGGGAGGGGGCGTGCGGGGGTAAGGGTGTTTCGGTGATTTTGAGTTTTGGGGGTGGGCAACGGGTGGATGGATGGAAGTTTGGCCGTTGGATTCCGCGGCTGGGGCGGTGATCGGACGGCCGTTACGGTCCTTCCTTGGTTCTGAAGTATTGTTGTCGATTCCTTTTTTTTTTTCAAAAAAAGAAAATTGATGCCATTTCTTCTTTTTTAAAAGTAAATTATTCTCAATTTTTTAGCAACACAGTACACATGCATACACTCGCATTGCGTACTCATCCACATGCACACACAAGACATATATATACTCACCCATATGAATACGGACACACATCTAGAGATGGCAACGGGTGCATACCCATCGGGTTCCCTTGCCCCATACCCACACCCACGTAGGGCTGTCAAAAAAGTTTGGAGCTCGCAAGCTGCTCGAGTTTGATTCGTTACAGGCTTGATTCGAGCTCGGCTCGAATACTAGACAAGCCAAGCTCAAGCGTAGGCTGAGGCTCGCAAGCCTAGCAAGCTCGAGCTCGAATAGCTCGACAAGGCTTGATTAGTATAATATGCATTGCATGTAGGAAGATATTTTTGATGGGCCAATATATACTTGTCATTGTGCTTGACCTGCTCAAGTCTCAAGACCCCATCAATGCTTATCAATAAAGTAATTATTCGGCTGCTAGTAATAGTACTACTATTCCTATTAGATGTAGTAGCTAGCTTTTGTTAATTGCAACGTTTCAAAGCCATGTATTCATGAGAAAAGCTGCAGAGGCTTCATTCAAGACAAATAGCACCCATTAATTTTGACTACCGATAATTTACATTAATATCTCTTATATAAGAGTAAGTTCTTTGGAGTTTCACCAAGTTAAGCTACCAAGCTCGAGTAGGCTCGAAGCTCGCTCGAGCTTAAACTCGAGCTCATTCCCAAGCTCGATCAGTATCCAGGCTGGCAGGCTCGGCTTGAGCTCGGCTCGAGTTCATGTCAAGCTCAAGCCTACATAGTCAAACTCGCTCGAGCTTGGCTCGTTCACAGCCCTACACCCATGATGTTAAAATATTCCTACTTAAATACCCACACCCGTCGCGGGTACAAAATCGTCCCCATACCCATACCCATGCGGGTAACGGGTATCTAACGGGTACCCATACCCATATAATTGACTTGTAGCATTTATAGTTTTGTACTCTAATTAGCCATATTAGAGTTCTAAACTATCAATATTTTCTCTAGCAACAATGCTATTAATATTAGTGTTCAAAGGCGAGTAAAAAAATTATACAACCACAATACATAATCAATAAATCTAATAATAATTTCACATAACTAGTATAGAACAATGCTTAAGATGTGAAAGAAGTTTTATGCTATGATTTAGTAGTCGTTGAAACTTATATTGCTCATAGTTTTAGGTTCAATCAACGGGTTTTTTTTACCCACGGGTTGGTGGGTACGGGTGGGTAAAGAACAGACCCATACCCACGTACCCAATGGGTAAGAGTTTTCGCCCGTTAGTAGACCCATGGGTATAACAGTAAGAACACGATTAGCTCCTAATAGAGTAAAAACCCGTCGGGTCTCGGGTTATGGGTCCCCATTGCCATCTCTACACACATCCTATCCCTATGAGCACATCCGGAAAATTGGACCGGCCACAAATGTCTCGCTATTGATAGGTATATCGCTTACAACTAAATGAATAATTAGCCATAAATACGAAACTCATGTTAAGTACTTAAGTTTAGGGTTTAAACTCAGACAGGCTGGTTTCACCACAAGTTTAGGGTTTAAACTCAGACAGGCTGGTTTCACCACAAGAGACAAAACCAATTGAGCTATGCATACTTCTTTCTATTTTTTTTTATGTTTTTTAAATATATGTGTACCTGGAAAATGTGTAGATTTATAGGTTATGTTCTGGTTTTTATAAGGGTCATGATTCATATACCTAAGGCTTTTAGACGATGCACTAATACTCACATTAAAAGTTAAAAAGGCTAGAATAGTTGTTGTGCATCAAGTAGAAAACACTGCACTATGGAGCTACCGTTTAGTACTACATCAACAAGAATTTACTGGTTTGATTTGATGGCTAAGTGGTCGTTGAAAAAACACTGCATTATGGTTTGATTTGATGGAGTAGTATTTTAGAAGTGACCAATTCTTTGATGCGATGTGCCAACAATAATTACAGGTATTTTGCACCAAACAGAACTGTACGATGCTTCACATATTATTTGTAAATAAACTTATTAGAGCATTTGTAGCAACTGAAAAAAGTAGGATATTGATGTTGAAAGGTGTCAACCCATAATACATCAGTATATGGATAAAATCACGCTTGTCCCTATTTGTATATCCTTATAAAAGTATAATGTTAGACAGAAATATTTTCTAATATTCTAGTCTGATGCTTCAATTTCAAAATAAAGGGGCATGGTTTTATGGATTAAGCGTTTACAACTAAGGCCATATTCTATTCTTCAACTCCAGACTTCAACTTCATCGTTTTCTGCTAGCACACTTTTCAAACTGTTAATTGGTGCTTTTTAAAATAGTTTCTATATAGAAGTTGTTTTAAAAAGTAAATACAAATATTTTTTAAATTTATAATAGTTAATACTTAATTAATTATGTGCTAATGAGGTTTCTTGTTTTGCGTGCAACAAAAATTGCGTGCTAAATTGAGGGATAGGGCTGATCAATTGCCCTGGTATTGTTTTGGTATGCTTCTAATTCCTGAATTGTAAAATCATAGAATTTCTAGGTTAAATTATAATTTTTAATGTCTCACCTCAACAACTCCAACTTCAAGAATTTACAGAGTTAGAAAAACCCATGATTCAAGCATCCGTTTCTCTACTTCAAGTTGAAAACTGCAACACTCCTCCTTGTAAAAAGAGGAAATCTCATTGTAAAAGTGAGAAAACCGTTCATTCGTGACGATGGGTCAGGGGATACACTTGCATTTACAACCATATTTTCTGCCTTAAAAACCCCCATAGAAAATCTTATTTGGCTTTTATATAAAAATAAATGCATATTATATACTCCGACGCAACTACGCAAAGTGTTGTGTAAGGCCCCATTCGAATCTTCTAAGGATGAAGATTAAAAGCGGGCACACAAAATGAGAAAGCCACGCGATTAATTAAGTTTTAATTATTAAAAACTTAGAAAAATAAATTTATCTGATATTTCAAAACAATTTTTATGTAGAAAATTTTCGTATAAGATAACCATTTATTAGTTTGAAAACGAGGAAAGTTTTGTATGTTTACGAAGTTATTAGAACAGGCCATGTTGAAATTTTTTTTTCCTTTTCACTGAACCAGTGAACCTGCGTGAATTTTTTTCATTTTTTAATTTTTTTCTTTTAATATTTACAGAAATAATCTATTGGCGAAAAAAATTACAAAAATAGACCATACCGCCCTAATGGAGGGCGGCAAGCTGACGTGGTAGACGGCGGCTCGACGGCGCCGTCCGCCGCCGTCTGTGAAAATTGCATTTAGCCCTTTGCTGCCCTCTGGGCTAAATGCAATTTTCGCAGCCCTAAAGAGCATTTGGCTGGTACTTTTTGCATCTGGGCCCAGGTGGCAAGGGGCCCAGATGCAAAAAGTACCAGCAAAAAAGTACTAGGCCCGGGCTGGCTTTTTTGCATGGGGGCCCCTTGCCGCCCTAGGGTTTCCGTGCTCCCTCTCCCGTCTGCCGTCACCGCCCGTCCCTCCCCCGTTTGCCACGTCAGCTTGCCGCCCTAGTGGAGGGCGGCATGGTCTATTTTTGTAATTTTTTTTGTGCCGATGGATTATTTCTGTAAATATTAAAAGAAAAAAAAATTAAAAATGAAAAAAAATTCGAACCTGCGTCGCCTCTCCCTGCGAAAGCCCAAACTGTTCACCCGCTGAACAACACGGGCCGTCTCTACAGTTCATTCATCCACACTGCAACGCAAGCACAGCCGTCGCGAAAACGCCGGAAAGTACACGAGTACGTTACCCCCCTCCCCCTCTCTCTCGCCGCGACGCCACACGACACGACACGCGACGACGCGACGCCCAACTCCTCACGCTTCCCTTCCCTTCCCTTCCCCCATCCATCCTCTCCTCCGACTCCGACCTCCCGCAACCGCAGCGCCGCCCGATCCGCCGCCACCGCCACCGCCACCGCCGGCAGCTCGATCCCCCGCACTCGGTAAGCTCCCCGCCGATCCTTCCCCGCCACTCGTGCTAGGGCTTCCCGGATGGATCGCCGTTTCGGTTTTGGTCGGACGAATCGAATCCCTAACTTGGTGCCGTTTCTGCTGCTACCAGGGGGGGTTTTGGAATTGGCGAATGGTGGCGAACGAGGTGGTTGCGGCGGCGGCGGTGGTGGAAGAACCGGCGCCCGCGTCGGCGGGGGCGGTTGACCCGATGAGGCTGGCGTCGCGGTGGCGGTCGCCGGCGGAGTGGGGGGCCGCGGCGGCCGAGATGGAGGCGGAGCCGGCGCCGTCCGAGCTCAACACCACCAACAGCTCGGGCCTCTTCGCCGTCGTCTCTACCGACCGGATGTCCGTCAGGTACCTCGGCGTCAACCAGCACGGCCACGACGTCGGCGTCGTGCAGGCCAACCGCCCCGCCCCCACGCGCCGCGCCGTCTACTACTTCGAGATGGGCGTCAAGAACGCCGGCCAGAAGGGGCAGACCTCCATCGGCTTCACCACCGAGAATTTCAAGATGCGCCGCCAGCCCGGGTTAGCATCCCCTCTGCCCTTGCTGTCGCTTGGTTCCGCTGTTAGTTCGTCTACGATGTTGTTGGCAATCAGAAATGTGTATATCCTCGTTTTGAGAAAATGCCACAGTTTTATGGTAGCAACCGAGTTTTAGCTGGTTGAGTTTCCTGCCTAAGAACCTAAGATAATGTGTGGGGATCACAAATTCATTTAAAATTACTACGAGGAAACCTAAGTACATGTAGTGCACTGGTTGAATTGGACTATTTGTTGCATAGGCTAGGTTTATCATGCTAAAGAGGTAGGATGCCATTTCAGTTTGTTTCAATGCATCGAAGTTTCTAATATTGGCCCTATTGAGGAAGATTTCCTGGCTAACTTGTGGTAATGTTGGCTGAAGTTATCTTAATTTCTATAAATTAGCCGGATACCCTGACATTTCCACGGGTAAATTTACTTCAGTCTACCTTAGTTTTTATTCTGAATCGTAGTTTTGTAGGGATTTACATTGAAACTTGTATGGAATCAAATCGCCAGTTTGATTTTATGTTTTAATTGAGATTTAGGTTTTTATATATTGTATTACACGTGGACTCTTTATCTTATATCTGTCACTCCAAATTTCAGTTGTTTCAAAATGGTGTTTTTCTGTAGACTCTTTTCTTTTAGTCCATGCCTTTAAAACCCAAACCCACAATATAATCAACAGTGTAAATATTTTTCTTTGTCTCAAATACCCTGACACTTGCACAGGTACATTTGCTTCAGGCAACTTTAGTTTTATTCCGAGTTGTAGTTATATAGGGATTTGACATTTAACATTGGAATTTGTATGGAATCAAACTATCAGTTTGATTTTATGTTTCAATGGAGATTCAGTTTTTCTAGATTGTATTTCATATGGACTCTTTATCTTATATTTTTCAATCCAAATTTCAGTTGTTTCTAAATGGTGTTTTGGTGTAGGCTCATTATTTTAGACCATGCCTTTATAAACCAAACCCATATAGAATCAATGGTGCAGATCTTTTTCTTTGTCTGGGACCAACGTGGCACTTTCTAGGTTTTTGGCAAACATGGAGACTCCTTTTCACCTAATTTTAATAATTTAATAGACAGACATTCAGAGAAATAGTTAGCAAATAGTATGGCCCACCATTTCTTTCTTTGAGTGGACTTCAAATTTTACCACTAAAGTATATTATTTTTTTTCCTTTTGATGACATTTTTAAATTTATCATGTTTGTTCTATATTCATTCCAGCTGGGAGTCTAACAGCTGTGGATATCATGGCGATGATGGCTATCTTTACCGTGGTCCTGGGAAAAGTGAGTCATTTGGTCCCAAATTCACTTCTGGTGACACAATTGGTGCTGGCATCAACTATTTCTCACAAGAATTTTTCTTCACGTAAGTTCTGTCATTCTTTCTAAATTGGCATGGCAGCGTCTGCTTCTCCGATTAGCTATTCTATATTAGCCTTTTAGTCGTCATATTTTAGACTTTCTTAAAGTTCATAGCTTTCATCCTTTGTCTTGTGAGTTTTTTTCTTGACTTGAGATGAATGCTGTGCTTTGTTGCTGCTTTCATTAATATTTTGAAATTCGCAAGAGTTGTCTTCACTACAGCTGTTGGCTGTTAAATATTGAATTTGGAAATCAGTTGCATTTGCATCTGCCACTACGCCTCTGGTACTGGCTTAACTTTCCATGTGCTTGTTTCTTTTTCTCCTTCAGAAGCCTTGACCATGCTTATTCATCTCAGGATATCATTCTGCACTTTAATCTAATTACATGTACCATTTTGCAGGAAAAATGGATCTCTAGTTGGATCCTTTCAAAAAGAAATTAAAGGCCCACTATATCCTACCATTGCAGTCCATAGTCAAGATGAAGAGTAAGATACCCGTTCCTAAGACTTAGTTCTTTTCTTCAACTCCAAACTTCAACTTCCTGGTTTTCCATTTGCACGCTTTTCAAACTGTCAAATGATGTATCTTTTACAAAAAAAAAATTCTATATAGAAGCTGTTTAAAAAATTCAAATGAATTCATTTTTCAAGTTTACAATAATTAATACTTAATTAATCCATGCTAATGAGCTTTCTCGTTTTGCGTGCGCTGAAAAACTCTCTCCAACCTAACAGCAAGAATGCTGCCTAAGTGATTATTTCAATGAAAATAGACATTCCAAATATGGAAAATTGCATTTTAACCAAGACAGTTAAACCTAAGTTGCTGAAAAATGGTGTTAAGTGAAATTATTTGCTTGTGTTAATATATTATTTAGGCTTGGAATTGCATGCGTTATGTGCCATAACTCATAAATTATTATATTAATTTTCAGCTTTTCAATGGATCTGATTGTTCATTTTTGCAAATCAGGGTGACAGTAAACTTTGGAAAAGAACCATTCTGTTTTGACATTGAGGTGAGCCAATAGATCTAGATATTCCTATTCACCTATTAAGGACCTCACACAAAAATGTAATATTGTCATGATTTCCTTATGGAGTATTATTTCAAATTCCATGTTTTCCATTCCACAGTTTGCTGCATCAATTAAACATATATCATAATGTCTTATAGATTATCCATCTTAGTTTTCCAAATTCAGATGCATTGCATCTTAAGCGCAGCTCCTTTCATATAATTGAAAGAACTTTTGGTTGCATGCATCCTTTTAGGTAGTAATCAGGCCACCAAAATATGGTGTATGGTGCCATAAGAACCAATTGGTTTTCATTATGGAATTATAGCCTACAATTATCACTCAGCTCATTCTTTTCATGTATATTTACCTATTTGGTGTTTAGTTCATGCACACATGATATAACACTAAGTATGATTCTTATTGGCAGGGCTATATTTTTGAAGAGAAAATGAAGCAACAATCTGTCAGCGACAAATTGGATTTGCAACCAGACATCAGTCATTGGTATGCTTTCTCATGTTAAGAATCCATCACTGTTTCATCTTGAGATCATTCTGTATCTTGTGAGATAGGTTAGCGAGTTATGTTTGATAATCACTGACTTGTGCTGTCAATTATTTGTCTGCTCCTGTTATGTTTATGTGAAATTTACCATATTACGTAATCTACATTTGATACCATATTCACTCCGCCCTTCATTCCTACCTTGTCTCAATCTTTAATTGTACCTATATTGACATTAAATCTTTTATACTTTGCCGCCTTATGTACATGTACTGTGCACTTGTAACAGGATTGTTCGTTCATATCTCCTACATTACGGCTACCAAGATACATTAAATTCTTTTGATATGGCAAGTGAAACTGATCCTCCATCCAATCATCAAAATGGTTATGGGGAACCTCCTGAAATGTATGGTCTTAGCCACAGAAAATTGCTGCGTCAGGTGAGCTAAGGAAAACTTATTTGAAACTGAATTGTTATTGCTGTTGAACCATTTTTCTAATCTACTAATAAGCAACACTGGGGAGTCAATTGTTAGTATTTATAAGATTTTTACAAGATCATACATATTCTCTTGAAACCAGGGCTTTACAGTAGTTAATCAGTTAAATACCAGTTACTACCCACTGATGATTAGAGCATCTTTGTGCCAAGTATCCATATTGATTTTTGTTGTGGTCACCACCTGTAGACTGTAGTGTTGTGAGTGGACTAACCTGACATTTGTTTTCAGTCTTAAAGGCTCCAGCTCACGTCCACTATTTTTTAGTGTTTATGTTTTTTTTTAGATTTCATTAACCTTTTGAGATGTTACGATTTATTAATGCAAGCTTCATAGGCAGATATCTTTTTCCCTGAAGTAAAACAAGGTTTTATCACAGCTCGGCTGTATTTGGACTGCACTGCACTTAATCTCTTCCATATTTTTGGTTGCACACCGTTGTGTGCAGCTATTCCATTTGTCTGCTATACTGTGCAGATACTACATAATTCATAGAATTGGCCCCTTTCGATTTTCCCCCCTTTTGGTGTGGTTTCTGCCTTCTGAAAACAGTTTGTTTGATTTCGTGAAGCTTATCATGAGTGGAGATATTGATTCTGCATTCAAAAAACTTGGAGAATGGTATCCACAGGTGATAAAGGTACAGTCTTCTATCTGATAATTAATTATTCATTTACTCATTGCAGTTTCCACAAACTTCTAATGTGAATTGATAGGTGCAGACTCCAATTTCGTCCCTGAACTTGCATTTTACTTTGTAATACAAGTTTATGAGGTGGCTCCACTTTCATCCCTGAACTTGCATTTTACTTTGTAACACAAGTTTTGGGAGGAAAGTTGTACGCTTTGCAAGTTTAATAACCTGCTTGCATTACGATTAGTCAAATACTATGTTTATCCTAGCATTTTCAGTTGCCATGATGTACTTTCCGCAAAGAGTTAGTTCACCACTAAGAAATCATTTCTTTTTTGCAGGATGAAACATCAATTATTTGCTTCTTACTCCATTCCCAAAGATTCATTGAATTTATCGGGGTAATTATCTGAACTCCTAACATTCAGCTATTTGGTTAAATATGTATATTATACTCTAGAGATCGAAGCTACAAAATTGCATGCAAATAAGCATATCATCAACTGACAAACTACTTATACACACATGAAAAATAATACACTACGTACTTTAATAAAATAAAATACAACACACATGTAAGATTATGATAAATTGTCCAATCTAAAAAAAACAGTAGTAAATGGAGTTTGGCTGATGCACCCCAAAACACACATTTGTTTTTGACTGGAGGGAGCATATGTGAGATCAACTTATTTTGACATCTGGTCAAATTGGCATGTGGTTCTGTTTGATGTTGCCCACCTAGGGCTTTCGTTTGCATGCTCACTGGTGGTGATGGGCACTTGGACATGTTGCATTATTACACTATATCCTGTTTCATAATGATATAATCTCAGTTTCTCTTGCATTAGGCTGGACAACTGGAGGATGCTGTAAAATATGCTCGCTCTAACCTGGCCAACTTCTTGACACATAAAGCTTTTGATGGGTTGCTAAAGGTAATGCAATGGCTTTTTAGATGTTGATGGGTCATTTGTAATGCGTCCAATTTTACTTGCAATAGCAAAGTGTTTTAAGGCTTCACATCTATATAAGCTTTGCAATTTCTGAGCTAAAAAGTGAACAAATCTACTTGCAGGAGAGCGTGGCCCTGCTTGCATATGAAAAGCCTGCCGAATCGTGCATTGGATATCTGCTAGACTCTCCACAGCGGGAATTTGTAGCGGATGCAGTGAATGCAGCTGTCCTGTCAACGAACCCGAACATGAAGGACCCTGAGAGTTGCCTTTACTCATGTCTCGAGAAACTACTGAGGCAGCTCACAGTATGCAGCTTCGAGCGACGTGCATTCAGCGGAGACCAAGGGGATGCATTCTTACTACATAAAGAAGTGCAGTCCTGCGATAGATCCAGGTGTTCCTAGGCATCAAAGCATTCAAGTTGCACCTGCATCTGAGCAGTGAACTCAGAGATGAGACTTTGTGCCCCTCTTGGAAGGAAAGGGATTCACCTCGGAGCGGAGATGTAGACCATGATCCATGCGCAATCACAGATACTTTGATTCTTGAAGTTTCGCAGTATACTCTCCACAAGGTGAACGCCTAACTGCTGGGAAATTTGGCAGCAGCTCCTTCCCTGTAATCTGAAAACTTACATTCACACATGGCCTTAAACATCTCTGTTTCCATAAACTCGGAAGCTTTGAGCTGGTAGACATTCTGAATGTGAAATGAGAAGAGAAAAACAATAAGATTTGTGTAAATGAAATCGAGTTGCCCTTTAACCTTGTGGTTCATTCTAATTCATTGATACATTCAATTGCAATGTCTTGGTTGCGCTCGAGTATATGTTTACTTGAAATGATAAACCATTTGCAAGAACCAGTCCATCTCTGGAGTTAATGGCACTCTGCCCTTTCTTTGTTTTGAAATCTCGTCCTCTGCTTCTGCCTATTGGTGAATTTTCACTCATGGATCATTCATGTATTCCTAGTCAATCTGTCTGTTTTCGGTCTTAATTGCTTCATTGTAGTTTTAGTAAATAGTGAAAAGAAGCTGCTGGAGAATAATGAATTTATTCTAAAAAAGAAAAAAAATCAAAGCAGCTTCTTTTGAATTTTAGATCATTAGAGAAGTTAACCGGCTAAGAAAAAAAGGGGTACGCTAGTGCTACTATAACTGTACGAGAAATTCACCTGTATTTTTAGGGTCTGTTTGGTCTGAATGGTTTGAAGTCAAATTTTACCTTACCAATTACTTATTTGGTAACTTCAATAGTATACACTAGCTATTTGGATTGATACCAATTTTTATCAAAGTCAATAGAGTTGATACTACTCTTTCCTATAAAAAGGAAAAATGATAGTACTCAAACTTGCTCAAGGTTTGACACTACAAATATTTTGGTAGTGCTTTCAACCAAACATGCCCTTAGAAAGGGCTACTCCGTACTAGCTATAGGCTTATAGCAAATGCAATCCTACATGGCCTGCAATTTGCGTGGGAAATACTGCTAGAACGTTTTAAACCACATCTATTTCACCGCACCTCTTTATGGAACTCTTCATGAAAACAAAACAACTAAAGGGGATGTAGCTCAAATGGTAGAGCGCTCGCTTTGCATGCGAGAGGCACGGGGTTCGATCCCCCGCATCTCCACATATATAATTTGTGAATTAGTTTTGGTTCTTTCACAAACAGTATTTTAAATTCCACTTGAAGTATTTTTGGTTCTTTCACAAACAGTACTTTTAAATTCAAGGAGATCACTGCATTCCTTTTGGAAGAGGAGAGGCAGGGAGCATTTTCACAATCAAGGCCCAGCCCATTCACAATCAAGCCCATACATTCGATGGGCCCCACATGTCGGCCACTGTCCCTCGGGCGGTTTAAGTAGGTTTTCATTTTCTTCGCAGCTTCGATTCCCTCCTCTCCCCTCCTCTCCGCCCGCTCGCCGCCGCCGCCGCCCGCGTCGACTCGCCGGAGCTGAGCCCGGTAGGGCCACACGCCGAGCCGACAGGATGTGGTACCTCTGCGTCTTCTACCACAGGCTCCTCGACTACCGGCGGCCCGAGGTGCAGTCCCTCGCCGAGCTCTTCGGCGGGCCTGGCGCCGGGGACGCCGTCGAGTGGCGCATGCCGGAGAACCACCACGTCGACTCCCCCTTCCACCTCGTCCGCCTCCCGGGCGACGAGCGCCTCGCCGCGCAGATCGCCAACCGCAGTAAAAGCGCCTCGCCTGATCGATTGATTCACCACCATTCGCTGGCTAAGCTTCTTCTTGCGGGTTAATCTTGGGGGGCGCCGCGACGCCATGTGTGTGTTTGTAGGCTTGCTGGTGAAGGGGATCTACGAGCTGTGGGGGCAAGGCACCACCTACGAGGAGCTGGAGAGGGTGGTCATGGCGTACCCCGAGGAGAGGAAGCTGCCGTACCTGACGCCGGAGAGCACCTTCAAGATCGTCGTCGACAGCTTCGGCAAGGTCATCAGCTTCCAGGAGCAGAACGACATCATGAAGAGCCTCACCTACATCCCCTTCAAGGTAAATTCATTTTTGAGCCATAATAAGTTCAATTTTAGCCTCCCCAGTTTGTCCCAAAATAAGTTCATTTTTGAGTAACCACTGCATCGGAGTTTATGAAAATAGAAGATAAATATGTTAGGAGTAGATAAAGTGAGGAATAATTGCGTTGGGATTTGATAAAGTAGGTATTATAGTCTTTTTTATGTTGTATTGGTATTGGATTGGTGAAAAATGAACTTATTTTGGGACGAAGGGAGTTCATGGAGTAGTTCGGATCACGAATTTGTGGATGTCAGATGCATTTATTTTCTCTTGTGTGTAATTGGTGCTGTTCCTCATTTCCAGGGCCGTGTTAATTTGAAGAAGCCCGATCATAAGTTCTTTGTCATGGAGACTGATGACTATGGCTGCAACAATGGCCTCCCGCCGGTTGCTCAGAGGACGGTATTCTTTGGCCGCGAGGTTGGAGCGGCGGATAGGCATCTCCTGCCGACATATCAGCTGAAGAGCAGGAAGTATATTGGCCCGACCGCAATGGATGCTGAAATGGCATTTCTTATGGCGAATCAAGGGCTGGCGCGCCCCGGGAAGCTCGTATATGACCCTTTTGTTGGGACTGGGAGTATTTTGGTTGCAGCCGCGCATTTTGGAGCCATGACAATGGTTTGTGCTTATTGCACGGATAACGAATAATTTTCATTCTGCTTGTGAGTATGTCTTACTGATAAAGGCCTTTCAGGGTGCAGATATTGATATAAGGGTTGTGCGGGACGGTCGTGGTCCAGATTGCAATATTTGGAGCAACTTTGAGCAGGTGATTGATTGAAGTTAGCTATTATTTTTTGCTTAGATTCTTCCATCCTGTTGTGATCTGCTTGATTCTGTGTGAGCTGCAATTCTCTTATGACAGTTAGTTCTTAAACGCTGTTCTTGCCTAGTTTTTGACTTGGTATCATATAGCTTATGCAGATTATGTGTACTAACTATAGTGACATTTCGGCATTTATCACTTGTTAGTAAAACACCCGAGGTTCGTGTGAAGTACTAATTATATTGTCTTCTTCAGTACAAATTGCCGGAACCATTATGTATACTAAGAGCGGATAACAACGTCCCACCTTGGCGTCCAGGATTGAAGGAGGTAATACTCTGTTGTGCGGTTTATACATTGTTGTATTTTTTTGAATTTTACAGTTTTGACAGTGTAAGCTTGTACTATATGCGCGACTAAAAACTGAAACAAATGTGAGGAACGCATAAAGTGATTCCTGTACATTCATGCAATATTTTAGTTGTGCTTGAAATCTTGGATTTGTTATTTACATTCTTGCATTGCTTTATTTGGTTGACATTGCTTGAGAAAATGGTTGATGCTGAAGTAATTGAATTCTCACGTAGCTTTTTAACTGATGAAATATTTCCTACAACTGAATTTCCATATGAAGCTATTGTAGCCTACAAGCGCATGGGCCTTAATTTCCATAGCTTTTTTTTTTAATAAAACTTTCCATAACCATTGGCTTGATATATCTTCTGCTTGTATGCTACAAGATACTCTGGAAAGTTACTGATTTACTCCGTTGTTTCAATTTTTTCGACAAGATATGATAAACACACTATTGATGCTTGCGATCAATCAGGTTTTCGATGCCATCATCTGTGATCCACCATACGGAGTCCGGGCTGGAGGCCGCAAGTCCGGTGGCCGGAAGCTCATAAAGGGCACCGTCGCTCCGTACACGGTTCCGGACGAGAAGAGGGACAGCCACATCCCATCCACCGCGCCGTACAGCCTCGCGGAGTGCGTCCACGACCTCCTCCACCTCGCCGCGAGGATGCTGGTCATGGGTGGCCGGCTGGTCTTCTTCTTCCCCGTCGTCCGCGAGGACGGCGTCGCCAACCCGGCCAAGTACCCGGAGCACCCCTGCTTCAGGCTGCTTGCCTCCTGCGAGCAGATCCTGAGCATGAGGTACAGCCGGGTCCTGCTGACCATGGTGAAGGTCGGGCCCTACACCGAGGAGGTCGAGAAGGCGGCGGAGGAGCGGCGCCGCGAGTTCAGGGAGAACCACCATAAGTGGATGGAGGAGGGGAACCTCCACTCCGCCGTGTTCAGCCCCGCCGATCAGGCCGCCGCCGCCGCCGACGGGAAGCCGGCCATAGACAGGGACTCCAAGCCTAAGTACAGAGGCAAGTATGTGTAGGTGTAGGCAGGTGAGAGACGCTGAACTTTTTGTCTGAAAATTTTTCTGACGCTGTAACGAACAATTTTGTCGATGTCATGTGGTCGTGTATCCTTCAGCTTAAGAGAGCCCGGAGGCTTTGGATCAGCCGATTTTTAGAGCATAAATTAGTGCAGGTGCTGCTGTACTATGATGTACCATTTCTGAGATGATACGAGGCTGCTAATTCATTTGGTCGATGATGAGGATTTGCCCTATTGAATTATCTATCTATTTGTACTAGTAGTGTTTTGGTTTATCAGAACTGAGAATCGTGCTAATTGAACTAAAATTATATTTTTATATGATGGTATTGTAGTAGTCGTTAAAAATTATATTTTTTATATGATGGTTGGAAAAGGATATATAAACTTTACGATACCACTCACATCCTAAGGTTGTTTAAGATAGTGGTTTTGCATATTTGAAAGCTTAAATCAGCAATTTTGAATGGCTAATATAGCATGTTTACATATCGTCGATCATTGATCATTAAATTTTAAATTATACTCTAGTGATGTCATATTAGTATTATAATATTGTCAACTGTTTGTAAATGAGAGCAAAAATATGTTGTTAAAACGAAAGATTTAGGTGGAGATTTTAACTTATCTAATGCATATGTCACCTAGCAAAACTTATTCAACATAGATAAAAACCACTTTGTAAAACTATATTAAGGTGTTATATAAAAGGTATGTTTGGGGGTTGGATGTCTGGGCTTCAAAGTTCAGAGGTGCTAGATGAACTTTCAATCAAAGTTTTGGGGGTATACCTTTTATTGCTATATTATAAAAGAAATTAACGATCAAAGATAACATGAAGACCGTGTAAAAGTCTAATACTCTCCATATCATTCTACTCCAGGTAACACAACCATCAGTTTTTAAAAGCCTGGAGTTTAGAAACATGTAAATTATATGTAAATTATATATTATAAAAGTAGTGCTCATGGTAAATCTAAAAATAAAATATAAATCGTACGATGTTAAATTATTGTAAAATTATAGGAATCGATGGTCAAAGATTAAAATGTTTAACTTGGAACAAACTAGCAATTTAAAACGGACTGAGTATGTTTTATATTTTATAATTTAGAAGGGATATCTTAGAACTGATGGATGCTTTAAAATGTAGCCACTTAAAAAACTTCAGATGCAACATGGACGAGAGCAGATCATTGACTGCAATCAAACATGGTGAGCATGATACGATTTATTTACTATATACATCTTCACCACTGATTGACATGGATCAGTTAAATAAGGTTCCCCTACTAACTGTAAAAATCTATGAAAACGAAACAAGCGCAAAAGTCTAACGTGCCAGCCACATCTGCTTATTCATTCGGAGATAGAATTTGTATGATCCGGTGTAATATTTATTACTTCTACTTCTGGTCACTGTATCGCATGATGCCGTACACATCAACAATACCCGGAGGAAACACTGGATCAGTTGCTGCTCTTACAGCGACCTTCGCCACGGAGGCAACACTCACTGGAGGGGTCAACAGTGGGCCAACCAGCGGCAATCTCGTCAACGGCTTCGCACTTTGGAGAACCTGCAGTGCACAGGGAGATCTTCAAATTAAGTCTTAAAAACAACTTTACATTTGGAATAAGAGCAAAAATAACTGTGTTGCAAGGCTTGCAAAAACAGAATGAAGAGACTTTTACCATTTGCATAGGAGAACCAACAAGTCCAAGAGGTATTTTTACGCTACCGACACGGCGAGTTCCATGAATAAAACCAGGCCTCAAAATCACTCCTGAAAAATATGTAAAAAATTGATATAAAACTTGGGCTAGAAATACTTATTGAGAGGATAATTGTGTCCAAAGTCATCTCAAGTGCCATTGAATTAAAATCCAAATTGAAATGATAAATAAACTTCTCACAAAGTCACAATTCTTCTGGTTATGCCTTCTCTTTAGTTTTTCTACTCTTATTACATGATAATAATAATGGAATAGTTGGAATCAGCAGAATTCTCAAACTACAGAACCAGCCGCTTTCACACAGGGGGAACAAGATTGGAGCAAGGGCCCTAAGAATTTAGAAGACAACTCGAGAAAAAGGTTTTAGAACCCAGTCCCTCATATATGTACTCCAGTTATCCAAAGTATTCCAGCAATGTAAGACCAACAAATACTTGCTCCGTCCCATAATATAAGGAATTTTGGGTGGATGTGACACATGAATCTGGATAGACCGTCTGTCCAGATTCATTGTACTAGGATGTGTCACATCCACCTAAAATCCCTTATATTACGGGACGGACATAAGTGGCTCACGAGTAATGGAGTGGTAGCTATGAACTTGCTCACACTAATATAGTGATTTCAATACATGCTGATTCAAGGCTATCATCGCACATAGCATCAGAAATAATTTTAGCAAAATCAAATTGGTTTTTACTGGTTACTCCAAGTTTGGCTATTTGAAGCCAATATTCTAACACATTTCCATTGATGTCCTAGTATGGACATATAATATGTACACATAACCGATTAGCACTGGAAACCTTCTCAAAAACAGTATAGAGAAAATTAGGTATATTCCATTTCTTATAGACAAGCAAACTGGAACAACCCATGGCTTCAAGCAATATATATGAGAGAAACACTAAGGCATGAGACAGTTGCAATATATATGAGAGAAACACTAAGGCATGAGACAGTTGCCCATTGCGGTGTGCACAGCCAAGTTATCTAGCTTACGCCTTGATATTATGGTCCTGTCCTTTCCACTAGAAGGGCTGTAATGGTGCTTCCTAATGTGCTTGAGGGCGATGCATCACCTGAGTGTTTAAAGTTAATTAGCTGCAACAATCATTGGCCATTGTTCTCTTGTTGCGAAGAAATTTGGTGATTTGTCCTCTTTATCGTGGAATCGTGTTGTCAGCTATGCTGCAACAAGAACCATGGAATACTGGCAACCACTTGAAATGATGGAGTATAAAATTGATTGCAGAGATGGAGTATCAATGGCACCATCAAGAACTATCCACACAATTGGCAGCCTATATGCACCTCATGGCATAGGGTGCTTGAGCAGCAATCAATAAGAATCCAATAAAAACAATTAGGAGTTGAGGACAAGGAAACACAGGCCCCGCACGAGCAGGGGCCATTGCCAGAGCCTCTGAACTGGTATTTCTTTGTTAAGTACAGCCATATTGCCGCTTACTCCATGGTATATGTGGTGTTATATCAGGTCCGATACTGGTTACTGATCACGAATTTTTGAAACTTAAGTTTAAGATAAACCTCTACACCTCCCATTTCCAAATCTGAATGTATTTGGCTATTTGCAATTCCGTTATAGCTGGTGCTACAGGGCAATACTGTCATGTTGGGAAGAGATCATGGCGTTGCAAAGATTTGGCCACGCCACTCGCAATGATGTGGAGCATGGCAGCACCAAATTTCTACTCAAAAAGGGTACATAGAGAACATTGTGTAAATGAAGTGTGAAGCTATTATTCAATTCTAATGGATGTTCTCCAATTGCTTCAACTTCAGCCTCAACTCCATTTGCCACTCTAATGCATCTTTCTCCTCTTGTTAGCATCCTCCTCGTATGGAATCTCTGTAATGAATTTGCAACATGAATGATCGCACCTGAATCAACCCACCAAGTGGATTTTAAATAACTTATGTACAGGGATTCATCTTCAAATGTAATAATGTCCTCACCCTTCTTTATGAGATGCTTTAGGAAATCAGGGCAATCTTTCTGATAGTGCCCCTTCTTCTTGCACCACTTGCAAGTGTCCTTGTCCACTTCTACATTGCTTGGTCGTGATGTGGATCACTTTGTGGTGCCTTAGGAGAGGCAGCATTCTGGTTGTAGTTGTTCCTCTTCTTGTTGTGCTTCACATAGTTGGCGGAATCACCACGAGCCTTGGGTCTATCCTCTTCTTGCACACATATGGCAATGAGCTTCTCAATGTCCCAGTTTTCTAGCTGTGAGTTGTAGTTGACAACAAAAGCCTCAAAATCTGAAAGCAAGGAGGCAAAAATAAGGTGAACTAGAAACTTATCAGGGAGTACCAAGTCCATCTTCTTGAGCTTTGAAGTGATATCACTCATCTTCAAAATGTGCTCTCTAACCCCTCTGCCAGTGTATTTAATGGTTACTAAGCTCTTAATGAGGGTGCTGGCATAGGCCTTTGAAGAACCAGTAAATTGATTCTCCACTCTCTGAAGGTACTCAGTGGGTGGTACAAGCTGAGATTGCTCCCCTTATTGCCTCCACAATGGAGCTCTTAATCACCATCAAGCACTTGCGGTTTGATGACTCCCACTTCGCACGACTTCAATCTTATTGCCGCATGGTCTAGCATCCTCTGTTTGAAGTCACCTTCACTCTCACCTTCTGCCCTCACTGGAGTAACAAGCTCAGTGGGGCGAGGCTCGGTGAGAGCTACAGCGCAAGTGCTATCTCTATCTTCTCTCGGCATGAGCCATAGTTGTTCCCGTTAAGAGGCTCAGCGGCCGAGATGTAAACTAGTGGGTTAGTAGTTCCTGAAAGCAAATTAAAGCTCAATTTCCTCTAATTTGCTTTCAGGAACTACTAACCCGCTAGCTTACATCTCGACCGTTGAGCCCCTTAACAGGAACAACTATGGCTCATGGCGAGAGAAGATAGAGATAGCACTTGCGCTGTCCGACATAGATGCAGCTCTCACTGAGCCTCGCCCCATTGAGCCTGTTACTCTAGTGAGGGCAGAAGGTGAGAGCGAAGATGACTTTAAACAGAGGATGCTAGACCATGCTCCAATAAGATTGAAGTATGATGTTGATCGTGCGAAGTGGGAGTCATCAAACCGCAAGTGCTTGATGGTGATTAAGAGCTCCATTGTGGAGGCAATAAGGGGAGCAATCCCAGCTTGTACCACCCACTGAGTACCTTCAGAGAGTGGAGAATCAATTTACTGGTTCTTCAAAGGCCTATGCCAGCACCCTCATTAAGAGCTTAGTAACCATGAAGTACACTGGCAGAGGGGTTAGAGAGCACATTTTGAAGATGAGTGATATCACTTCAAAGCTCAAGAAGATGGACTTGGTGCTCCCTGATAAGTTTCTAGTTCACCTTATTTTTGCCTCCTTGCCTTCAGATTTTGAGGCTTTTGTTGTCAACTACAACTCACAGCCAGAAAACTGGGACATTGAGAAGCTCATTGCCATATGTGTGCAAGAAGAGGATAGACCCAAGGCTCGTGGTGATTCCGCCAACTATGTGAAGCACAACAAGAAGAGGAACAACTACAACCAGAATGTTGCCTCTCCTAAGGCACAAGGAAAGGCACCACAAAGTGATCCACATCCACGACCAAGCAATGTAGAAGTGGACAAGGACACTTGCAAGTGGTGCAAGAAGAAGGGGCACTATTAGAAAGATTGCCCTGATTTCCTAAAGCATCTCATAAAGAAAGGTGAGGACATTATTACATTTGAAGATGAATCACTGTACATAAGTTATTTAAAATCCACTTGGTGGGTTGATTCAGGTGCGATCATTCATGTTGCAAATTCATTACAGCGATTCCATATGAGGAGGATGCTAACAAGAGGAGAAAGATGCATTAGAGTGGCAAATGGAGTCGAGGCTGAAGTTGAAGCAATTGGAGAACATCCATTAGAATTGAATAATAGCTTCACACTTCATTTGCACAATGTTCTCTATGTACCCTTTTTGAGTAGAAATTTGGTTTATGTTTCATGTTTAGCGGATGATGGATATAATTGCTTTTTCGATCAACAATTATGTTCAATTATATTCAAGAATAAGTGTGTGGGTCTTGCCATATAACAAGGCCAGCTTTATATGTTGCCTAAACATGAGAATGAGAATGTTGTATGCAATGGAGAGAATGTTGCGTGCAATAGTATGTCTTCCCCGTCTACGAATGTAAGAAATAAGCGCAAACGATGCAATGACGAAACATCTGCGAAATTGTGGCACTGTCATTTAGGCCACATTTCGAAGGGGATAATTGAACGATTAATTAAAGAAGAAATTTTGTATCCGTTAGACTTTATGGATTCCGAATATTGCATCGATTGTATTAAAGGAAAGTATGTTAAACAAATAAAGAAAGGAGCCATACGAAGTCTAGGATCCATGGCTTACGGGAAAGCCTATGATCCTTGGCTTAAAAGGGCCTAGTGTTTATTTCGAAATAGGGAGGTATTGTAGTTGTTGCGTCTGATGGCTCAGTGGTGACTGTCATGATGAAGCGTGCTCTATACATCAATCTATTTAGAAGTGAATATTGAGTATGAGAAGTAAGAAAGGCGGAGATCAAAGGGGAGAATGTTAGTTGCAATCTCCTGGGGAATCAGGAAACCGATTCCCCACTCCGCACTCACACGCCCTGATCTGGGGCGCCAGCCGTACGATGGCTGTGGTCCCTCTCACGCAGTGCCAAATAAAAAGGGGGGAGTGGCCGGCACACTAAAAGAAACGTTTGACGGCGCACACGCACTCCCCACAAAACCCTAGAACCCTCCGATCCGGGAAGGCGTTGAAGTGGGGGGATTCCTCACAGCCGCACCACCACCACCGCCATCGTCCACACCGACGCCGCCACACCGTCGCCATGGCCGCATCAAGCTCAAAGACCGACGCCGGTATGTCTCTCTCTCTCCCCTTCCCCGTTCACTCCCTAAGTCAATCATCTTTATCTCCATGAGGTAGTTCAACCCCTAGATCCGCACCGAATGATATTAGAATCCTAACAACAGTTGCCCATTACGGTGTGCACAGTCAAGTTATCTAGCTTACGCCTTGACATTATGGACCTGTACTTTCCACTGGAAGGGCTGTAACAGTGCTTCCTAATGTGCTTGAGGGCAATGCATCAACTACCTGAGTGTTTAAAGTTAATTAGCTGCAACAATCATTGGCCATTGTCCTCTTGTTGCGAAGAAATTTGGTGGTTTGGCCTCTTTATCGTGGAATCGTGTGCTGCAACAAGAACCATGAATACTGGCAACCACTTGAAATGATGGACAATAAAATCGATTGCAGAGATGGAGTATCAATGGCACCATCAAGAACCATCCACACAATTGGCAGCCTATATGCACCTCATGGCATAGGGTCCTTGAGCAGCAATCAGCAAGAATCCAGTAAAAACAATTAGGAGTTGAGGACAAGGAAACACAGGCCCCGCATGAGCAGGGGCCATTGCCAGAGCCTCTGAACTGGTATTTCTTTGTTAAGGACAGCCATATTGCTGCTTACTCCATGGTATATGTGGTGTTATATCAAGTCCGATACTGGTTACTGATCACGAATTTTTGAAACCTAAGTTCAAGATAAACCTCTACACCTCCCATTTCCAAATCTGAATGTATTTGGCTATTTGCAATTCCGTTATAGCTGGTGCTACAGGGCAATACTGTCATGTTGGGAAGAGATCATGGTGTTGCAAAGATTTGGCCACGCCACTCGCAATGATGTGGAGCATGGCAGCACACGATTGCCATGCCACCTTGTGTGGTGTAGGAAGAAGGTTCATTTAGAAAAGGATACCCCCGTAACTTTATTTTAGAAAAATGATTTCAAAAGGTATAGAAATAATTTCTTACAATAAAAGAAGGGCAAGAACACATTGGCATGAAAATAAAAAGGTTACATGTGAAAGAGAACTCACCGCCATAGGTAAATTTTGATAGCAGTTCAGCTTCAGTTGCCCTCTTCAAAGGATAAATGAAACCAATCAAATTTATATCAATAACGATTACTTATAGGGTCAGAAAAACAAGCAACACTATGGAACTATGACCTTGCCCTCATAACATGGAAAAACTTACCTTGCCCTCATAATAACCTTGCAACAAGTAGTTCACAAAACCAAAGTCCGCTGCTGACACATACACAAATCTCTTAATACCTGCAGGTAGAGCATGATGTGGAAGCAGTTAAGTCCCAACCAAAAATAATGTGCATCAGCATAGACTTAATTTTACTTTGCCATATCATATGAAATAATTGATCAAAAATGAAAGATTTGGAGTGATTCCTGCCTTCGGCCTAAGCAAGCACCGGGCAGTATATGCAACTCTAGTGACTAGATGTCATGCATCGTCACTGTCCAAGCAGTCCAAGCTACAGTACATGGCTGAATGGTACCTCTCCACTTTTTGTGTACGACAGACAAGCCCAATATGCAAGGAAGTAAAGTGCATGTTTCTAGATAATTATTCTTCCAGAGATAACTTTGTGAAGTACTAGTAAGAAATTGTATTTATTTATTTTTTTGGAAATTATGACACAAGAGTTAGTATTCTGACATTTACCCTTTTGCTTTAATTGATCTGATCATAAGAACTACACACTATACTGACTAAAGGAGATTACAAACTAGTGGGGAGAATCATATCAATACATGTGAAAAAGAGCATATTGATGAATTGACAGAAACTGCAAACATAACATAGAAAATGAATATGGTGCTGCAACAATATGTTCTCAAACATAAATACCTTTCTCAGCTGCAACACTGATGGCATTGATGTTTGCAGTTCCATTAATTTTGTACATGTAAGAATTTGAGCCAAAGCCTCCAACACATGATACCTATAGCAATTTCTCTCATATGAGTAATGTTTCAAGATTCATAAATTCATGTTAGCATAAAGCAGTTACTACTTATATGTTATACCTTATTAGAGTATCGGTGCATAATAAATTTAAAAGGTATCAACGGTGTTCCAGGGATGATGATAAAAGGTTTAACACGAAGTGGAAATATTTCCATCATACTAATTAATCCAGTGCTCATAGAACCTAGATAGTATGACCCAATAATCCAAAATTATCTGCAGGCAAGGGAAGTGGCAGGGATGGATTTGAAAACCTAAGTGATAACAATTTAAAAAGATGGCCTGTAAAAAACCATTTCCACCTAGATCAACCAAGAGTTATGAGCAATTTGAGCCAAGGGAGTGCAACGGATGGAGCTTGGAAACTAAATGATATTAATTGAGAAGGATGGATTTTAGAAACTAAAAGATATTAACCTACAAGACTGTACAGATCCACCAGATACTCATTGGTGCCGACATGTATGGAGTAAAGGCATCAGATACCTCTTGGTAGTTTCAAGTCTAGTAGTCTAATGAATGGTACCTTTAATTAGATTTCCATGACAATAACAGCAGAAAACAGTCATAATAATGCGCATACAAAATAACAAAAACCCTAACCCCAACCCAATCACTAATAAGGATTTGAACAAAGAAGGTAGCAATAAGTTAGTATTTGATGCTTGAGGTGCCCAATATATCATTTCAGAATCATATATTAACTTAGTACAATATCCTGCAGTTGTTTCGGCATCATGTAAAGACCAGACAAGTGAGTCTGTTTCAACTTTCAAGAGACTTGCCAAAGATCCAGGAAAGTACAAGGGTAAAAAAAAAAAAAAAAGAGGAAAGCATAAATGCAAGAATGCAGTTTTCAGTACAAAAATGTGCACCAAGTTAACAAATTCGAAAATAAAAGTGTAAACATACCACAGCAGAAACACCTTCCATAATATCCTTCAGGGAATCAGGTTCAAGTAGATTGCCTGCCCAATAAAAGAGACATTAAGCAACATAATCATTTATAAGCACAATAAATTTATCTCACTAGCAAATAACCTTTGTTCCATATAACTTTGTCAGCCCAAGATTCACTTATTGATGGCTTTCCAGATCTGTTAAAGTCAAAAATCAAGAGAATGGTAAGTCATTGATTGAAAATAAAGATTGATGATTTTGAAGTATATAAAGTCTGATATTTGTTTGTCTGATAATACATCAGATGTGTCAATAAGGAAATTATGAATTCAATAAAGCTTCAATTATCTAAAAATAATAAAAATTTAGGAAATTCAATGCAAGACTACAGCTACTGAACAGCAATAAGTACATTCATAAATTACATGAGTATTGCTCTCAGAATACACCATTGACACCCCCTTGAAAACACTCACAGAAGAATAAGATGAAAAAGAAAAGATCAAACTAACTCTGATTATATTTTTACATTGTTAACAAACTTCTAGAATCGAAATCTAATATGAGTAGAAACAGCTTCACACAGTTCTGTTCAGTGACCACAATAGAGGAACAAAAGGAGAATGAGAGTCTCCCATGAATTTTTTCTAAAGCTAAAGGCATCAACACAAACTTAAGAGAACCATATAAAGTTATCTACAGTTAGATTAGAGGATTCAGAGTATCCATTGCTCTTCCATATCAGATATCAGGGCAAAAACGTGTTTAAGTTTCAATAGACATACAGCCTCTGTAGCAATAGTTTATTTATGATTTTGGCTAGTTACAAAAAAAAATAAAAAAATATATCTCAAAATCAAACAGTCTGACAACAAAATGAGAATGAACATGTCAACAGATACAGCTTACAGAAATACCTATTAAGACTAGCAACAGTAAATCCTTTGTCCAAAGCCTCCTTGCAAACATGTGAACCAACAAAACCATTTCCACCTAGCACAAGAAGCTATGTCGACATATATGTCAGTAGCAATTCAGTAATCTTCACCAAATGGAAAGCATAAAGAATAACTCCATAGAAAAATGTACATAATTTATCTAAAAGCTCGAATAACACGTAGTTAGCTGTTAATATTAAACAATACATTTCCAAAAATATATTAATTGCTGTTAAACCTGCAGGAACACCATTCAAAACAGAATACTTGTTATAATATTTTTATCGGTCTGTAATATATTGCTCAGGATAATGAAGATAAGAAAACATTGGAAATAGGCTAAGCACTTGTCTACATGAATATTTTAGTTATATATGACCTTTCTGTTGGAAATGAAGAATTGCTTTCCCTTGAAGATAAGCACACTATAGAGATTTAAATATCATAAAGCAGGATGTATCCGTGACATATTCAGGGAAATATTTTGGGAAATGCTTAATGCAAAAACACAATATGCTGCACAAAGGGAAAAAAGAGGTTTCCATATCAAATCAATCTGAAGATCTGGTAAAATAACATTGTCGGTGTAGTGAACTTACAGGGCTTATGTAGATAACATTTCAAGTCTAACTGTTTCAACATTGAGAGCAATGACAATGAAATAGTTCCGATAAAACAGCACAAAAGAAAGGCGAGATGAAAGAAAAGGGAATATGTTAGCATTCGAATCAAACTAGCACGTTTATGTTTCCTCTAATGCATTTTCAGTTCGAAGGACTACATCGAGATTATCGAATTCATTTTGCAACTTTTCAGTTACGTAACTGATGGCTGCACTGGATATCTCCCCAACAGCCAACATGTCCATTCTATGACAATAATCTACATCAGATACAACCGCATAAACCAAAATTCATCCCGCTGATAGTTTAAAATGAATACACTAGGTCACTAGCCCACTATGATAGATTGCTCATTCAGAAAAAAAAAAAAGAAAGGGAACAATGCACCTTATAATATATGGGTAAGAAAAGGATAAAACGACTGCTACCAAGAATGACTGCCAAACAAGCTAAACACAAGAAAAAGTCTTAAACTAGTGCATTTTACGCAAACTAGTAATAATCACATTAATTATAATTACCTTGTCCGGGGAAGGCGGTGGCACCTTCACGGTTTCTGCTTCCTCCACCTTGAAAGGCTCCTCCACACGCTTGGAAGCATCCTCGCTCAAGAAAGCCTTCCCATTATTGTTCTTTAACAAGTTTGCGGCGCTGTTGGCATCATCGGTCACACAAGGTAGAACAGAACACCACTAATTTAGCATCATAATAAAATCCACAATAATCATAACAAAATCCCCCTATTGTGGTGGATAAGCCAACGAGGAGGTAAATGCGGCTCCTAATTCCCCATCCTAACGAAGCACGCGCACCTTTGCACGCCATCTCATCTCATCTCATCTGAATTTAAGGGTTTATTGTTTATCTCTTCCCAAAAACTTGGGGGATGTTTCGACGGCGGGCGCGCGCGGGGAGGGGCTCACCTGAGACGGGAGGGCGAGACTACGGGGGACGAGGAACGGATCAGGCGGGTCATGGCCGACCTCATCGCCGCCGACGATGCCGCCGCCGCCGCCGTACTACTCCTTTCCTCGCGATCTATCGAGAGCGGAAGCAAAGAATACGCACGCGACGCGAATGGTCTTTTTTTCCTCTTGCGAGTTTGTTTGTAGGCGAGAAAAAGGTGAAAAGCGGTGGCAGATGGCACCGCTACGTGTTAAGGCTGGCAGGCTGCCACGTGATAGGGTTGGCAATGGGGCGGGCCGGGTGCGGCCCTGGCCCTGGCCCCGCTTTTCTACGGGCTCGCTCGGCCCTAGTCCAGCACAAAGAACAATCTCGCACCGGCCCTAGCCCCCGCAGGACTCGTCACCGGATCGGGGCCTCACACGAGGTGACTCTTGTCTCCGAGAATGTGAACGGCGACTAGCGCTCCCGACGTGGGTGGTGGCATGGGAATAGCGACTAGCGCCAATGGCACGATTGGAGAAGAGGATGGTAGGTGGTGCATCGTTGTAGCAGACAGTTGAGGAATCGCCAAAGCTACAGCGACAATAACAATGTGGATTGGATGGAGTCGTAGGAGCGGTTAAGCGGAGAGACATGATGAGAACATATTGTGTGTTTCTCAATGCATCTTCCTCTATTAGGTTTATTGAACAGTTTTTAGAAAGAAAAAATCTCAATTCTCCTCTCACCTCTATTTATCTATGAAAATCATATGTGGCACCTATTCTCATTCTTATGCCATTATTTATGCTCTTACTTATCTCAATTGAAACATGACTATATGGGAAGGCATATATGGTTCACATGCATACAAACAAAACGAATACCTTATCCCCTCTCCCACATGTTCCCCTCGCTCCCATGGCATCACAGCACCACTACCCTTATAGTGCCTTTGCTTAATGCCACAAGTAAAAACCACGCCCTTATCTATTTTCCTCCTCCAACGAGCTCTCCACTCCTACTCTGTTCCTATTTTCCCAGGAGTAGATGGTACGTACAATGGTGAGGCAAGGTGGGCTTGGTTGAGGTCACGAGTGAGGCGATGATTAGGCTGGTGGCGACAACTCCAATGTGCATGAGGGGCCTTCTTCATCCTCCCTGACAAGGCAACGCGTGGCCAAAATCTCATTTTTCTTCCTCCCCTAATTATGTGTCGGGCCACTAGTGAGTGGTGGTTAGAAGTTTATGATTTGAAATAGAAAGGTTCACATATCCGGTTGGAAAAAAAAATCTATTTTTGAGCAAACAATTCCAAAGATTGTTGAAAGTTAATGATTTTGAATAGAAAGTTTTGGCGTTTTTTAGTTCATTTGAAATTTCATGTGCACAACTTTCTATATTGACAAGTTCTTTTTATGTATAAAGCTTATAGACTGAAAGTTCATATGTACAAAAAAAGTTTATAAATCAAAAGTTCCTCAATGTATTACATTTATACATTGGAAGTTTATGTAAAGTTTATAGATTGAAAACCTCTGGATTGAACTCGAACATCCATCTATTCCATGCATAAATAAATACCAGGAAAGGTGTTTAGGTGCGTCAAAAAGAGAGGACAACCAATTGGCACTCCGAGCACATGTGACTGAACGTTCACTCATTAGGGTTTTTGATAGCTCCAAGCTTCCACTAACAAGCGAAATAGGTTTTTTGCCACTTATTTGCAAGGCGGAAGTAAATGGCTTCGCTCTATAATTAAGTGGGGTATTATCCTTATATATTTTTGTATTTTTTAAACGTGGTCTATTTATATAAAAAAGATGAAAAGGATAACTACAATAGAAGACAAAAAAATACTTTAGTAGTAAACATTTCTAGAACTAAATACATAGGAGAAAATGGTTGTATGTTAATACCAGAACCATTATGTGGGAACAAAATTTTCTTACTGCTTTGAAACCGAGAACTTCGTATAAACCACAATATTAACCACAATATTAAGTACCACAATTGATGGGGTCGCCGAACAACTTTGGCGTCAGAATCTTCACGCACACTAAGGGGGTGTTTAGATTCATAGGTGTAAAATTTTGGCGTGTTACATCGTATATACTGACACATATTTGAAATATTAAACGTAAACTAATCACAAAACAAATTACATATTCCGCCTGTAAACTATTAGATGAAGTTATTAAACATAATTAATCCGTCATTAGCAAATATTTAATATAGCATCACATTGTCAAATCATAGAGCAATTAGACTTAAAAAATTCGTCTTGCAAATTAGTCACAATCTATACAATTAATTATTTTTTAAAACTTATATTTAATATTCCATACATGTGTCCAAACATTCGACGTGAGGGTGAAAAATTTTATCAGGTGATCAGCCCTAATAGAAAGGCCAGCAATGAATGGATTTTGTGCTACACTCGGTACGACTTCGAATATTTCTATGTAAATTATCCTTTCCAATTCCTATTATTTGGCATGAACGTCTCCAAGATTACTCTTTCTACCATTTTATTTCGTGTCTAACCGGAGTGTTTTGTCGAATAGTTTGCAAGAATTGAGGAATGTGCCTCTGTTTGAAAGCGTCGGAAATGGGTGTGTGCGCAGGAAATCAGTTCAGACATTTGTCATCCAGGCTTATCAAGCCTTCCCTGGCTGCTTCGATCAATTCATTCAGCCAATTCGTCAGAATTGTCACCCAGCCTCTTACTAAAATTCCTGCAAAATACTGAACTCATACTACAAATTCAGGTCCTAACATTCAGGTATTATGCTAAATTCATACTAAAATTCAGTTAAAGGATGTGTTTAGTTCCTAAAAGAAGTTGAAAGTTTGAAAAAAATTGGGAGTTTGGAAAAAAAAAGTTGAAAATTCATGTGTAGGAAAGTTTTTTTATGTGATATGATGTGATGAAAAGTTAAGAATAGTGGGATACTAAACATGGCCTAAGTTCTAAATACTAGTAAAATTAAATCCAGGAGAGGTCCTAGTCCACATGTTAAATCCAGGAGAGGTCCTAGTTCACACGCAGGTTCTTCACGTTGATAGGAATCATTTGGCAAAGTAGCCAGGTATGAGGTATCCCCCGAATCTGCTTTAGGCGATGACTGCTTTTGGCAATGACAACTGTTCTGTAATTGTTTGGCAATGACAACTATTCTGTAATTATTCATTAAAGTTCGCAATTATTTCACAGGTTGTATTTAGCAGTTTTATACCATGCACCAGAAAAGGATAAATTCAGACATTACACGCAGCTACCGGACTGAAACGAAACCAAAAAGAAACTGTTTTAGAATGGAGGATTTGTGGGACAAAGAACCATCAGCGGCAATTAGATTTGACCTCAAGGAAATATTCAGTCCGCATCATGGTTGGATCGCCAAATGGCAAACCCACATCATTTGGTTCTTCCCATTATTTTTATCCACAATGCACAAAACAGAAAATGCAGGAGAACAGGAAAACAATCGTCCCTGCTCATCCAAGAACAAGAGAACAAGAAACAGAAAAGGCAGCAATTTTGTTTCTTCAGGTGAATGAGATGAACAGGCTCAGATTGATAATGGGTAGTAAGTCTGCTTGTCAGCAAGAACAGGAGAGAGATCTCTCCCGAGTTCAGAGTGGTGCATGACTAGTTCCTCATCATCGCCATCTCGAATCTCGATCCAAGAAAAACAACATCCACAAATTGAAAGGAAAAGAAAAACAGCCAAGCAGGATGAATCGAAAACCCCCCAAGAACCCAAAACCAGACGAGACGCGAGATCGAATCAAACCGCAGGAAGCGTAAGAACGAGAGGGATCCTCGGATCCACGAAGCGGAGGAGGGAGAGGGGGAGAGATTCGTCGCGGCGGCGGAGGCATCGCAGGAGGGGTTCGACTATTTATGGGCAAATCCTCCTCTAGCTAGGGTTTCCTTCTCCTAATTCGGACCGACGAGAGGCTGACAGGCCTGGCCCAACAACCCGAGCCTTTCTCAGCTAGCTTTGCCCGGCCCGGTTGCAGGAGATGGGCCGAGCTATACAAATGGCCCATGTGCCAAGCCCATCTAGCCCATGATTCCCTTTTATTATTATTTTTTTTTGAAAAAAGAGGGAGCCCACGCCAACCATGTGGGACTGACACGTGAGCCTAGCTACTCGTTAAGAGAATTTAGGCGGTCTTCGGCACCATTTTTCCCAACCTCCAGGCGTGTACGTTTTTCAAACGGCAAAATAGTGTGTTTTTTGCAAAAAAAAAAAAAACTTCTATACGAAAGTTACTTTAAAAAAATTAAATTAATCCATTTCAAAAAAATAGCTAATACTTAATTAATTACGCATTAATAGACTGTTCCGTTTTCCATGATTACCGGTTGGGAACCAGCATGCCCGAACACAGCCTTAAGCCGGTTTGGACGCATATGCCCTTCTCCTCCCTTCTTCCTTCAGCATTGCGTGAGTTTCTTTGTTTTTTTGAAAGCTATTTATATAATAGGCTTTTTGTTTGATCTTTTCTTTTCCTCCTAGGTCAAGGTGTTCTAGTTCTTATCCAATTAATTATTTATTGTGTTTAATTTCAAAGTAATATATTAGGCCAACACACATTAGATGATGACGCTAACGTATACGTCGTACTTGTAGTGTTGGTTATAAATATTTTTTTCTCCTACCTTCTTACTAAGAACAACTTTGGGTTTGTTCGGGGGTCCAGTCTGCGGCAACGCTGTGACTGGGTTGTAGCAGTAAAAGACAAAAAAAAAAGTTCATGCTGGTTTTCTGCTGCAGCCCGCCCAGCCGCAAGGTAGCCGAACGGAGCCTTTTGCATCCAAAGCTATGGGTTTTTTTTGTGCCATTTAAAGGCCATCATCGGTCATATTACTATATACCTCCAATCACTTGCCATAAGATGCCAATTGATGAAGTGAAAGAGAGAAGTGAGGAGAGAGAGAAGAATGCACCCATTATGAAGGGACAAGATCTATATAAACTCTAATATAATTATGAGAGTATTAGAGTTATTTGGATTTATATGTTAGAGATAACTATTTATGTGTTGTTGTCTCTTAGTCTATAAGTAGATGAGATAAATAAAATTAGATGTAGTAGTCATGGTAACATGGTGTTCATCTATATATGATCTTCGATATGGTATAAAAGTTTGAGTACTCATACACTATGGATTTTCATTGTTGTTAATATAAATTATATATTTATGTATAAATAACTATGAAAATAAAAGGTTTATATATAGGTACCACACAAAATGGAGGTTTTCATATAGGTTTTGATAATGCCTCCATTTTGCATGAGAAATAAATGTTAGATAAAATAGATTATCCCTTATTTATCAAATTCCAATGCAATTATTTCTTATTTTATCTACTCTCAATGCATTTATTTTCTACTCTCACAAACTTCAATTTAATAACTACTTAAAAATAAACTTATTTTGGGAGAAACTGGATAAGCTAAAAATGAACTCGTTTCAGGAAGGAGGGAGTATATTTTTAGCATCACATTTTTTTAATTTCTTTTTACGTTGTAAATTGTAAGTAGTTATATTGTAATTACACCATACTTACTACAAATTTTAATAGGTGTAATTCTTTAATTACTTTGTTATATGAGATATGGAACTAAAAAATAATTATAATTGTGTAGTAGTATCAGTATCCTAAGATTGGGTTTTTTTTTAATACGGAGGGAGTAGTTATACTATCTATGCAGATTAACAAATAAAGTAAAAAAACAAAAGCAAAAACAGGAGAGAGAGGCCAAGGCGCCCGGCCCGTGCACACGATGTTCAATCAAGGGCATTTGAACCGTTAAGATCTGACTAGTCCCAAAATGTAGCGACACCTTTTTAGCAAATCCATTTGATCAAATAGACTAATTTAAAGCTGATGACATCAATTATTGTTTTCACACAGAGCTAACGCTGACGATGAGAACGCGTCCATTGAATCTTTTCAGTTTCTCGACGTCCTTTCTCTTAGGAAAAATCCGGCAAGCAGTTACGGGTTGACCCCTACAGTTATTAGTACAAAATGAGACTAAAGATCATTTTCTACATGGAGCTTATTCTAAATTTCCAATCTAGGCGACAATAGACCAACATCAGTTACCCTTAGGCAGGAAGATAGAGCTAGTACTCCCTCCGTTTCTAAATATTTGACGCCGTTAACTTTTTTAAATATGTTTGATCATTCGTTTTATTTAAAAAAATTAAGTTATTATTAATTCTTTTCCTATCATTTGATTCATTGTTAAACATATTTATATGTATACATATAGTTTTACATATTTCACAGAAGTTTTTGAATAAAACGAACGGTCAAATATTTAGAAACGGATGGAGTAGCTTTTTATCCTCCTGAAAAGCTTACAAAGACATTGCAGCCAACAATCCAACATAAGCTGAAGTTTCACCAAACAGGGTTCTACTTTTCCTTTGGAACGGAGGAATTTTGTTGGAGAAATTTTGAAGAAAACGAATTACTTGAAAAATCCAATAAAATTCCATGTGTGAAATGTATTCATTGGCATAGTGATAGGTGCATGTGTGCGATTTTAACCCCAAGATCCCCGTGTTCAGCTCTTAACACGCTCACACTGTATTCTTAATTATTCGACACCAAAATTCTCCTTGGTTACCAAACGTTCTCAGTTGCTGTGATATAAAATCCACATGTGTTTGCCCTTAATTGATTCTCCAGTAGCGTGTTTGGAACTGGGAAATAACAACATGTGTTCCCTTGGTTAGATGGATATCACTGTCTTGGCCAGATTCTGACGTCTTGTTCTTGGTTAGTTAGGACCATCCACTGATCCGTGGTGACAAATTGACAAACTGACCACTTCTCACGTCAAGAAACCCCCTTCCTTTTACTTCTACGTGTCGCTGCAGGCAAGAGATTTCAGAGTAAGCAGCAGCACGCGCGTCAGAGAAGGAGAAGAGGACAGGTCAAAGGAAAGGGAGCAGTTGGGAACAGATGCATGCAGAAAAACCTGAGCTATCTCTTGATTTCCTGCACCCTCAGGTAAGCAAAAGCAAAGCGAAGCAAAGGAGTTTTGAACTCTTTTTTTTTTTTTGCCTACCTCCATCTGGAAGCAAAGTAAGACCTGTTCCGTTAATCAACATCATGCATGCCCACAAAATATAATCTTTTCATGTTCATACTCACCATACACATACACAACATTGTCTTTCTTTGGCCTTAAAAAAAATTAACATATGCCAATTGATGGTGGCTATACTGTTATAGTAGTGTTTTTTTTTTTTTTGGATAATGGAATTCAATCCGGTCTCTGCATCGAAGATGTACACGGCCACATAATAGAGCAATAACTCTGGATAGTTGGTGTTTCAGAGATTTCCATGGAATAGTATTCTTCATGCTTCACCTAAAACATTGGATGGCTCACTTTGGTTGCAGGTAACCTTCAAACTATTAGGCCTACTGGTTGAATCGTAGTCAAATCAAGATTCCTCCTCTCTTTTCTTTTCTTTTCTTTTTTCTGTCCTGGTTTTTGTGTGCTGTGCTGTGTTGTGTCTGCCTTTTCACCACATTCACTTACTCGCTTATGTAGTAACCTTCTTTGTAAGCTTCATTTTAGCAGTTTACCTAAAGCAATTTCAGATTCAGTCATCCCTTGGGTGCAAAGGCACTGCACATTTTTTTTGCTTCAGGTCCAACCAAACTCTTCCCAGTTGATCAGTTGGGTTTGGTGAACGTCAGAGCTTCTCCTGCTTGTGTATATGGTAGCCAATCTACATTGGAAGTACAGGAAAAGAACCTCTGTTTCTTTTAGTTTTCTTTTCTGTTCATGTCTACTCTTCCATTCACCTGTACCAAGAAAATGTCCCTTGTTGATCATACATTACTGAATTATCATCCAGAATGATTGAGTAGAAGTAGTATGTAGTACAGTTCTGCTTGTTCTTCAGTTGTGTACATCTCTGTCAGAGTTGCACACCAACTCTGTCTTTGCATATAACATAAGTAAGGTCACACCTGAAGCAAAAGGAATGTTAAGAGAGTGAGTGAGATGAAATGAAAACACGCATGCGACCAAAGGAAGACAAATGGAAACAACTGAACAACCCTTATTCAGACAGGACTGTGTCTTAGGTTTGTAGTAGGATTTTTGGGACTGATTGCTCCCTACATATGCACTCACCTTTTTGCAGGCCAAGGATTAATATCCTGTGAATTAAATTAATGTGATTGGTTGCGTGCATCTTAGTTATGTAGAGGTTGAGAAACGCTCAGGGGTCTTCCGGCTAGCTCCACAAGGTGGTGGGCTAGCCGGCCTAGGTTCGAAGCCTTACCCCCTTCTATTTATTTGATACTAGATCCTTCCCTAATACCTGTGTTTTCTTTTTTAGTTATGTAGAGGTTAAGAGTGTTCTTAGTACGGTTGTATCACCTTGATGTAAATTGGCTAAGTTCAATAAAGCTTCCTTATCTTAAAAAACAATAAATTAATGTGATCTGTTCCAAAAACTAGTGACAAGGACCAGGTCTCCAACAGTTCCTGCAGGAACTTGTCAAACAAGGGGTTGTTCTTCTGGTCACAGCTCTCCTGCCAAATCTATAAGTTGCTCTCTCTCTTTGCCTAGGTTTGGAGCTCTCATCATCTTTTGCTGTCAAGCCATGCATTCCATTGCCTCCTGAGAACCTCCTTGATAAACATCTCATCTTTCTTTGTACATAAACCCTCTCTGCAAGTGTGTTGTCTCCCTTGCTTCTTGCTGTTCAGCTGTTCTATCTCTCAAAAACAGTTCAAATTTTCGACTCGATATCGAGCTACCAGAGTTGATATAGGAGGAAGATAGGAAGATTTATCAATCTTCAGAGTTTACGGAAAGTGGAGGTTTATCAGCAAAGTTCTTCAGAGAGCTGGGCCACCTGAAGAAGGGTGATTACATACTAGGATTCAATTTGGAGTAGTGTTTTTTTTTTGCATAAAAGGATGAGAGGTTTTGCTTGTGCTCATCATGCAGAGAAGAGGCACCGTCTTGACAGAACTCTGTGAGTCTTTTCTTCCCTCCAGTAGTTATAGCAAACTTGCTTCCTCTGCATATTTTTGCTAAATATTTAGCAAACACAGCTAAAATCTAGATAAACCTGGCTAAAATTTACATATTTAGAATCTCAGGTTCCCAGTGAAAACTTAATGTTATCTTCACCCGAGCATCATGCATAACGGCGCCAATGATTCCTTGAGCACCGAACATTTTGAATTCCATCCATGCATCTATCCAGTATTTAATCTTGTCCATGTAAACTTGTTTTACATCGTTGCATATTCATCATCGACAATGATACGCTTGGTGATAAATACTATGCATGATCTTAAGTTTACCTGCTATCAAGTTTTAATCCTGTTTAAATACGGTTCTTAGCGTGTTTTCGTGGTCATGTTCCTGAGCCCATGGAAAAGGTTACATGACCACGTATGTTAGCAATGCAAAATGGTCGTTTTGAAGTCAATATTTGCGAGTATTTTTATAACATAGAGTAGTTATTAACTACCAACAAAATTGCAGTTTTTTCCAATCACAGTACAAAAGTACGTCATCCTGGTGACTTTAGCAGAGAAAAATTACTCCCTGAAGTAGTTTTTTTTTTCCACCAATAGAAACCAGAAGTGATGTGCCCAACAAACCAATTTGAATTAATCCTCCTAATTTCGTGTGCTCTGAACCAAGAGAGCCCAATTCTCCAAAGTTTGGCGAGCTCTGCTAATCAAAATTCCTACCTTTAGGTGAGCTAACAGTCCAATAAAAGATTAATTTATAGTAAATCACGTCGTAGGAAGTTACATATATAGCTAGCAACCTGCAGTTTCACCAACTCCGTTTGCAACTTCTGAAGAAGAAAAAGTCACAATGGCGTCACGAGTTCTGAAGAAGTCTCTCTTCAATCTGCATGCCAAATTGCCAATTTGGATGGAAGAAAAGAAAACTGTGTTCTGAAATTAACAGAATGGTGAAAACAAATAGGTTCATGTAAGAATAGAGTCAAAGGTAGAAAAAAAGAAAAATAATAAGGAACAAAGCTATTAGGGATTAAAGCGATAATGAAGAGGGAATTGGCACGATGATGGAGACGATGACTAGTTGTAGATGTAAGCCTGGACCGTTGAAGCATGGAACTGACTGTTCTTGATGACTTCTTACAAGAGGAGATGAAGAAAGAGAGCCATTCCTTTAAAAAAAACAAGAAGAAAGAAAGAAAGCTATGACACATATGACTTTCTGGTCTTGGTCTGAAAGTAATAGAGGAGATGTTATGAAATTGGTCGTTTGAAGAAAAGTAGAAAATGACCAAATGCAGAAATAGTGATTGCTGATCACATATTGGTAAAAGCCAAAGAAAACTTAACACCTAAGTTTTTTTTAAAAAAAACCAACACCTTAGTAAAGACTGACAAGTAATTTTAGTTACAGGTAATGATTTGGTCACAAGGGGCAATCTTGTTCAGTTCAACCATATGATTTGTGACCTTTGTTAGAACTTTTGAAGCCCTCAACTGCACATGCTATCGTTTTCTACATATGGTCTAAATAGTTATGCAATATTCTGAAGAAAATCGCAACCGGATTATGAACTAATTGTGATTATTTACCCGTGTTAATTTCAGCAACAGCCTGAGCAAGAGGGGATACATAGGAAGCTACCACTACGAGAAGGATGCCAAGTACAGGCCATTCAGTGCACTGCTCCCTGAGGGTTCAAACCCCAAGATGCTCTATGTCAAGCTCGTCCTCATCATCCTCATGTGTGGCTCCTTCGTCAGCCTCCTCAACTCGCCATCTATCCATCACAACGATGATCACCACACAGAGTAAGAAAAAAAAACCATACAAAATTCATGTTTTTATTCGCAAGATTTTTTTAAAAAGCAATAAGTTGTAACAAATATTTCTTTTGAAAAGATAAAGGTTACGATCATTACCACAAAGCTACCAAATTATGTAACATAAAATGTAGTACCGTTTGGTGTCTTGTACCAGGAGATACCATATTTCACAATAAAATGTAGCACATCTTTGTATCTCCTCAAATATTATAAAATTACTCTTTGAAAAAATGATTTTAATGTCGTTGAGGAGGTAGTGAAATGTACCAATTTTTTAAGCCAAGGGTCATAAAATCCGTCTTGCAGCCCCATTGTTTGGCTGATAAGAGGAAATAACGAAACAACACATTTGCAAACGAAAAATAATTTGTGAATAAAATTTTTATATGCGTGTTCTTAATAATCTAAAAACAAAGGTTGAAAAATAAACTACGATGGGAAAAAAATCCCAAAATCAACTCTAAATTTAAGCATAAACGAAAAGATGAGGCCGTTGATACGATGGTCAGTGATTAATCCTTTGCTTCGTCTGAACTTGAAACGCGCAGGTCATCAGCTGGAGTGCCGAGAGTGAGCTACGAGCCGGATGATACCAGGTACGTGTCGGACGTGACGGTGGACTGGCCAAAGATCTCCAAGGCGATGCAGCTGGTCGCCGGAGCGGAACACGGCGGCGGCGCGAGGGTGGCGCTGCTCAACTTCGACGACGGCGAGGTGCAGCAATGGAGGACGGCGCTGCCACAGACGGCCGCCGCGGTGGCGCGCCTCGAGCGCGCCGGGAGCAACGTGACGTGGGAGCACCTGTACCCGGAGTGGATCGACGAGGAGGAGTTGTACCACGCGCCGACGTGCCCCGACCTGCCGGAGCCGGCGGTGGACGCCGACGGCGACGGCGAGGAGGTGGCCGTGTTCGACGTCGTCGCGGTGAAGCTGCCGTGCCGGCGCGGGGGTGGCTGGTCCAAGGACGTGGCCCGGCTGCACCTGCAGCTCGCCGCGGCGCGCCTCGCCGCCACGCGCGGGCGCGGCGGCGCCGCCGCGCACGTGCTCGTGGTGAGCGCGAGCCGGTGCTTCCCGATCCCGAACCTGTTCCGGTGCAGGGACGAGGTGGCGCCGCGCGACGGCGACGTGTGGCTGTACCGGCCGGACGCCGACGCGCTCCGCCGGGATCTCGCCCTCCCCGTCGGCTCCTGCAGGCTCGCCATGCCGTTCAGCGCGCTGGCGGCGCCGCACGTCGCGGCGGCGTCGGCGCCGCCGCCGCGGCGGGAGGCGTACGCGACGATCCTCCACTCGGAGGAGCTGTACGCGTGCGGCGCGCTAGTGGCGGCGCAGAGCATCCGGATGGCCTCCGCCTCCGGGGCGCCGTCGGAGCCGGAGCGCGACATGGTGGCGCTCGTGGACGAGACGATCAGCGCGCGCCACCGCGGCGCGCTGGAGGCGGCCGGGTGGAAGGTGCGCGCGATCCGGCGCGTCCGCAACCCGCGCGCGGCGGCGGACGCGTACAACGAGTGGAACTACAGCAAGTTCTGGCTGTGGTCGCTGACGGAGTACGACCGCGTCGTCTTCCTCGACGCCGACCTGCTGGTGCAGCGCCCCATGTCGCCGCTCTTCGCCATGCCCGAGGTGAGCGCGACGGCGAACCACGGCACGCTGTTCAACTCCGGCGTGATGGTGGTGGAGCCGTGCGGCTGCACGCTCCGCCTGCTCATGGACCACATCGCCGACATCGACTCCTACAACGGCGGCGACCAGGGGTACCTCAACGAGGTCTTCTCGTGGTGGCACCGCCTCCCGTCGCACGCCAACTTCATGAAGCACTTCTGGGAGGGGGACTCCGGCGAGCGGCTCGCCGCCGCCAGGCGCGCCGTGCTCGCCGCGGAGCCCGCCGTGGCCCTCGCCGTCCACTTCGTCGGGATGAAGCCGTGGTTCTGCTTCCGCGACTACGACTGCAACTGGAACTCGCCGCAGCTCAGGCAGTTCGCCAGCGACGAGGCGCACGCGCGGTGGTGGCGCGCGCACGACGCCATGCCGGCGGCGCTCCAGGGGTTCTGCCTGCTCGACGAGCGCCAGAAGGCGCTGCTCCGGTGGGACGCCGCCGAGGCGAGGGCGGCCAACTTCTCCGACGGCCACTGGAGGGTCCCCATCGCCGACCCTCGCCGGAACATCTGCGCCACCGCCGCCGGCGACGGCGAGGCGGCGGCGGCGTGCGTCGAGAGGGAGATCGAGAACAGGCGGGTGGAAGGGAATAGGGTGACCACGTCGTACGCCAAGCTCATCGACAACTTCTGACGTGGGTGCATCCGGAGCCGTTGGATTTTGAGATCGGACGGTGAGATCGAGGCCGTTAGGGATGGGTGACGTGTTCACCAATTTTTGGTCTCTCGTGCATTGCATTGCTATGCAATGCAAGCGTGCCACCGGGGATGTTGCGTGGTAGCGTATGGCCGAAATTTCTTTATTACAATGATGAGAAAAGTAGCTGTGAATAATTTAGGTATTTGCTTTCGTAAAATACTTAGAATTTTTTTGAAGAGTCTATGTTTTCCAACCGTAACATTGCAAATATGTCATGTTTGCTATGTTAATCCTTTAAATATGATGATACTAGTGCATAACAACAAAATTCATTTTAAAAATGGATTGTCATAAATCATTGACACATGGAGCCTTAGGTTAGTTTCTTCGTTTCTCATGCTCACTCGGTCACTTCCTTAGTTCCTTACATGTCCAAGCAAAAATTCACGCTTAGCTTGCCCTTTTGTATATACCACTCACATCCTTACATGGGCTCTTTTTTATTGATCAAATATACATTGTAATGTGTGTTTTTTTAGAAAAAAAAGAACACCTTACTTACATGGGCCTTCTTTTGGTTCTAGATAAAAGAAACACCTTCCTTTCCAGAGGAGTTATGTGCACATGATTTCGTCGAAATGCAAATCTTACACTATTACAAAATAATTTTCGTGGCTCTTGGTATTATTTTTCACTGACAGACCAAAAGGAATAATATCTATGAAAACGTTTGAGGCCGTCTTGGGGTAACAAACCACGAAAACCTATTTTCCGGGTGGGTCCTTAAGGAAAATCGCATGTGAAAATATATCTAATTTCGTATGCGGTTTTCCTAAAGAGCCATATGTGCAAATCATGAATTTATGAGGTGGTTTGTTAAGAAAATGACCACATGTAAAAATGGGGTAATTTTTACCGGCGATTCTCTTAGAAAAAATACATGTAAAAAATACAATTTCATGGGCGATTCTCTTAATGAACCACCCTTAGAAATATGAGCACTACTATTTCAAAAAAAATAAAACGCACCCTTCCATATAAAATCAGATGACAACGAACTCTATATGAAACTTAGAGCATCCTCATTGTCTAAACCCCTCCAACGGTACTAACCAAGTCTACATAGAAATAAAGGCTGAGAGATACTCTCCCCGTCCAAAAAAATATAAGGGATTTTGGATGAATGAGATAATTTTAACCCTTATATTTTAGACAGATGGAGTTTACGTGCAGTGTGTAAAGAGTACTTCAACACTATAGTGGGACCACAACCATGTAGAATTTATGTTTCTCTCTCCCGTATTGGCTCTTGGCCAACTGTTGCTGCCATTTTTGTAAAATGTGATATTTATTTTATTTGGAGTGTTCGCTCCCATGGGAAGAGTCGATTTGCTATATGCTTGGAAGAGACATGTTGCCTGCAATGTGTAGTGCCGCGAAAATATTCCTTTAGGCCATGTTCGGTTATACAAGGATTTAATCCGGACCGGGAATGATAAGTATAGTAAGAAATTTATGATAGATACAACGAGAGACCGGGATTCATTCTGGGCCGGGAACCAATTTACTCATGATAGGGACAATAAGAGACTGGAAATCAATCCACTAGTCAAGAGGTGTGGAACTAATCTGGATGTTTTGTTGTACCTAATATGAGTAAACTGGTTCCCGACCCGAAATAAATCCCGGTCTCTTATTGTATCTATTATAAATTTCTTGTTATACCTATCATTCCCGGCCTGGAACGAATCCTTGTGTAACCGAACAAGGCCTTAGTGTCTCCCTTATAACCCTCGACGGGATCTACAACTAATCTGGACCTATGCTTTTACATGCCATAAGAAGCCCAAGAGAAGAAATACCACTCCTACATACTCCCTCTGTCACGTAAAAATTCAATTTAATACTGAATGTGACATATCCTAATACAACGAATCTAGACATACTCACTCCATCCCAATATATTAAAACCTAGGACCAGATAGGACATTTCCTAGTACTACGAATCCGGATGGGACATCTAGTACTATATTTGGCTTTTTTGAACCGATGGAGTATATTATACCATAAAATAATAAGATGTTTAGAGTCGTGCATGCTACTATCAGAGTAAAAGGCCAAAATGCGGTGACAATTGGCAACCGCCTCGTCAAGGCCAGACGCCCGGGCCGTTCCCTCCCTCTGCTACAGCCCAATCAGCCCATGTACGGCTTGTTCAGATCATGCATGGACGCTGCTTGTTGACTTCATATTGTCATTGCACACAAATTTTGACAATTTGACCTTTTGAAAAAACTAATTTTACAAATAAACCGACGCCAAAACTTATTTCAAAATTGACCCTTTTGTTCAGCGCCAAATCATCTGGCGCTAAACTTAGACACTTCAGCGTCACGTCAACTGACGCTGAATGCCGTGCCACCGTGGATGGATGGAAGGCTAAGTCAGCGTACCAACGCACATTCAGCGCCACGCTATTTGGCGCTGAGGTATCTAAGTTCAGCGCTACACGATTTGGCGCTGAACAAAATGGTCATTTTTGAAATACTCCCTCCATCTACTTTTGATAGTCATATTTCATTTTTCATACAAACCAAGGATAATTAATTCTACTTATCATCCATTTAAACATGTTACTAGTCATTCCTCATAAACAAGCGATTTATTAATATTTACATTTCTCGATGCCCATGCAGCCAATCTTGTGTGGAAGAATATAGAGTTACACATTAAATCCGAGAAAGTCATTAAGAGGATAAGTTGTTGGATTGAAATATGCCTATCAAAAATAATTTTTTCAGATTTGAAAATATGACTATCAAAAATATATGGAGGGAGTAAGTTTTAGCAACGGTTTATTTTTAAAAATAGTTTTTTTTAAAGAGTTAAATTGTTAAAATTTGTGGTCATTGCAGGGAAGAGATTTTTCATTTGTGAGAATTCCAAACATGTGTGTAATTAATTCCAGCCGGTTTACTCGTTCAGTCTTCCACTCTCCATTCTACCACCATACGTTAGCATCAAACTTACTGGTAGTACTGATATATAGCATATACTACTATCCTTCTATTGTATACTTCGTTTGTTAAAAAGAAAATCTCATTACGAATATAGATATAGACTATATTTATATCAAAGTTGGATTTTTCTTTAATAAAACGGAGGATGTATCAGTGTATGTCGTTGTCTGCAACAAGCTCGATTCAGAGTTAAGGAAGAGAAAAACATACCTTCATCCTGAAATATAATGATGTTAAAAAGAAACGTGCAATTAAGACCAGTAAATTGACTAGAGCAACCAACACAGTTGTCATCAGTACAGATAATTGACGTGACATCAGCGATGACGCCGCCAAACTGCGCTTCTCTCAAATGCCACGAAATTTTCAGGCAGACAAAACTCAAAAGTACGTAGCGTGTAGAGTACTTTCGTCTTTTCTGTTCCTGTTACTAGTACCAGGCGCTGTTTATTTCAGCGCAAAGTTTAGATTTTGGTTGAAATTAGAGATGATATGACTGAAAAGTTGTGTGTGTATGATAGGTTGATGTGATGGAAAAGGACTGAAGTTTGGATCCAAATTTTAGATATAAACACAGCCTTAGTTAATTAAGAACCGAATTAATTGCTTGAGGCCTAAGCTAATCATCCCTAATCTTTGACTCAACCCCTTGCACGGACAGACACAGTCAGACCGTTGCGTTTGTTAAAAACGAAAAGGTAGCTAGCCATCGACTATGACAGCAAACGCTAGGCTTAATAGCCAGCTATTTAGCTCTTCGACTGTCGCCCTCTCATGCGACTATATACTGGAGCATCGTCAGCGTTTACATCTACGATTCTCGCTCGACAACTCGCCATTGTGCATGGCATATCCAACTAAACATACTCTCTCCATTTCAAAATAAATTAACCTAATTAATATATAATATGACACATTATAAAACTGAACAAACTGTTTCTTGGACGGAGGGAGTAAATGCATATAGCAAGAGTACATATAAAAGGTACGATATATCTAATGAAAATTATTAAATAAGTGAAAACCCATACGTTCTCTAAATTTCTCCATTCACTCTGCACCAATCGAAACACACACTTCCTCCATTCAACATATATTAGTTGTCAGGTGTTTCAATCTTCTCCAAAAACAAAAGTTCTCTAAGTTTAACCAATTTTTTTTAAAAAGTAATTAACATCTATAATATCTAATCAACTCTAAAATTAAGCTTTAATTCAAATTTTCGCTGTGACTGATAAACTAAAAACCAAATGTGATGAAGCCATAAAATTTATAATATATAACTTATCTATATAAGCTATTATCTATAATCTATTACAGTACTATTATATTAATCATCCAAGAACATGCTCAAAGTCCATTGTCAACCTCTATATACCTCCTCTCTACGCACCATTCTTTCTGAATTCGCTGCGAAGGATCCTTCTTGTAGTACTCTCCGTTGAATCTTCGGCTGTCGTCGTTTCAGATGACTCCGGCTAATCATCAGACATCCTGTACGGTAGACTCTTCTTTGCTCAATCTTTTGTGGAGTATAGGCTGTGTTAAGTTCACACTGAAGTTTGAAAGTTTGGTTGAAATTGGTATGATGTGATAGCAAAGTTATGTGTGTATGAAAAATTTGATGTGATGGAAATTGAAAAGTTGGAAGTTTGAAAAAAAACTTTGGTACTAAACAGGGCCATACTATAGGAGTACGTACTTATGGACTAGATCTGTATGCGGTGTTCTAGCACACCACATAGGACGACGACGTAGAAATTTGTGTCAATGAGGATGCGATGGAATAATAATTAGGACCATTTTGCAAATTGACTTTTACTCGTACAATTTATTTGTCACTTTACAAGGTTAATGGTTAATAAAATATATTTTTACAAGTAAGAAAATATTTAAGCACGTAGTGTAGAGTTTGCCTAGACCCCTAAAAATGTAGAGAAGGTGGTGCAGTAATAAAAACAATCAAAGCATCGGCAGATTAAAACAACGGAAATATTTAGTGTTTAAATAGAAGAAAAATGATTTTAAACCATTCATATGAACTAATCAAAGTTTTCGAAAATCCAGCTAAAGCTAGTACAAATTAGTGACTTAAAAACCGTGCGTGTATAGAGTTACAACCTTGGTGTCCATTTTAACTTTCAAGTGATGCTTAATACCTCTAATTTAAAATATAGCAATTTCTAACTATGGTCCCGTTCTTTTCTCCAACAAGGTTGGATGAAAATTAAGATTTTCGTGGCACGTTTTTCAAACTGCTAAATGGTACGTTGCGTGCGGAAACTTTCTATATGAAAGTTGCTCTAAAATATCATATTAATCTATTTTTTAAGTTTGTAATAATTAAAACTCAATCAATTAAACGTTAATACCACCTCGTTTTGCGTAAAAAAATCAATCTTCATCTTCAAGAGAAAAGAACACCACCTATATACTAGTATTATTTATGCTTTGGTCCAAATACTTGCATATTCCCTCCATCCCAAAAAGCTCAACCTACCCCTTCTAGGACAACGAATCTGAACTACCTTTTGTTCAGATTCATTGTCCTGAGAGGTCTCCCATCCCTTTTTAGGTTGATTTTTTTTGACAGAGGGAATACGAGTAAGCTTGCGTTGGAAGGCATAGGGCCTGTTCACTTTGATGAAAAAAAAAAAAACCTTACCAATGCCAAAAATTTGATATAGTTATCAAAATTTGGCAGCAAACTAAATATAGCCACTTTTTTTACAACTTTACCAAAAACTTGGTAATGTTAAAAATGACATCAAAAGTGAACAGGCCCATAATCACGAGGAATGCATGTACTTGTGTGAAATTAAATATAGTATTAAAAAGAAAAAAAAGAAAACTGCAAAACATTTGTAGCACTCGTATCAGTCCAAAACATCTCCTTTTCCTTGACGAACAGATCGGAGTACTCCACTACGGAGTACGTCATCACCCCCCTCGACGTCACCGGTAGGCTGTTTTGTGGGCCCCCACTCCACCACCAAACTCCAAGCGTCCCCTCGCACACGGCTCGCCTCGCGAAGATTCCTCTCTCTCTCCCTCTCCCGCACACACATTCCCCCCCTGGGCCCCACAACCCGCCAATCCGTACGGCCCCCAACACACACACATACCCACCGTCCAGGCCACGCCCAACCCGTGTCACTGTCACGTGGGCCCCACCCGAGATCGTCCCCGCTCGCTGTCGCGTGGGCCCCACCCCCCGATCCGCGGGGCCCGCGCCGCACCTGGCCGCGGGTTGCGACGCACGCAGCACGTAGGCAAGGCAGCTAGCTGTCCCGCACCCCCGCGCTTTTATTACTAGTAGTACTTCTCCTAGCGGCAGCGCAAGCAGCAGGAGAGAACCAAAACAAAAAAAAAAAGAAAAAAAAGGAAGTAAAAAAAAAGAAAGCGGCCTTCTCCTCCAGCTCCACCTCACGCGCGCTTCGCCTCGCCGCGCCTCGTCTCGTGCGGCTGCGGCGGCGGCGGCTGCTGCTGCTGCTCCGGCGGCGGAGGAGGGGGGAAAGGCTCGTTCGGGAATAGGGAGGAACGAGCGGAGGGGATGCCGCTGGGGTGGCTGCGGAGGAAGTGGAGGCGGAGGCGCGACAAGCCCGCGGGGGACGCCGCCGCCGCCTCTACCACGGCGACCTCGCCGAGGGACTCCGTCGACCTGGGGGGAACGTCCGCGTACCCGTCCGCCTGCGCGTCTCCATCCTCCACCACGCCGACGCCGACGCGGTGGGGCGCCGGCGCCAGCGCCGTGCCCCCGCGATGCCCGGGGCCACAGGACCAGCACCACGGGCTGCCGCTCCCGCGGCCGGTGTCCAAGTCGGCGCCGATGCCCCTGGCGTCCCCCGCCGCGGCGCCGCCGTCGCCGTCGCCGCCGGCGTGCGCGTCGGCGGCCGAGTCGGTCTCGGGCGGGAGCTCGTCGGACGACGAGGCGGATCACCGGAATTACAGGTGATTTGCTTCGTACTGGCTGCTCCGTTTTACAGCTACCGACCTGCTATTTTTTTTTCATTTTTGTTTTTGTTTTTGTTTCGGTTTGGTCGGGTACTCCAATTATGGGCGTAGCTGCTACAACTCCAAACCGTGATCGCAACGAATTCGACGCGATTACCCTTTTTCCAGTTCGTTAGTAGTAATCACGAAGTGTGCCGAGTGATAGTGTGATTTAGGGGTCTTGAGTTGACTTCTAAAAGACCAAACTGTGTGGAGACTGAGGCTTCGCAACAACTGCCATACGGCCGTTGACCTCGTCTCTTCTCTCACCGCCTATAGCGTACAAAACCGTATTCCTTTGTTTATTACTAGTATAATTCGGTGGACTTGGGGAGTCAGGCTACCAAAGCGCGTCAAAAGTTCAACCCATCCTTCTTTTTTATTCATTCAATTGTATTTAAGATATTTTATGCTAGGATATTTATGATATTGTTAACTAACAGAATTTCCCGCGTAATTTGTTTGCGTGGAATTCCCGCGCAATTTTGCCCAGATAGAATTGGATTTGATATACAACTATTCCTGCTTTGATAAGAACAAGTTTGTCTTATGTAAACCTTTATCAATAAATCTGCACCGTTGTAATCTAAAACAGCGCAAATCTTTCTCATCTTTCGTTAACGTGGAAATTTTTTAGGCATAGAACAAACATGGCGGCTACTTATAGATAGATAGAATGTCTAATGTATTCCTAACAATCATTCTATGGAAATGAATGCTTTGTTCCACTTGGAGACGCAAATCTTTCTCATCTTTGATTAGCGTGGGAATTTCTTGGCGTAGAACAAATACGGTGGCTACTTATAGATAAATAGAATATCTACTGTTTTCCTCACGATCATTCTATGGAAATGACGCCGAGGTGTTTCTATGCTAGGAGTAGCATTATCTGTTCCTTCAAGAATGATGCCAGAGCATAAAAGAATGCATCTTTTTATGGCGTCAAGCTAAATTTCAACACATTGATGGTTCTTTTCTTTCTGCCTGTAGTTATAGTGCGTGTTTCATGCCTTTGCCCTTTCTGATAGTGTCCCTGTTTGGCTCTATTTTGTTTTCTATTGAAAGATGACCTATTTTGTTTTTCGACAATCTGTTCCTACAGTCCTGGAAGTCCTCTGATATTTCCTGTTTGTTGTTGGAATCTGTAGGTATACAGATCCAGTTGTCCACACTAGCGGAAGGACTGTGCTACCTGATGGTCATAATGGCATGGTAGAAGAGAAGCGTTTTGTATCATGTGGTATTCTCCAGGAGCATCAAAAATTCTTTGAGGTTCCTATTGCAAATGTGAACGAAGTTCATCACATGCAAATCTTTGAACCTTCAACAAGTGAATCTAGTTATTCTCGGGGCAGAATGTTGCCTGAGGATACATTTGCTGTAAGACCAAGAAGTCATTCCCCTGGTCCGAGAGGGCATGCTTATTCTGCTTGCTGCGCAAGAGATTTTGGGTTTACCCCAAGGTCACCAGTGAAAAGGATGGATGATCCTAGGAGTCCATCTCAACCCTTGCCTCTCCCTCCAGTTCCTGTTGCTAGCTCATCCATTCCTTCATCTTCCATTACTTCTAGTCAATTCCAATCACAGTGGAAAAGGGGGAAGCTATTAGGTAGCGGCACATTTGGTCAGGTTTATCTTGGTTTCAACAGGTATGGAGGTTTATCTTATAGAACATTAAAAGAATAATATGGTTTCGAAGTTCACCCAAAGAAGTTACTATGAATGTGACTCATTTTTTCATGTACTTTGCATCCATGCAGGTTCATCTTTGAAGTTTATATAGAATTTTAGTTCTATGGCTAGATCGCAGCTAAATCCTTTGTTTTTCTGTCTAAGGCTGTATACCCAAAATGTTGCTATGTGTAATTTGATTACGTACATGCACAAAAGTTTGATATTTATGTGGACCCACATGTTCAATTCGGTAGGCTAGAACATAGAAAAAGGAGGAGAGGGGGTATGTGAAGTCATAATTATCACATGTATACATGGTTCTATTTAATTTCCTTAAACAAAAGTTGCTACACAACACACTTTTTTGGCATCACATGAGAGCATGAAAGAAAATCTTAGAACTATTTCTATGAATCTATTTCACTCTTGACTCTTATTGTTGCCATCTTGTGATTGATCTTAATTGGCGTTGTACAGTGAAAATGGGCAGTTTTGTGCAATCAAGGAGGTGCAGGTTTTTTTGGACGATTCACATTCAAAGGAACGCCTTAGGCAATTGAATCAGGTCATTTGATTGCCCTATACAATTGATAGGCTGTGTGTCATTTTGAACAATTTATTTTTATTGTAACACAAACACTTTTCCAACCTGTCTCTGACTACATCCTGTTTTGGTTTATTAACTTGTCCATCTTGTAATGACAGGAAATAGATATGCTTAAGCAGCTCTCGCACCAAAATATCGTGCAATATTATGGAAGTGAACTGGTAGGTTCAATATGATTATTGACTAATTGTTCAATAAGCATGTCATGCAGCCACATAATTTTATTCTTTCTCATCTTAGCATATTTGTATTGTGCGTTGCTCATTACAAGATGGATCTGTGAGGGAAAATTATAACATTTTTTTTGGTGGGAACTAATCTGATGATGCATAGACTCACTCTCTGGTGCACAGAGCATAAATTTATGCATCAATTTTGGTTCTAATGCTTAATCGTGCATGCTTTGTCCTTTTCCTCTTTTCTAAAATCAGAGGGTATACGCCCTGGTTCCAGTTTCCACCAAGAAAGGAGACACCATCAGTTTTACTAATTTTGTGTGATTGTTCACTTATTTTCTGAAAGTTCTCATTAAGCTTTGGCTTGCCTAATTTAAACAATTTTGAGCAGGCTGATGAAGCTCTGTCCATCTATCTGGAATATGTTTCTGGAGGTTCAATTCATAAATTACTTAGAGAGTACGGTCCATTTAAGGAACCTGTGATTCGTAATTATACTCGGCAGATTCTTTCAGGGCTTGCCTACTTGCATGGTAGGAATACTGTACACAGGTAATGTAAATTATCCTACACTGTTAGTGATTTTCATGGTAGGCACTGAATACAATGATCACTTTGTAAATTTTATTTTTGTGGACAGAGACATTAAAGGAGCAAACATACTTGTGGGCCCTAATGGTGAAGTCAAACTTGCGGACTTTGGCATGGCTAAACATGTATGCAGTTATATTTTCGTTCTTCCCGGGGTTTTGCTTGTTTGGTTGTGTAGAAGCATCATTAAAACCTCACTGAGACCACAGAAAGCATTTAGTAGTCATCTAACTGAATACTCTCTCCATACTCGTAAAGGAAGTCGTTTAGGACAATGTTTAAGTCAAACCTTGGAAATATAAATCATGAATAACTCTCAAGTTGTTGAGTTTGAAAATATAAAAATTATATGTATAGATTTGTCTTGAAAAATACTTTCATAAAAGTATACATATATCACTTTTCAATAAATATTTTTATAGAAACAAGAAGTCAAAATTGTATTTTGGAGACCGTGTCGCTGTCCTAAACGACTTCCTTTACAAGTACGGAGGGAGTATTAAGTTCCTCCTCTGACAGAATGCTAGATGCAACTCAGTAAAATGTCTTTAACATTGAGCATAAACACTGGCTTCCTCTAAGTTTGAGACTTGGGAGTGATAAAGATCTGTACTATGTCTATAAACTTCCCTTTATGTTGTGGGCTGGTGATGTCATTTCTACATGATTTAAAAAAGATGTCTCTGATGGCTATGGAAGGGCTTCTTCAATTCAACAACAAAATGAATTCCTTTTGAGCTTTGGTTGTCTCTTTTATCTCATTTCAATGCTTATGTTGAAACAGGTGACATCTTTCGCCGAAATACGCTCTTTCAGAGGAAGCCCATACTGGATGGCTCCTGAGGTATACGGTTTCCTGTTTACAACACTTGGAGCACTGTGTCATATGTTATGTAATTTACTTCACCAAGAACGGTTTGTCCAACTAAATGTAAAACGTGCAGGTTGTAATGAATAACAAAGGATATAATCTTGCGGTTGATATATGGAGCCTTGGATGTACAATTATTGAGATGGCAACCGCGAAGCATCCCTGGTATCCGTATGAAGATGTATGCTACTTCGTTTAATATTTACCAAAATGCTTTGTTCCACTTGGAGATGCTATTCTGCCTCTTTTAGTGAAAATAACTGGAGGACTCTTGATACTTCTTTTATAGTTGGTGAGCCTCATGTCAGATTCTTGGTCTTGCAGGTGGCAGCAATATTTAAAATTGCAAACAGTAAAGATATACCAGAAATTCCAGATTGTTTTTCCAAAGAAGGGAAAGATTTCCTAAGTTTGTGCTTAAAGCGTGATCCAGTACAGAGGCCTTCTGCAGCTTCGTTGCTGGGTCACCCTTTTGTCCATGACCATCAGGCTGTAAGAGCACCAACATGCAATGGTACTCAGTTGAGAAATGGAATTTCTTCCCCTGCAGCAAGTCATAGAAAGGTGAGATTTCTGCTCATTTGTTTTTTTCAGAGTCAATGTCGAGCTCTTTTACTCTTTTGAAGTACCAACAGGACATAGTAGATTATATATTTCTAGATGTTTACAAGATCAGAAGACCTTTGTGACTGTCCATTTTATTTGTATCATCGCATCAGATGATGGGGGGCAGTAGGGCTGATTCATGTGTTGCACATAATTCTTTTTAGGAAGCTTGCTTTACATATCTGTTGTTGATAAATTAATTACGTGAAACCAGGTTTAAAGACTGGATTACACGACGTAATTCCCATGTCCGGACATCCTTGTCATGTCTTCAATTTTTTCCCCTTTTGCAGCCAAACAGAGAATCCTCGTCAAGGAGAAACATTGCTCCTCTGCATGGTATCGCAGGACTAAGCGCAAGGGAATTCGCTGGATTTTCCACAGCCTATCCTTCTCCTCACAATACCTCCAGGTATACCATTCTACCTCCTGCCCATCCTTTGTTTCCAAGTTCATCTTGTAACCTACTTCTCAACATGGCCGTGCACGTGCAGCAGCCCAACTGCAGTGAGAGCAAACATGTCTTTACCGGTGTCGCCATGCTCAAGCCCGCTGCGGCAGTTCAAGCAATCAAACTGGAGCTGCCTCCCTTCACCAACGCATCCGGCGCTCTCCCCTGGATTATCAGCAGCAGCCTACCCAAACAATCCCTTGCAGAACCAGTCGAGGCGAAGCGCCGCAGTTCCAGATCCCTGGCTGGAGTTGAGCCAGCCGAGACCTCCAAGCCCATATGGCTCTCCAAAGAGATTCTAGGCCTTCTGACCTGCAGAGTTTCTTGTAGCATGGCTCCTCAAAAGAGATTCTAGGCCGTCTGATCTGATCTGCAGAGTTGTTGTAGATGATATGTGTTGATATCTGACACAAGATAGAGAGGGAGTCGCATATGTTTTTTGTTGACAGATCATTTGTAACTATATATGGCTTACTCTGATCTGATTCATCATTCATTGTATACCATAGGAAAAAGGAGGGCATTAGGATGATCTCTGATGTTCTGTAAATCTGTAGGACTAGAAATGTGGAGTGGAGGCTTGGACCAGTTGCAGAACTTGTAAATTTTTAGAAAATGGAATAAAATATCCCGGCCGCTACACACCCGAAGGAAGTTTTTCTAAATTGTTATAAGCATATTATATGGATACTTGCGATGTTGGCTGATCGAAAAGCTAGGTTTACCCTGAATTTCTAAGGGAGATAGAGAGGTAGGAGAATGCCACTGAACAGCAAGCGGAAGCAGCGGGCCAGTCTGTTTCGTTAGAGTTTCGAATGGAGAGAGATCGACAGGAGGTTTTCAAATTTAAACAGCATATAAGTTAAACAAAAAGATGTAAAGGGGGCCATAGTTTGAAAGATGTATTTTATTTTCTTAAAAGATGAGGGATGAGGCTTTCAAACCAATTTTAAACGGCGCACAAGTTTAAAAAACAAAAATGTACCAAAAACATTGCGGTGAGCGTGGATCGAACACGCGACCTTCAGATCTTCAGTCTGACGCTCTCCCAACTGAGCTATCCCCGCTATGCGTGACAAGGGTCTCTGTTCCACCTATAGTGACGCATAACTTCATAAGTTAGCTTTGGTTTATGCCAATTGAACTCAGAATCTTTGGATTGAAACCACACGTCCATTGCCATTGCACTATCAAATACATCTCGATCCATATATTAGTATCCAACTACCGAACTACGCAAGCATGAAGGCAATTCAACAAGTTCAAGGCCACAAGGGACGTACACCGCCGGTACACGCATACAGGCTATCCATGTACTACACTAGTACACACATACAACAAAGTTATCCATCCATGTACACACCGGGTACACACTACACGCATATGGCCAGATGCGTGCAGAACTGCAGATGCATTAGTTAGGGCCAAGGGGAAAAAAAACTTATGGCTCGTTAACTCGTTTAGCTCAGCTCAGCTCGACTTTTAACTCGTTAAGATAATGAGTCAAGTCAACTGGCTCGACATCAATTGGTCGACGTCACAAGTTGGTGTCTCGATGTGAGCAATAATTAATTCATTCGGTTTCCTAAGTTGTACTTAAATACAACATTAGTTTTGGTATTATAAGTGCACAGAAAGTATTAGTATTGTGCGCGTTTATTGGCTTGTAAGAGGTACCACGCTATGCTTTATTGAGTTACTTTCTTGATTTATTTTGTATTATTTGGTATGTTCATATTAAATTCATTTATGATTTTGGATCCAAACAATGCTTTCGTTCTATTTTAGACACCAGCCTAGGGGTGGTAATGGGTCAAGACCCGTGGATCCTTTCACAACACATCTCAACCCTTAGATATTTTTAGCACAAAAAAATACTAAATTTCAACTCAACCTTTTTACCCAACCCTTACATTTTGTAGGTCAAAATGTTAGGCCAATTACCACCCTACGGCAGCATTGTCTTATTTCTTTTTTATGTTGCACCCCTTAAAGTTAGTCCTATATTTGTCACTAAGCAAGTTATATAACAAAGATAAATAATGATAGCAATTCCGTTAGTTATATATATAACAACGATAATAATATCGATTCGGCTAACTGTATAATAATGATTGATTAAATTTTGACATTGTGTAATATAACTTTATCAAAATAAATGTTATGACCTTCAAATTGTTACTAATATACTACTCAACAAGACTATTAGTCCCGCTCTTTCTTAAAAAAATTAATGATTGGTCAATCTTTATAGCGTTCTAGGCTACTGATGCCCTCATATAGCTTTTGGCAACTATGGCGAATTTTCTTGACCGCAATACTTTACATAGAACTATTACGCAGCCCTCCTGTTACACGAAGCAGTACAAAAGAGTCCCGTAATTCTATCGAAAGTGGAGACACAAAGTTTACGGGTGAGACTCTCTTTACTAATCAATGCTCTAATCAACTGTACAATGAGTAGGCCCCTCCACTCTTTATACAGTGCAATCCAATATATGCAAGGTTCGGTGATGGGCCCAATAAATACATTTGGGCTAGGTCTTCATGGGCCAAACCCAAAATTTCTTAACAAGAACAATGCTATCATGGAAAAAATAAGTGCGGGTATGCGTCACTTAGGTTGAGCCTATTTTGACCTAGTGAAAATTAGCTGAATTTAAACATCTTCCAAATGAAGAACCCTAGCTTTAATGACTACATGGATCATGGATGGAAAATTAACGTGGAATAGAATCGAATCGAATCCCTGTGGCCATGTGAATATGTGATGCAAATGATGGAGCCCTGCAGGACATGGAGGGGACATGCATCATCCCAGGCAGTGTAAAGCCATCTCCCATCACATGTGCACAACCTTTATAGCTTAGCCCTTTTGGTCCCTGCCTTGCCTCTCTCCCAACAAACTTTGCCCAGTGCTGCAGCATTGTGTGTTGTGTGTGTTGTGCTTGAGGGGTTTTTATGTCTGCATATTTCCAGGGGTTGGCTGGTCCAGGGGGTTGCTGCAGTGTACACTAGTTAATCAACATCAAGGAAGATTCCCACTTAGCTCTCCAGCAGAAATTAAAAAAAAAAACTAAGGTGAAGTATATTCAATTGCATTCATTGGGCATGTTGCACTTCATTTTTACTAAAGTAACTAAAACATGCAACATTGTTAGGATACGATACCTTTTTTTCCTGCCATGGTTAAATTAAGGATATGATACAACTGATGAAATAGGAAGCTAATGTGATTCATGGTGGCTAGCTTTGCTGAACTTGGGTCGGTTTTATTTTTAATATGAAAAACACAAGAAGCAAAAGGATGTTGTAAAATATTGGTACTTATTTTTTCTAAAATATTTAAAATAATAATTAAGTTTTTTTTTGGATTTGCCCCCAAGACTTTTTTTTATAACAGGCATTCATAATACCCGGCTTTTAAACAAAGCCGAAGATAACGGCACAGAAGTCTTACACAACACAAAGAAAAACAAGTGACTTAAGGGAACAGACTAACGCTGGAGCATAGGTATCACTGGAGAGGCCCAACAATCAGAAAAAACACACCCCCGGACACCCTAAAACAAGGCACCTAACATGCTAAACCAAAACCCAACCCCTTAGCCTGTTCCAAGACTTCCAGATATTAATTCTTTTTTTAAAAAAAATCAGAGTTTGTTTTTTTTTTTAAAAAAAGATGATCTGGTTCATTTACAAGTTTGTGGGAAAAAAATACAAAAAATGTCATGGCTTACTAACGACTAGGCTTTTTACCTGCTCCTACATAAACAATGTGGCTACCACAAGTCCACAAGTCGTAATCATGCACATCCATTCATTAACAAACTCTAAAGAATCCCGCAAAAAAAAAAAACAAACTCTAAAGAAGAAAGGGAAAAGCAAAAGGCACAATCCTTTCATTTAAAAAAGGTCTGCGGGATCTCAAACCGAAGTGATTAATAACATGCAGGAGTTAGTATATATATATTGACATAAGACTGAATCAAATCAAAGATACATCTATATAAATACCAATTTATGTTACTATATATATGTGTGCACTATTTTGTTGGGGTATTACTAGATTTCAAGCACATGGAAAATTGCATATTTTCAATCACCTGAAATTGCACACTCATAAGTCTAAAATTATAATAGTATGCAAGGTGCATTTTTATTTCTATTTAACTGTAAGTTTGTTGCTATATGGATTTACTTTATTTTTATCCATGTTTAAATATTTTTCATGTAATTTTGTAAAAAATTTTGCATGTAATTTTGTAAAACTTATGTATAAATGTTTTTCAACGTTTTATACAAGAAAAAAAAGGACTAGGAATGATAATTATTGGATTGACATTAAAGTAACGAGATAAGTTACTGGAAATTTTGAAAATTCTCAGCTAAATTCTAGCCACTCCCATTTTATCTTATATGGAGTAGCTAACTACAAATTTGCACAAAACCCCTGTTTCAAAAGTTTCTCTAAAAAGAACACACCTATATTCCGAAATTTTCAAATTCCTTTTTCCCCATCCCTCAAAGCTAATCCTTTTATGTATAACCCTATCATGGTCACTATTCACTAACATGTCCCGGCTATATAGTTCTATGTGTTTAGTACGTTCCTCTCATTTTACTTATAAGTGGAGATGTTGAATATATAGGTTGTGGGTCTGGTATTAGGGGAGAAAGTAGGTAGTCCGCAAACCCCCTTTAGGGTGTGTTTAGTTCACGCTAAAATTAAAAGTTTGGTTGAAATTGAAATAATTTGATGGAAAAGTTAGAAATTTATGTGTGTAGGAAAGTTTTGATGTGATAGAAAAGTTAAAAATTTGAAGAAAAAGTTTGGAATTAAACGAGGCCTTAGGTCGCTTACCCTATAACCCTATAAGTGGGCTACGGGCTAGGCACTTACGCTTAACTGTGGTTCCAGTTTCATACAGTCACAGACTCATAGTACATCTCTTTCACAAACATTAATTAATAACCTGTTTAACCAAAAGGTAAGGGTATAATAATCTACTCACTTCGTACTATTCTAAGTGTAGTTCTGGTTTCTATGTCTAACGTTTCACCGTCTGTCTTATTTTAAAAACATAAAAAATTAAGTCATGTATAAAGTACTTCCTCCGTCCCAAAATATAGGTATTTTTAAGGTTGGTACGGACATTAAGAAAGTAGGTGAGAATGATTGGAGAAGGTGTGTGATTGGTTGAAAAAAAAAGTAGGTGAAGGATAATGGTTCTGATTGGTTGAGAGGAGGAGGTAGGTAGAAAAATAGCTTCATTTTGAGACACGGTACTGTGCTACAAATAGCTACATTTTAGGACGGAGGTAGCACTACTCATGTTTTGTCATCTAACAACAATAAAATAATAATCATAAAAAGCATTTCAAATAAGAAGTACGGTAAAATGTTGAACGCTTAAATACACAACCGTACTTGAAATGGGATGGAGGGAGCAGACGAGTAGTAACCATTTAAAAATGCTTGATTTGATTCCCCGGGGTCCACTGCCCATTTGCCCCCAAGGAGGAGGAAATATAGAAAAACAAAAGGAGAAATAAGTTTCTTTTTTCAAAAAAAAGAGAAAGAAAACCGGGCGACCTGTGCTGTTCTGCCACCTCGCGCCGCGCGGCGCATTTGCGCCATTTGTTTAGCTCGCCATGTCCGCCACCACCTTCCCTCACCAGCATCGCCTCGCCGCCCAGCTGCTGCCGCTGCGCTTGCGCGTCCTCACTGGAAAGATGGCCCCCCTCTGCTCTGGCCCCTCTCCACTGCGGTATGAATGAATGATGCGCCTTTTCTCCCTCCCCCCGCCCAGATCGATCGCCAGACCTGCACTTTCCAGTTCCCCATCCATGCTCTGTCTGCTTCATCCTGTCCCAGCTTCTTCTTCTTCTTCTTCTTGTTGTTGTTGTTGTTCTTGGTGCGGGAGGGTGTTCTTGGGGTAGGGAGCAGCATCGGCGGCGGCGGCGGTCATGGCGAAGGAGACCGAGTTCTACGACGTGCTCGGCGTCTGCCCCGCCGCCTCCGACGACGAGATCCGCAAGGCCTACTACATCAAGGTCTTGCTTCTTGCTTGTTATGCCAACTCTGCTCGGAGAGTCGGTGCTGATTTGTTTTTTTTTTTCGGTTTTTGGTTTCTTGATGTCCAGGCGAGGCAGGTGCATCCTGACAAGAACCCCAATGATCCGCAAGCCGCCGAGAAATTCCAGGTTGTTTCCTGCTACTCAGCTCAAGTTGGTTTCTTGCTTGGATGGTTTTTTTTTAATTAAATTCAGTTTGCTTTGTCTGACCAGCTGAGCTTTCTTGGGTGGATTTTTTGCAGGCTCTCGGAGAGGCCTACCAGGTGCTGAGTGATCCTCTTCAGAGGAAGGCCTACGATGGCTATGGCAAGACCAGCATTTCCAAGTAGCCAAACAAACCCATCTGAGATGATTGATTGACTCTCTGCAGTCTGTGGCAATTCAAGTTTCAGGTTAACAAATGTTTTGTTTTGTTTTGTTTTGTTTGTTTTTTCAGGGAGAACATGCTGGATGGCACTGTGGTGTTCACCCTTCTTTTCGGGAGTGAGCTGTTTGAGGACTACATTGGCCACCTTGCAATGGCAACAATGGCTTCCTCCGAGATGGCCAGCGACAATGACAACCCTGAAAAGCTTCAGGACAGGCTCAAGGTCAGTGAGCTCAATAGCCATTGCAGCCATCTGTGATTATGGATGCTCCAAAGCCAGTTTGATTTTTCTCTCCTTTCTGATGGAATGTTGGCACTAGACTAGTTGATACTAACCATTCTGTTCTATGTTTATTGTGACAAAGGGTGTGCAAAGGGAAAGAGAAGAGAAGCTAGCAAGATTCCTCAAGGAGTTCCTCTCGCAATACGTTCGTGGTGACCAGGAAGGATTCGCAAGCCGTGCCGAATCCGAGGCCAAGAGGCTGTCCAGCACTTGTCAGTCTGATCGATCCCCGCAATTCATTTCGATCTCTATGCCAATCTAAGAAAAGCTTCTTTTAACTGTTCTGAAATGCCATTGCTCAGCATCTGGACTAGACATTCTTCGCACAATTGGATATGTGTACTCCCGGCAAGCTGCAAAGGAGCTTGGCAAGAAGGCCATGTACCTTGGAGTCCCATTCCTGGCAGAGTGGGTGAGGAACAAGGGTCACCTATGGAGGTCACAGATCACCGCGGCGAAAGGTGAAAATCTCGCAAACCGGGGCTTTTGGTGTGTATTCATTAAAATTGCTGACTGATTAGAGGACAAAAAGAACAATGCAGGAGCCTTGCAGTTGCTGCAGCTGCAAGAGGAGGCCTGCCGGCAGAGCGGTAAGGACGGCTTGGCCACCGAGAGGGATGTCGATCTGCAGATGAGGATGAACAAAGACCTGATGATGAGCTCACTGTGGAAGCTGAATATTGTTGATATTGAAGTGACCCTTCTACACGTTTGTGAAATGGTATGCCTCAAGATATCATAGAAATTTGCAGTGATATGATTAATAGTTAGTTGGTAGTATCTGAACTGCGATCGCCAAGTAGCACGACATGCCTGTCTTATCTTCCAGGTTAACATGTCAAAATGATTAGTACATTAAATTGAATTGATTCTCTTGTACTTGTTAGGTGTTGCATGAAAACAATGTCAAGAAAGAGGATCTCAAGGCTCGTGCAATGGCACTGAAAATTCTTGGGAAGATATTCCAGGTATATGTTACTTGGCCTTTTCATTAGGATAATTCATACCGCTACATGAGATTTATTTTATCATAATTTGCAAATACCATATTAATTCAATTGGACTACAAACAGAGGGACAAGGAGGCATTGCCAGGACCATCAAAACCGACCATTCTCGATGATGACAGCAGCTCTGATGAAAGTTCAGATGACGACGTGGCTCGGACAGTGCCTTATCGGACTCCTGCAGTTACTCAGGCAATTACTAAACTAAGCAGCTTTTATGTTGCATAGCAAAGCATTGCATAATCAAGTGCCTGCTAATATTAGTTCCCATGTTTTGTGGTTCAGGGAATTGGCAGGTTATTCAGATGCTTATGCAACCCAGCATATGATGTTGACGATGACTTTGAACCACGCAAATGAGTGGTAAAGTAGCAGAGAGGTTGCAACTATTTAAGAGATCCCTGAATCTTTCCAGATTATGTGCTTCTGAACAGTTGGGGATCATGCATCACCATAATTTGTCTGGGTGTGCATTGTAGATTCTACTGCAGCACTGGTGATCAGGCCATTAGCTCAAAATCGTTCTTTTTCTGTCCATGAACAGTAGATTCTTTCTTGGTTTTTGATATAGATTTTATCGAATTGTGTGGTGTTTATGTAATTGTTTGGTTTGGGAGTTGTCAAAAGAAAGAAAGCAAGAACAAGTGTAACTGGAAGTCCATTTCTCTCTGATTTTAAAATCACATGTAAAACTCTGACATGAAAAATCAACTTTTGATCCTATCGTCTGCCTACTGTCACCATCCTCTGCTCTAAAGATCTTCTATCTCATATTGACATCCCTGATTGCTGACCTGCCAGATGAATGCTGTCAAACTCCAAAAAGAGTGATCTACTGAAATTTCTTTGAGCTTCTGCTAGAAAGATGCTGTACAAAAGATGAACAGATAGCTCAAAAAGCTCATTCATGCAACTCAAGAGCAGTCTGCATTCTGCAATCTGCATTGCACAGAACAGAACCAACACCATGGATCCAGCATTTTTTTCTCATTTCCTACACTGGTAGGTAGAGCTCCTTATGGTTTATGGACTATACAACAACAGCAATTTCTTTTTCTGCCATATGCCACACGCAGTTTCTCACCCTCACCCCCTAAACTCTAAAATTTCAACTGAAATCTCCTTCTCCTTATGGCGATTTGCGCAACCCGAAAAAGGGACCATAATTCTTCAGAGATTCAGGTGAATTATATCATGCTCTGAGCTTGGCGAAGAGGTTGCCGAAGGAGAAGAAGCTGGTCCTGGACAGGGCGCCGGAGGCAGGCTGCCCCGGCGACTTGCCGTTGGCGGCGGCGGCGGCGGCGGCGGAGGAGGAGGAGGGGGAGGAGGGCACCTTCTTGACGTTGAGCATGACGGTGTGGCCGACCTGGACGCGGAGGCCCTCGATGGTCTTCATGTCCACCGGCTCGCCGGAGGCGTCGCGGACGTAGAAGACGTTGATGGCCTGGCCGCCGACCGTCGTGACGTCGGCCCTCGTCACCGTCAGGCCGTGCTCCCTGAGCACCCGCGTCACGTCGGACAGCAGCCCGACCCTGTCCCTGCCGCACAGCTCCAGGGTGAATCCCTGCATCATCAACCACCAGTGTTAGCACATATTCAAGCTCCAGTTCGAGCTGAAAGAGATCCTCTGACTTAACGCCATATCAAAGTGGAACTCACATGTCAGTGACTCAATTGTATGTGTATGCATGTGTAGTTAAGTCAGAGGATTTGCTTCTCGGTGTTCGAGCTATTGTACTGGTCGGTGCATGTAACTCAATCTGACTTTTATCTTTTTTCTTTTTCAGAAATAGAATCAGAATTCAGTCAAAGGTATATATGAAAATGGAGAAAAGACAGGTAGAAGGGCAGTATGTTACTACTGGTTAATAGAACTAAATGATGAACTGAAACAGTGTACTGAAAAAAATGAACAGATTAATGTGGTACCAGGTGCTGTAGCAAAACCGACATACTAGTAACAGAGTTCAGTGTGAGTGTATCGATCAATCAATGTGACTTTACTACTAGGAGAACTATACACCATAATCTGCAACATGTCCTGATTAATCCCTTGTTCCAGATGCAGCCAAGCTCAGAAATTCTTTTGCAAAATACTACTAACAGTTACTACTTCTACTGATGCAGTGATGCTAGTTGCTTGTACAGACAGTGGCAAAGAAGGTTCAGACCTCAGATACTCTTCTGGAGATGGCCGCTTCAAGGCACTTGATCACCCTCCCTGCTTCGTCCTTCTGTAGCGTGCGCCCATCCTTCCGACGAATGTACAGCTCCTGACAATATTAAAATAAAAAAAAGGAAGTTCATTGCAATGTCAAAAGTCAACGTTGACCGAGTCGCGGCGCAGAGCTCCTTTGAAATGCAGGAATATTCTTTCTACAAATCGAATTATTTCATGTGAAATTCTTAGCATTGTCGTGGTAGGAGCTTCGATATGGTAGTAGCAGCTGTTGACATGCTAGAGTCCAGAGTACACACCTGGATGCCGTAGATGCCGTCGGAGGAGACGGAGGCGTGGGAGACGACGTAGTGCATGTCGGTGAGCGTGCACACGATGTCGAACAGCAGCTTGGACCTGTCCCTGCACTTGACGTTCACCACCGAGTAGTCCTTCTCCTCGCAGTGCTCCACCGTCACCACCGGCCTCTCCTCCGCCGCCGCCGCGTTCCCGGCCTCGCCCGACACGATGGCGCGGCTGTCGAGGCCGTCGTCGTCGTCGGCGTCCACGTCGGCGTGCATCAACTGGTGGAGCCGCCGGTCGACGTGGGTGTTCGACCCGGCGCCGCCGGAGGAGAAGAAGTTGGCGTGCGCCGGGCCGTCGTCGCCGTCGCCGTCGTCGCCGCCGGCGTGGCCGCGGAGGACGAGGCGGAGGCGGTGCTCGATCCGGGACAGGCGGCACGGGTCGCCGACGGCCTGCCCCGACGCGACGTCGTTCACGTACACGACGCAGGCGACGCGGGCGCGGTGCGTCCACACCTCGGCGGCGAGCACGTTGCAGCCGAGCTCGGCGAGCACGGCGAAGACCTCGGAGAGGAGGCCCGTCCGGTCGGGCCCCTTGAGCTCGATGGCGGTGTGGTCGCCGATGGAGTGCATCCCCACCGACCTCACCGGCGACGACCCGCCCTTCGCGCCACCCAGCAGGTTGCTGTCTGGGCCTAACGCCTGCAATTTTAACCAAATTGATACTGCCACTTCAGTTTTCAGTTTTTCACTTCAACTTTAATTTACACTTCAGTGTAAATCTATAGTCACAAAAAAATTCTTGATTTCATGGAAAGTTTTCAAAGGAATTGTTGGCTCCATATCTCCACTATCCATTCCAAACACCTCATGAAAAATAGTACTGCGGTCTAAATTTGTAATTCATTAAAGGAAAACCTTTAAAATGTTTTTCAAAAACTGAAACACATACTGACATGATGAACAGATACGAAAATACTTCACCTAAACTACCAATACTTTCAAACCAAACACTATCAGGATGCAGTTGCACCAAAAATAATTCTGAAAGCTTGATATAGAGGATAAAATAGGTTTTCAACTTTCAGGTGGTAAATTTTAAGACCAATTTTCAGGTGGAAAAAAAATTACAAACCTTCTCAATGTGCTTAATGGTCTTCTCATCAGTCACCTTCTGCCCTTGCTTGTCCACCACATGAAACACTGCATCAGGTTGTAACAGACATCATGAATAAACCGGCAATTGATGTCCGCGAACCATACATGAGTTTGCATATATATGATATAATTGCATAGCATAGGCTGCCTTACCATCCATGAACCATCCACCATCAGAGGTGATGTACGCCTTCGAGATGGCGAGATCGAGATCGCTCAGAACTTGCACCACCTCCAACAGGATGCCATTCTTGTTCATGCTGTCGACCTACCTCCAAACGCAAACAGACGGTGCTCGAAGCAATCAGTGAAACGGTTCTTGAATATTGGAAGCAGTGTTCAGTAAGATTATCCAGTCAAGTTTTGAGAGAGAGTAGTAAGTAGTTCTTACCTTCACTAAGGTGCAGTCGCTGCAGGTGCTGTTGTCAATGCATACCCTGCAGAAAATTATCAGCTTGTTAGCTACAGAAAGTAGCGGAGCTTCCGACAATAGCCTGAAATGAAACAGGATAATGATATGAGGAGCTCTGGAATTTAGATGTTTAAATTAGAGATCCACCTAGGAGGGTTGATGCGCTGACTGAAGTTCTCATACTCCGGATCAAAGTAAGGCAGCATATCTTCCAAGGTTACGAATCTTCCCTCTGAAAGAATTACGAGTTGAAAACCAGCACTGTCATGATGCGAGGTATGCAGATATATATAAGCAAACAGAAGTACACAGTTTCGTCTTGTGAACCATCTGTGATAGTTTCCAATCATGAGGGTAGAAACTTCGATCTTAAAATCATCACCGGACCAATGATGGGCTCCTCATAAAGAAGATCTAAATTACTTTAGAGAGTAGATTAGACCAACCTTTCAGTAGATTCTTCTTTCAGCAGGGCCTGAAAGTTCACTGGAAAATTTTCGATGGCTTCAATCAAAAGCTAACCCCCAACACTTCACGCTTTAGTATCCTGAAAAAGTCATGAGCAGTTTCGAGTCAATTTCTGTACAACGATACCTGAAACCTGAACGCACCTGCTCACCCTGAAAACTGCCTGTCAAAAATTCAGACACTGACATGGAACACATAAAAACTCAAGAATCGCAGGCAGAACTGGATCGAAATCTGGATCAGAAGTTCAGAGCACATCGCTTATAACCATAAAAAAAGGCAACCAACTTGAACCACTGTGATCAGAAAACTAACAATTGCCAAGAAACCATGGGCTACTGCAAACACAACATATACACATCTCCCTGAAAGCAATCCACCCCCATTGATCAATCAATCAATCACCTCACCTCACAGAAGCAAGATACTCTTTTGCCTGGATGAACAAATCAGAGAGGGGCGCACAGATCTGCATACTTTATTGAGTGCTCGTGATGCATGAATCAACAGCCACCCACAACCGATGGCCAAGAATTGCTTGCTGCTGCTGGCTGGGGATCCAATCCAATCATCCCAACTAGAGCTAGAATAATCGCCCGGCCTGAGGAATCAAGAACCACGTCACGGTGACTGGATGTGGGGATAAAAGAAAAGAAATGCACACCCGCTTTGCGCCGCAGATGACAAAATCGATCTGCTTTTTTTTGTTTTGTTTTTTCAGTCCCACCCGCCGGATTCTCGAGCGAGTGCGCGTGCGTGCCAGCATTGGGAGGAATTTTTTTCCCACCGCCTCGGTTGATGATGGTGGCGGCTTCGGTTGGCGTTGGCGTTGGCCCTGCTTGCGGCGATCGCCATGACTGAATCTTGAGAAGACCTTTTCTATTATCTGAACTTATTAGGGTTCGTTGTGGTTTGTTACTTATACCTGTTATTACTGTGTTTTTTTTATTTCAGAGGTTCTTGTTGTGATGTTGATTAGGCCGAATTTTTTATTCATAATAATTAATAATGCAGAAATTAAATATATAATAAAGCAAAGTCAATTTTTACGAAAATAGGAAGGACACTATTGCATAGGACGTCCAGGTGTGGATGCTGTTGTAGACAACGTCCAGATGGGGACGCTTCTTACAAGGGCGTCCATAATGCTGCAGTTGAAGACCCCACAGAGCCGTCCAATTCACCGGACTAAGATTGGACTTTGGATCCAATCACACAATGGTCGAACTCTGCCTCGTTACTCCTATGCAGACTATTGTCTCTTGTTGATTGCTTGCTTGCCGAGTAGGCACCGCTCTCTACCTGATCTGCCAGACAGGGTCGCCATCCCCCGGCTCTCCTTCAATGCTTCCGCTGTTCCGCATGACGGACACTCTACTCGGGGTCATATGTGAACAGCCACCACTTTTATTTTGAGATATTTGATTAGTTTGGTTTTTGTTCTGGTCCATTGTTTACTACGCATCGAGCTCTCTGCTGACTGAATCTTGAGAAGCGGCCGCCAGATGAACTGCATGCGAGGTTTTCGATCGATGCTTTTTTTCCTTTTGCAACAAGCCAGAGATTGGAAGTCATCGGGCGACAGATGATCTGATAGAAGGAGGATGTTTGCGTCCTACCCTTCGTAATTTTGCATTCTTTGTAAACTTTCTATTGCAGAACATATACACCTGAATACCAAAATCTATGAACTGAGCATACTTGCTCGGCCAGCCACCTGGAGTGAGGCGATGCCTGGACTTGCTGTTAGGAACCAAGAGGGGCGGACAGACGACGCAACACAAGCCGGCACGAGTGGGTTATTGTTCCAGCATGACTCAACCAGAACGTGGATAGCGGCTGCGACCTCCCGGTGTGAAGGCAAAAAGCGGCGGCGTCCTCTCCGGATTCGAGAGCCTTCGAGGTGAGTTGAGGTGAACTGCAATGGCAGATTCCTGACATTGTGGAGACGGAAGCCGGAAGGCGGCTGTTGCAGTCTCCCAGAGTCGAGGTGAACGGCGGGCATGGCAGCACCTTGCCCGAGCCCTGCACCAACATTGGGCCTGAGGAGAGGAGAGTCGACGATGGCGCCTCTCCGCATGGCGGCATGGGCGCCCCAAACCGAGCCTGGACGTGCTTCGGTACAGCGTCCACCTCTGGACACTTCTTGGAACAGCGTCCAAATCTGGACGCCCTTTGAAACAACGTCCATCCTATTTTTACAAATTCAATTTAAGATTTACCACTTATTTAATTCAAGACTTATTAATTAATATAAATAAAAAATTCGGTTGATTAGGTCTTATTTTTCCAGCGTTGCATGCCGCGGTTAGGGCCCACCTGTCAGTTAGTAGCACGTGTTTGAATACGAAAATGGCAACTTTAAGTTAAATGTTATTATTTAAATCATTTATTCTCAATATCTCTAATTTTATTGGGTGCATGTATTGTATTTATTATGATGATATGAACAAGAAAAATGATAATAATTGGTTTTTGGTCTTTGGACTAAGGATAGTTATGTCTTGTATTTTAAAATAGATGGAGCATTGCCCAGTTTTGAACAATATGGAGTTTAAAGAGCAAATAATCGTGAAAAGTTAAATGCAAAATGATCAGATTTACTCGCTCTGTCTCAGAATATAACAATCTAGAATCGGATGGGATACATCTATTATAAAACATCCATTTCAGTTGTAGATTACTATATCCACATGATGAAGGGAATAGTTTTTTTTAACAAAACAAGTAATCTTGTTCAAGATTTTTAAGTGCGAGAAAGGTCATCGGTTCACTATTGTATATAGTTTGTAGTTAGGTGAACGATTTTGTATGAAGATACTAATGTGAAATGTTCCTTTTTTTTTGTTGTTTTTCTGAAACAAACAGAGAGTATAAAGTTACTTACAAATAGGCAAGCAAGTACTTGAAACAATTGGGGATTAATCACTAATCACAGAGATGTCCTAAGACCTAAACCTAACCTACTACTCTGTAAAAAAAATCAAATATGTCCAAATTTAAATATAGGGTTTGATTTTTTTTTTGAACGGAGGGTAGATTAATCAGCAGGGTGATAGACCAAATCATCTTTGCCTTGGTAATCCACATGGTCTCAAGTCAACTGGTAAGAGGAATTCACATTTCTGAATTTCTGATTGGCACATAATTGCCTTTTATCCAGGTAGGAGTAGTTAATTGCGGAGTAGTCAACTACCACTGGTGGTCAGCCAGCCACGTGGCCCGGTGGGGCACCTGTCACCGACAGGCGGGCCCAATCCGCTGCGCGAGAGGAGGCCAGGCAGCCAGCCACGCGCGCTTTACGCTTTCCCAAAAAGGGAATCCGCTTTCCGCAGGTGCGGCGGGCGGCGGCGCCTCCCCGATTGGAATCTCGATGCCACGTGGAGCACTCCCTTCCGTCCGATCTCCATCCGACGGTCCAGATAGGCCACGCGCCCCCCTTCCTCCTATCAGCAGCGTGTGGCACGGTAACTACAGTACTATACTACTGCTACTGCTACATCAATCAAAGGCTTCCCAAAACAAGCAAACAAAAATGAACAAAAAAAAAACTCTATGCAATTAATTAACTAATTAATTGTACGTGGTGCTACCAGAGAGATACGACTACAGTGTACATGCGCCGTCACAAGCCAACCATCCAATCTCCAATCATAACATCCATGATTTTCTTTCCCCTTTAATTAATTAATTAATTAATTAATTCTCTCCTCCCTCTGATCGCGACCAGAAGAAACAATAAAGACACAGAGATTTTGCAACAAAGTGGACGAGTGGGGCCCACCGGTCGGCGACTGCAGCCGACGGCTGATGGAGGCAGTAGTAGTAACAGCAGCAGCAACAGTAGGGCAGATGGGGGGCTTCGAAAGAGAGATTTTTGCTTTCCCAATCAACATGATGCAAACCAGCCAAGAACCAAGACAAAACTCTCTCTGTTTTTATTTTTTTTTGTTTTGTTTTTTTGAAAAATACTTAGAACAGAAAAAAAAGAAGAAGAAGGAAAGAAACAGAGACACGAACAGCAAGTCGGTTGTGTCGGCCCACCTGATTGACGAAGACTGCAATCATTCGACGCTAATAAACATAAAAATGAAAATGAAAAACAACACGATTCTAATCTACCGTCAAACAAGGCAAACCAAAGAATCCAGGAGAGAAATAATTTAAGAGAGAAAAAGAGAGAGAGATTGGTAAAGCGTTAATTACCACTGTTCTTGGATTCCCTCTTAATTCTCTCCTCCTTTTTCCTTCTACTTGCTGCTGCTGTTCTTGGCTTCTTGAGATTTTGAGATTTTTGATTCGCGCGTCGTCTTACATCTCACGCAGCCGGAGCACGGCTAGCTGAGAGGAAGAAGAAGAAGAAGAAGAAGAAGAAGAAGAAGAAGAAGAAGAAGAAGAAGAAGAAGAGCTCTCTGTTAGTGTAAGGAAGGGGAGAGAAGAGGAGAGACCATGGGAGGAAGAAGAATCAAATCAAGAAAAAGGGACGGCAAAAGGAAGGGAGATATGGATGAATGGATGGATGGATGGAGGGGGGAGAGGGCAAATGGGCCTAGTAGGGGAGAGATGACAGGGAAAGAGGGACTCACACTGCCTCTCCACATATGCCCCCACTTTGGATGATACCCCGATACCTTCCCTTTCCTCTTCCCCTCCTCCGTCGAGGATTATATAGTCCCGCGCGGACCGGGGAAGTCCAGGATAGCGCTCGCCGTGGCGACTGTGTGTGTGTGTGGGGGGGGGGGGGAGTCAGACCGAGTGGCGAGACACATGTGAGAGGTAAATGCGGATAGTGTATGACAAGCGATGCCAAGTAGCCATGTAGTCGATGGTGTGGCGTTTGTTAGAAGGTACAACTAAGCATGCGGTGGTTGTTGCGCTAGCTGGTGTTTCGGATTTGTAAAGTGTGCATTATTCACATGTTTTTTATTGTGCATGTTAATTAAGATCATGGTTGCTTGGATGGTAAACGGTAACATACCATGGGTTCGTACTATAAATTGTTCATGCGCATTCTCACGATGTTCTCTTATACCCTCGTCTCTCTCTCATCCCTTGTCTAGGACTATAGGTCTTGTGAGTACTCGAAAAGTCTAGAATATCACCCCACAATTATGAGGGGAGGCCATGTATGGTAATTCTAGATAGCATACGACAAGTGCAATGTAATCATGGCGTTGATTGTGTGGAGTTTGTTAGAAGGTATAGTTAAGCATGTTATGGTTTTTATTATGCTTGTTACGATTATGGGTTGTCTAGTAAACGACAACAAACTATCAGTTTGTGTGGCCAAAATCTTCATGTGAATTCGTGATGTTTCATGTACGATTATAAGAAAAATGAGGTAAACCTACCTAAACGTACAATGCCGATGAGTAATCTTCCGCTAGGATTATATAGTCTCATGAGAATTGGGGACTTCTACATATTTGTTATATAGTCTACATATTTGCTGGGATTATAAACAACAACGCACTATTAGTTTGTGTGATCAAGATGTTCGTGATGTTTTGTGTATGGTTATAATTAAGAAAGATAAGGCAAAGCTAAAAGTACTATGTGACAAGCAATGCTTACAAGGTTGGTAGGTTGGATTTTGATGAAGATGCACTAAAGCTATCGCTACTATGCGAAAAGTGGTCTATACTAATCTCAGAGTAGATACGATATAGTTTGTTAAAAAGCATATCAAAGCTTGGAGTGTTTGTTGTGATAGTATTTCAAATTTTGCAAGGCACGCAATTACTTGTTTTTTAATGCTTATATTGTGATTATGGATCTACGAAGCAAACACCAATATTTCAATCATTCAAATAGCTTGAATGTTCATATGAATTTGTGATGTTCCATATAGTATTATATGTAGTAAGAAAGATGCATAAATCTATTGGTATTGACGAGCGATGTCAAGTAGTCAAATTGTTAGTGGCTTGGCTTGGTACAAGGATACAGCTAAGTACGTCGTAGCCATTTATTTGGCTTTCCACTAGATGATTTTCACATGATAAAGAACATATCACATATGATTTATACAGTTGAAGTGTTTACACATGAACTCACTATACATAGAACAATTAATTCAGCATGCAATATTCTGGAGAATCAATAAACCTGTATACCTTGGCACCTTGCTTCAATATACCATTTTTAAAAGTTGTGAATATTAAAACATAGTATATTAATATACGCGTGTGAAGGATACCTGTATCAACATTGAAGTTTAGATATAAAAGTAGATTTTCTTCTAAAGAGGGAGGGGTCGTACCATAAGATATCATAAACCTCAAGCATATCCAAAATTAGAATCACATTTATTTGAATTTTTTAGTTACATATTTATCCGCTCTAACATTATACTCTCTGTGTTTACAAATAGATGATTTAGGATGAGCACAGTCAAACCTCGATATCTTATTGGCTATCTCCCCCCTCCCTAAATATCAGTATCTTTGTTCCTAATTTTCACAATATAGCAAAAAAAAAGTCTGGGCTAATACCATATATGTTCATGCCATACTTTTTTAGCCAGCTAGCCTACTAGTTATGCACACATTTTTTTTTGTCATAACTTGTTACAATTGTGACCAATAAAGTGTGAGCCACAAAATGTGTGACATGCCATACTTTCTCATTTGTTTTTAGATAGGTGGGGATGCCATCCAAATAGCCCCTTGAATGTGCCAAGGAAAAATAAATACTGGGAGACATTTAATTTCCTTTTATTATGCACACATTAAGTACAATAGGTTTCCTAAATAATGAAGCAACAAAGTACACCGAATACATATACTTTTGTGAACTGTGATGAAGCATTACAATGCTGGACACACAATTAATATTGGCTGTGTACGGTACGGTGTCAAAATGGAACAAACAACTACAAAAGGGCACACAAATTAAAACATTCTGAGAAAAATGCCCTTTTGTCAAACCTGTGTTAGTGGGCATGGCACTATTAACAAATTAGCATCTCAGAAAACTATAAAGCTCCTGTATTCTATTAGCTGTTGCCTTCACAAAAGAGAAATGTCTGGACACAATCCAGAAGTATTATTCCATAGCTGACATAAGGCAAAGATTCACTCACCCCCATCGAATAATTCCTCTGAAAATGATTGCTGGTCAACTTTGTGCCACAGTTTTATTTTTTGTTTTTCTTTAACAAAAGGGAAGCATATTGGATATGTCTGTGATCTAGTGCAGGAACAAACAAGAGAGATCCAGTCCAGCTAGTGCAAGCAAGAGTAGCAGAACATGTTTGGTGTGATGAGAGATTCCAAACAGATCGACTGATCAAACAGCATTGCAGAGAATTTTGTGTATAGTAAGGTCCAGGTCTGGATGTGATCATGTGAAGGATTCTAATTCCATCTCCAGTGACATGCACTTCAGTGGACAGTCCCCTGTATGACTATCCACTTATGAACTGTTCAGATAAGCTTCAGTGATTGATTAGATATTTCGAAGAAGATGAAAAAAAAACACTATCTGGACAAACTGGATCTATCTCTTCTTCATATCTCCCGGGATGATGTGCGTGATTAATATATTCTTTTTAATTGATGAAAGAACATTCTCCTTTTTTTTCAGATTAAGGATTTGTCACTCGTCTCAATTGTTGCTTTAGTTTATATGGTTTTTATTCGCCGAAAGGTTTGCTTCATTTGAAACCTGAATGAAGTTGAAATTTCTTTGTTTCACAAATTTATATTTCTAAAATAATTTGGATCAAAGTCAAAAGCATGAATATCACAACTTCAACTTTGGAGGCAAATTAGAATTGATAAAACCTTATTGCCATAGAGGAAAAAACATATTGAAAACCCTGTTTTCTCTTCTATCACTACAAGATTGCAGTTCCCTCTTTTACTTTACTCCACTCATGCTCCTTTTCCTTTTACCACTTGTCCACTTCCATCAAGTCAACATAATTGATCTAACCCCACCAAGAAAAATACTAAAATTATATAAAATTCAGAAAAAACACCAGCACAATTATCACGGCTTATCAGCCGTGAAAAAAAAATGAACAACATAACTAAAAATAATTAATAGGTGTGTTCTTATCGATTTGAAAGCTAATACTAGAAAATGAACTACAATAAAAAAACCTCAACCCTAAAATTAAGTTTCACAATTCAAATTTTGGTTTCAGCTGAACAAGCAAAAGATGGAGCTAAAGAATACTAAAAAGGAACATCAGCAAAAAGATATATACCATCATAATTTTCAGATATGATTTTATAGAAATCTAGTTAAATTTTTAGAATCTTCTAGGACTCATGTAGCCGATGGTCCATGAAAAATAAACTTTGTAGCGTGTACGATGGGCAGACAATGGGGGATGACACGGTGCCACGCCAGGTACCGGGGCTATGGAATGTGGATTGCCTTGTCTCAGAACACCACTTAAACCTCCTCCTCTCTTTCTTTGCTCCTCCCATCGCCATCTCCATCACCTCATCAAAAGGTCCCTCCCCTTGCCATGATTTGGTCATTTGCCTGCCCTCATTGAGGAGCTATGGCCTGAGCTTGCCATTTTCCAAAAATGGTGCTTAGGTGCACTGTTCCTGCTAGGCCCAACCCCAAGTGCAACCACCCACAGCAATCAGCTCAGCTTGCAGCCTCAATGGATGCACCAACATTTTCATGTGCATCAACAGCGACAGATCAAGCAAAGAGCCATAGATGAAATAATTGTGTAAGAGAAAGAAAAATTCAGTTAGTTTCCACATACAAAAGCAGACCAAAGTGTGCGTTAGGACATGAAACCTTTTTTCAGACAAAGAAAGGACATGAAAATTCAGCAGGTTAACCGATTCTTTCAATCTTTCCTGCTGAATATCTATCTATAGTCGATATTAATTCACTGGCATATGCATTTGGCTGCATTTTTTGTGTGTGTCCTTGCTTGGCTGCTTAATTTGCATCAAGAAATTAACTCATGAAAATTAAATGGCCCTAGCCACCAAAGATATGTGTAGGATGCTGACTGTCGGGAGGCCATTGATGGTGGCTGTTCCCTCTTCATGCTTCAAGGCCCAGACAGCAACATGGAGCCATGGACAGAGTCTGCAGACATTCTTGCATGATCTCTCTTGTGATGAAGGAATGGCCACGTTGAGGTGCTTCCAAACAAACACAATTTCAAGGTTCAGAATTTCAGACGGAAATTTTTCAGTTCTTTGGCTTGTTCTGCATGCCATTGCCTTTGGGCTTTGTCACTACGGCTGAAGTGCAGAGTGACTGACTGAGTGAGTGACAAGTAGGATAGATGGAGAATTTACCAGTTACCGCAAAGAGAATGTAGGGGCTGGCTGTTTAATTTGTTTTTGTCAAGTGCGATTTTACGATCCTTGACGAGGTACTATATTTTCCAGTGTAAAATTTGATATCTCTTGGTATCTTCGGTACGAGGAGATATCAAATTTGAACTAAAAATTTGGTACTACCTCCGTTTCAGGTTATAAGACTTTCTAGCATTGCTCATATTCATATAGATGTTAATGAATTTAGACACACATATATGTATAAATTCATTAACATACATACATATATATATATATATATATATATATATGAATGTGGACAATGCTAGAAATTATTATAATGTGAAACGGAGGAAGTACCTCTTATTATTTTTTAAGGACCGTAAAATTTCTCTTTTGTCAATTATTGATAAA